CAAATTGTACGTTATATAGTTCATACTTTATTGAAAATTATTTGATCTTTAATTATCCTTGCAATTAATTTTAATAACTAGACAAAATCGGGGAACGTGTAGGAACAACTTGAAATTTTAAATTTTTTGTTTTATTGTTGTATGTTTTGTAATCGTAAAAACTTGAAATTTTTACAGAATAATTATATTAATATTTTTAGACTTGATAATATTCTAGTGACTTTTAAGCTATTCATAGGCAAACCAATCGAAAATATTTGATTTTTTTTTTATATAAATATAATTATTTTGGCCTAACATAAATTATTAATAATTTTGTGGTGGGTATTATCCTCCCTTCTAAATTTGAGATTAATTTTAGTTATCCGTTATGCGAAATTGTATAATTTATGATTTGATTTCAGAAATGGGTTTCCCATTTAGTAATTCATTATCCCGAAAATCTGTCCAGAAATCTATTGTAAATGAATAATTTCTCCCCTCCCTTGAAACTGAATGCTGGTACACTATTACGTATTATTGATATGTACATTGTAAATTGTACACTATCGTGGCAAAAATATCCATTATATTGCTGCTTTTATGATAATAGTCGATTATATAAATAAGACTATTGAAACTATTTAAAAATTTTCCTTGAACTAACAAAAAATTATATAAAGTACAAGAAATTTAAGAAAAAGGTGTACATATTTTTTTTTATAAATATCCTTACATAGCTTTATTTTTGAAGTAAAATATAAATCCTCCCACCCAACTATTATTCTGTTTGGTTATAAGTAATAGTTTAATTGAAACTAATTAAAGATAGACAAAAATGCAAAATATAGTTGATACATTCGTATACTCGTATACTATACTTAAACTATAAATACTTAAAACTATAAACACCTACGTACTTGAAATTTTCCAAAAAGTAATTATTAATAATATAATAAATGGCATACAGTGAATACAAATCTTTGTAAAATTTCATGAAGTAAAGTTTCGTTACCATACATTAGTTGAGAATAACATTATTCTTATTTCTCTTTTTTATTATTATAATTATTTTTTTTTTCGTACCTAATAAAAAACTATTTTAGATATTTTCACATTAGATTGTGCAAGTCACATAATGTATTATATTGTTATTATATATTATGTTATAATAATTATTATAGAATAATAAAGATACCTACTCAAACAAAATATCCTTGACCATATTTTCCTAATTTGTTCTCATAAGCTTAAATTAATTCCTAAATTAAATAAATATAATTATATAACACGCAATTATCAATGTCAACTACAACGTAGTGTTAGTATATTGCGTGTATTATGCGCCGTCTAAAATAATTATTGAAAAACGATCTTACCGGAAAACCGACGAAATGTATAGTATTATTCTACCGACTACTATAACATAACTTATAGTAAGTTTAATGTGTATGAACAGTGCTTGACTAGGGAAAAAAAATGTTAGAGGTGGTTACTCAGATGACGCATAAAATATTTGCGTTCCTTGGTTCTCTTCACTCATTAGTTCAAAAATGTTATTGCGAATATGCAAACCAGTAAATAAACTATAATATCTAGACAATCCTTCGAAATGTTAAAATGTACACTTGTGTAGTCATTGCCTGGATTTATCTATTATAAGCATTAAAAATTAAAAGTTAATGCATGTAGTCACATACCCAGTATACCATATTAAGCCAACGAGTACCGAGAAAAACTCGATGTGCTGGGATAAATTGTAAACTATCATCATTTATATTCGTTCTATGTAAATTATTTTAATCTATTTTAACTATTATAACTTATAAATAGGTCTGTGAATTAAATATTTAAATATACTATAGAACCTAAGTAAATGCAATTTAAAATCCATAAAATTCCTATACAAAATGCAATTAAAATGCAAATAAAAAAAGTATCAAAAACCTTAAACAAAATCTCTATAAAAAAAAAAAATACAATAGAACATAACTCTGGAAATCCACTACTGATATGTCGCACTGAATGACTGCGATAAGTCTGATCTTATTCGATTATGAAAAATCAAACTTTGTACTCACTCGTATATACCTTGTGTAAAATATTTTAAAACGAGAATATCAAATGTAAATACTACGGTATGTAAACAGCCCGTGAAAAATTTAAAAAAAACTATGTAATTCGTGTAAAAATGTATATAAAATAGCGTAAAATGAATCAATAAAGAAATAGATACCATTAAAAAGTAAACGAATTTCTCAATAATTAAACGTCAAAAAATGCCAAGCAAAAGTTTCAAAACTGAATTCGTTGATTCAAACTCTGTATTAAGAAAAATTACGGCGTATAACCAGCTAAAAAATAAAAAATTCACTTTTCAACATTCTACACAGTTTTTATCCATAGGCAGGTTTAGTTTTCTAACCAGTTTGAAAATCCCCCGGAACGGTTCAATAAATTCCGTTACCGGTCAATTCTATACATTCGTTCGGCGTGCGGAATATTTTACACGTAACAACATATTTCCGATATTATTGTAACGAGTTTATAATGAAAAGAAAAGAAAAAAAAATCAAATCTCGGCACCGCTGATTGTCCATAACTCCTACATGAAAGAATCATCCTGCTTGTACACTCGTACAAACCGAACAGTTTTCGGCGGCCCGGAGGCGGAGGAAATAATCGTTTTTAGCGTATTTTATTGTTGTATTCATTTACATCATCGCATCTAACGCGTCGGAAATCTGTCCGTTTCGCAGAGATATTCGATCGTTGCGCCGCCGCCGCACCGCCGCCAATTGCGTCACTCGGAGCGTGTGAACAATAGACGGTGACGGTTTGTATTGGATAGCCGTTGTTGCTCGTACATATTATTATTTTCACCACAACAAATTGTGTGTGATGCGTATACTTGTACAATAATGAGTTATTATACGGACAACGCGTGGCTTTTTAATTTTTTTTTTTTTTTTGTTTAAATCCTGTTTAGTTATAAAAGTCATTTTTTACATTGCTGCCGGTAGGCAACATCGTGCATTCGTGGTGGTAAATTCTTTTTTTTTTTAAAAGACGTTTTATAGACAACTCGAAAAATTGTAACCTGTAGCCTACGGGTAACATTATGCATTGTGACGGTTAAGAAGACCCGCCAAAAAGTCTTGTATCGTTTTATGATCAGTGATATAGTTATTGAATTATCTGTGAATAACCACAGATTCTCTTCATTTTTCAACCCTTTTGGGGAAGAGGGCGAGTGACCATGACCAAATTTCACACAGATTACTTTTACACGGCGATGAAAACAATACGGTTGTTTTTTTCTCCTACAACCAAAGACCACCCTAATACATAAAGACCAGCGGTAATTGAGCTATATTAGTGTATCGAACGATATTCACACGGTATCGCACTTTAACCACTGTTCGCAGCTGGTGATTTGGAAAAATAATTTACTATTCTATGATAATAAATACTAACTGAATTGACCACTATATTTTTACCGCGTTTATAGATAATCGTGATGAGAACAAACAACGAATCCTCCGAGCAGCTGATGCTTCAAGTTGCGTTCGTTATTCTTATCTTTATCTTGTTTTATCTATATAATTTTTCTTTTTTTCGTTTGCGTTTCGCAAACGTATTGTTTTTACGTCGATCGTAATGCTTTACCGGAACCCAACCTAATCTATTGTTATTACATAACATTGTGAGCAGCGCGAGCGAACTTAATTTGTTTGCCAGTCATTTGTTTTATAGTCTATATGGATTGAAAACAAATCCTGGCTACAGAACTGACAACAAAAACGTTGATAAATTTAAATAAACGTTTGGAAAATGGGAGGTGGGGTACGGGGAACGAAATGACCCCTACGATCGTCTTGCTCGTACTAAAACGGGTATAGGTGTTAATCATGACTATGAGGCTGTGAATTTAATGCAGTGAAAAACCTTCAAAATGCACAAAAAATGCAATATATAATGCACTTAAAATAGTTTTAAATTTAATTTTCGTATTTATTTCGATATTATCATAATATAAACATACAAATTTATTTGTTTAATAAAAATAATTTCTGCAGCAATTCTATTCGTCTGAAACATTTTTGAACGGGTTGAAAGTCCGTTAAACGACCTTAAAAATTACAAACGCCATAAAAAAAAAAAAAAAGGCAAAATAAAAGTCTGATAAATGAATATTTCGCATTATGTACACGGAAAGCTACGTTTGACGGTCGGCTGAGAGAAAATTTTCACTTCCCTGCGAATTCACAGAGCCCTTATTGTAGCCGCGACTGTTGGCCGGACCATTTCGAAACCGATTCGGCGCCCGCGCTGCTCCGCGTATAAATACACGTTCCGAGTGGACATATATTGTTGCGGGTACATCGTATCGCGTAGTGTTATGCCTATCGTTATTATTGTTGTTGTTGTTGTCGTTATTATTGTTGTTAATAGCACGCGTTGCGCGCGTCGCACGCGTACATGCGTAATCGCGAATCGGAGGGAAAAAAATCCGACCGCGCACGCGATAATTATTAATATTCGGGCTACACCCGTGTACAATATGCCGCGATACCTGCCGCTGCAGGCGTCGGATAATACGCCCGTCGTCGTCGTCGTCCGATCGTATAATATCGGCGGCGGTCGTTACGCAACGAATATCGGCGCTCAGACTTGTCCCCGAGTCCTACGTGCGCGGCACGCTCGGAATATCGTTAGCGTATTCCGGTCCAGTCGGGGCCCGTCTCTCCGCAGAACGACGTCCCGATAAATATGACACGCTGCGCGGCGCATAATCGCAGTACGCTGTTGTTGTTGTTGTTGTTGTTGTTGTCGTCGTCGGAGCGCTGAGAAAATCAACGTAAATCCCCAGCGCTGCCGGAGGGTTTTGCGAAATTAACCGTTTCTAATCGTCATAAACACTCAACTGTTAATCCTGTTAATCGATAACAATAAAATTAACATTAACGTTATTGTTTTTACGCACAGCCGACGACGTCCGACCGCACCGTCCCGCGAAAATGACCGCGTTACTCCGGTGGATTTTGGTCGTGGCCGCGGTCGCCGCGGCCGCGGACGCGCGAACGCGGCCGCAGATACGGCGGCGCGGACGGCAGGCGCCCGACGAAGGCGACTTTGCCGACAGGTCGTCGGACGGTTCGTACGCGTTCCGGTACGGCGACAGGAACCAGTTCCACTCGGCCGCCGCCAACAAGGACAACGTCGTCTCCGGAAGGTATTTATACGTAATATTATGGCACGCGTAAACGGCACAGACGTCTGGGTAACGTGACGGTTTTACGGGTGTTTGCCTTACACGCATCGCTCGGGTAAGCAGAGCGTACGGCGCTGTTGCCCCTGTGCGTATATTCATAATGCGCGTAATAGCTATAGGGTCCATTTGTGCACAATATATTACACGATTATAGCGGCGTGAACCTTATACTTTTGGCTAAATACTTTTTCGCTCGAACCGTGGGAGAAGGGTTGTGGATTTACGGTATAAAAATCGATATGAACGCGTTATCACTTTAAATGGGAGGGGGGTTGCTATTTGAACATTTGAATTCCGGTATACTGCAGAGTACGGGCGAGAAATTGAAAATATTGTTAACAAAGAAAAAAAAAAAAAGCAGCTTAAACGGTCCCAGAATTATTTAAAAATCGACTGTACGTGATAAGTTGATCGCTCTGCGTGTGTTAGATTGGGTAATACATTTGCGGATTTGCCTCGGAGCGCGTCTACGCAAGCTCGCGCCACGTTAAAAAGCAAAACACAACGAAAACTGCAGTCCTCGGAATCGTCATTTCAATAGCGAGAACCGAAAATTTAGCGGAAACGCGGCATGGGGATTTATAACCTTAATGTAACAATACCATTGTGCGTGCACACCGCAATACTATCAATAATTATACATCCGTGTGCGTGCGTGCGTGCGTGCGTCGTATTAGTATAATATAATAGGGGGCTATGGTGTGGTGCACTACCAAAAAACACGTATTCCACCGGATAAGGTCGAACAAGAGTTCTTCTTTGGCCGCGCTCGTCTTCGAATAATATGCACCTACGCATTGTAATTATATCATAGACACGAGCGTCCTTACGAATCGCATGTCACATACGCGCGTTTCTGCAGAATTAAAACAATTTTAAAAACGCCGCATTGACATTGTCTATACACATTTATGTGTATAATTTTGTTTTTCTTTTACTTACCGTCCTAATCCGATTTTCAGATTTGGCTCCAGAAATCCCGAAACGGACCGCATCGTCCAAACGTCGTACTCGGCCGGTCCTCGCGGGTTCCGCGCCCGCGGACCGGACATCGCCAGACAAACGGACCTGTCACAGGTCCGTTTGCCTTATTCTCCGCCCGTGCCCACCGATTCGTCCAAATACGACCCGGCCTACGACCGGTACCACGACCCAAACGAAGACCCGAGCTACAAGTTTACCGTCCGGACGCCCACGCAATCCAAAACCGAAACAGCCGACTCCAGAGGCCACATCGAAGGCGGCTATTCGTTCTTGGACGACGTCGGTGAGATTCACTCGTATATAATATTGTCCGTTTTACATTATTACTGTCCGTACTTTTCGCAAGAACGCACGATACAATTAAATAATAATATACAAGGATGGCATTCGGTTTATTACAAGGCCTGTGGACATGAAAACACAAGTCTTAAGTTTACAGTAATATTCGCTGCGTTTTTCCGACAGATTACATAGGTAGCAAAAATGTGCTTTCAGAGTTTCAACGTTACTCTGATTCTGTATAGGTTTAAAACAAAAATGATTTCACCGAATTAAACACGATAAAACGATTTTCATCATAGACGGATTTTTTTTTTTTTTTGTTGTTGTTGATATTTTTATTATAAAATGTTTTATAAAGATAAGAAATATTAAAATTCAATTTCGATTAAAATTTTCAAGTACGGTTAATATTGTCTCGACCCTCGGGAATCAAATAATCCCTGTGTGAAAAACATAATTAACATTGTGATTTTTAATTTGCTTTTGGTTTGCACGAACCGGACAAAATTTGACAAATTCTATAACATACTGTAGTTTGCTACTTCCCCCCAAAATCTGAACGGCACGTCGTTGTTTTTTATTTGAGTTTTGAAGAAAACTAATATTACGTGTAATTCCGTTCACTTTTGATTTGATTATAATTTTATGCGGATTAAAATAATATAATACTGTGCCACTGTGGTAATAAGCGATTTGAATTAAATTTTAGTGTAACACCAGTGGTGGGTGAAATACTGAACTGCAAGCATTCAACGAGTGTTTTTCTATATTAAATTAATAAAAACACGTGAGACAAACGCCGAATGCTGCAATTGCATATTCGGTCGAAAACAAATAATAGTGCCATTTAATTTTTTTTTTTTTTTAGGCAAGAGACACGACGTGCAGTACGAGGCCGGTTCCGGTACGGGCTTTCACGTGAAGAACGGGCATCCAGACTCGGACCCGTTCGGCGGCGTTTTCTACAGCGGCCCACCCGGCAAACCCGGTGGACGGCCGCGCGGCCACACGTCCGTCGTGATGGGCAAAGACGGTTCGTACGGTTTTACGGCGTCAGGGCCGGACCAACGGCGTACGGAAGTGAGCGACGCCAACGGGCGCGTACAAGGCTCTTACACGTACATAGACGACAAAGGCGTGCAGAGGACCGTACAGTACGTAGCCGGCCCAAACATCGGTTACCGGGTGATAAACAACGCGGCCGCAGGCGGTGCGGCATCTGGGGTTGCGATACCGCCCCTGTTGCCGTCAATTGTGCCGCCGTCTATCCTGCCGCCAGCCGTATTGATCACGTCATCCACGTTGCCACCGCTGTTGCCGTCCGCGTTTGAACAAGACCTGCAATTCGGGCCCGCGTCATCCAGCACGGCCACTCCGCTGCCGGATCGCCGGCGCCCCGCTGCCGCAGAGTCGCCAATCAAAGGTTTCGGTGCAGGAGGAAATAACGGCGGTAGCGGTAGCAGCGGTGTCGGTAACGGCGGTGGCGGTAACGGCGGTGGCGGTAACAGCGGTGGCGGTAACGGCGGTGGCGGTAACGGCGGTGGCGGTAGCGGAACCGGTAACAACGCGGCCACGGGAGTGTCGGACGATTTCCTATCACCGGACAGCAAGGTGCCGCTGGGCTCGGCTTTTCCCGAGGATGATCCCGCGCTGCCGCCCAAAAAGTGGTCACCTGTTTACAAGAACAAAGAAGAAGAGTTGTTCTTCCGACCGTTCGACAAATTTGACAAACGTAAGGAACAAAATAATATGCCGCAGAAAAAACCGCTTGCCGTACCGGACACGCCTTACGCACAAACGGCTGTCCTGGGAAACGCGGGCCCGTCTTCGTACGGCTACCATCAGTCCTCCACTATCAGACCGTCCGCGCCGCCGGACACTCTGTACGGGCAACCGTCACGACCCATAGTGGTGGACGAGAAGTACGGCCAATACGGTGGCACCGACTACCAGAAGCCAAAAGATCATCACTCGGAGTTTGCGGGCGGGCACGACGTCAGTAACAATTTTAACAGATTCCCGCCCGGCACCATCGTCAAGGCGCACGTGCAGAATTTGGATATTCTCCCGTTCGGGCACAGAGTACCGTCCCCCTCGTACGTCCTCGAAAAACAATACGGTAATATTGACGGCTATCAAAATTCTATAAAAAAATAAATATTTTCGCCAGTAATATGAAACCTGCAGATCGTCCTAGGTACACGAGTTACACTGTACGGTATATCGCAAATATATATAATGTATTTACTTAATTATTAGAGTTCGGATTTTGAAGTTCTAAAAAAACATTAATAAAAAAACAAATATTAAGCGAAAATCTTTAAATAAAAATAAAAAAAAAAAAAATACACGTATAATTGTTTTAATTATCTATTATAAAACGAGTACAACACGTGATTTCTTATCCAGATAGTATATCAATAAATTAAACATTAAAGACATCGGTTATAACCGATTGTCTGATACTGTCCATTCCCAATGACATTCTTCATATACAAATAAATATTAACTTTTCAAAAATTTCAAACACGTATCTATTTATAGTAAAATATAAAACGTTATTATTGAACAAAATTTTTTAAAAAAAACTCGGAAAAAACCATATGTGAAAAAAAACAAACAGTTTTCTAGTAAAAAGGCACACAAATTTTATAAAAATGTGTCGTGTATGATTACTAAATCATATGTCGGTGCTCGGATTTGGGGGGAGGGAACCAGCTTCCGTAGCTTCTCAATTTTTTTTTTTGACAACCCCTCTTACTAATTATTTTTATTGGGGCTCTGTGTAGATAGTAATTCGTTTTTTTCGAAAAATTTTATCTTCATAATAAAGTATCATTAACTCAGATAATTTGTTTGTAAAATTTAATATTTATCGATCAGTCATGCCTAAATTATTATTAATATTATATTTTCTATATTACAATTTTACATCGTCTAATAATAATTCATAAATAAGTAATTCAATGGAGTTCTAAGCGTCATTATCGTTATTATTATTATTATTTTTGTTTATAACAATAAGAAACAATTTTAAAAATATATATACATAAATATATTTGTCATAATATATAATATAAATCAGTAACCTAACCGCGGGTTATATCGAGTTCAATAATTAAATTCAATAAAAGACGCTGATTTTGTTTAAATCGCATAGGTATTCTTCTATTATTTGTCCAATTCATACATTATATGTTTTAAAGTGTATCAAATTTATATTCTCTACCTAGTTAACTACATATTGAACCAATCGAAAAAAAAAAAAAACAAATGCTTACAACATTTAAATTCATATTCGTGCATAATATTAATATAAATGATAATTATATATAAGTAAGTTCCTTGATAAGACCTTTTAGCTGTTGTACGCGTAAATTTATTGACATTGATGTTAATGTACGATGTGTAAAACATAAAATACACGCAATTATTATCTATAATGTATTATATACGATAGTATTCATCGTAAAACGATTTGTTTAATCAAATTTAGATTAAGGACCGCATAATACAATACGGACGACATAACATTTTATTGTATTATATTTAAAAGAAGGCCACTGTCAGTGTTATAATTACCAGTAAAATCATGACACTTTTTTATTATTATATATAAATAAATTAGTATATACATAATATATAAGTATTAATATAATAAAACATAATATTATTTATGACTTGTATTTTGTATGATTCAATGAAATTAATAAAGTCTAATCGTATCTTATACCTACATTATCTTTGTAAATCTATGCATTTGAAGAAGTCGCATGCCGCCATTTCATTCGTCTATTCTGAAACCATACTTTTACCTGAAATGAATTTATTTAAAAAAAATATTGATTGCAAACACAATATATTAAAAATTAATAAATTATAAATAAATAAAGATACGGACGTACTTCGCCATGGACCAGTGTTGTAGGTGATAAGTTGGAAAAATAGAGAGGAAATGTAATGTTTATCTGTACTCAACGATTAATCGTTGTTAACGAAACACAATTCTGAGCGGAGTTCAGTTAATAATAGGGTTGCTTTATGTTGTATTATAGTATTCCCCAGTATTCTTTTTTTTTTTTTTGAGAAATAAATAAATAATAATAATATGGTAAAATAATTGCATATTATGCATTATTTATTTTGTTTAACGTTATACCTATTTTCCCGTTTTTCCTAAGTTTTTTCTCGATTTTTCCGATGTTTTTTTTCAGTTTCTCATTTATTATAAAAACAACAGGGAAAATCAAAAATAACGTCCTTAAAGTACCACCCCAATCAGATTTCTTTTCAGAAATTTTTACAGATGAAAAAAAAATTAAAAAATTAAACATCATTGAAAAACCAATACATTCTTCGTTCCGCTTAAAATCTAAAAAAATGAACAGTGGAGCTCCGTTGCTAGAGTCAAATTCTCCCAACCTTATATTATAGAATTTTACAAAATAATGATCGAATACTACGAGTATAATAATATAATATTATATAACACTTATACAGGTAACTTAAAGAATAAACAACATGGTTTAATCATAAAAACGGTAAGTCAGAGAGCTGAAAATCGGAACCTCTAAAAATCATATCCTTGATACTAAAGCCACATGTAGATAAATTCCCCTAACTTAATCTGGGAGGTCTTTGGGGATGTGCAAAGCTAAAAAAAAAAATTCTCTTCGGTAACAACATTGTTAAGTTCGTATTTAAACACAACTGTTATCACTTCAATACACTTATAAAATAATCCTAATTCCCGAGTTTAAGCTTATTTCGTCCAGAAGGATCCGCAAGAAATGTACAAAAATACCGAGGAAAATATAACAGACACAATGATAATAGCTTCTATTTTCAGGGAAAATTCAACATTAATAATAAGTCAATTATACTTATTATGTTATGTTACCGAAAATACTAACAGTTTAAGAAGAGATGCCAATTCCTAATACGGTAAGGAAATAATATCATTACCTATAAATAATCATAATTTCTATAGTTTGTTAGACAATATTTTGACGCAGCGCTTTTCCACTTATTTAGGTACAGGATAAGTTGGTTTAACGATAGATGAAATTGGGTCTTAGAAATCTAAAGAAGATCGATATTAAATGTATTTTGAAATCAAAAGAATACAAGAAAGTTAAAGAAAACAAACATTGTACTAGTAGTTTAGAACTTAATAAAAAAAAATGAATATGTAATTAAGTATTTAAAAATAACTGTATTTAACATTTTTATTTAGTCGAACATCAAAAACATTAGTACTTGGTTTCAATAATATTTGTATAAAGAATTATATATTCATCCTTTATCATAATAAAAAATATATTTGAAAAACATCACACGCCTGTTGAAAGACTGAATACGTAACATAGATTAGTTAAGTAATTTTTTATGAATATTGTAAACATTGAATGTAGTTTTTTAAAATACATATGATACATAAGATTAGAAACAAATTCTTGCAAAACAAAATTATTGTATCTGACTACTGTCTTTGAAGGTCACGTAGAATAACCATTGTCACTTCGGGAGGTTGCAGTTACTATAAATAGTAGTGTTTCGTTCGCATAAAGATATACCCGATGTTATAGCAAAACAAAATATAAGACAAATAGTTATGCTTACAGTTCGGCATCCCGAATTTGTAGTTCAAAATTTGGCGAAAGTTTGCCGTGTAAAAATAAAAAATGTAAAATTTGATTAAAGATTGAATATTTCTTAGGGTAATATAATATGTATTACATAAAATATGCAATTTTACTTTGCAATTCGTATCATTGCCTACAATATTTAAGAAATTATATCATGTACTTGGTAATAATATAATTTCCTTTCCTTCTTAGGAATTGTCATCATTTCTTAAATATAAATATTTCCGGTAACGTACGCGTGTATACACGTCTATATATATATATATGGCAATATCAGTACTTACTTGCAAATCTGTAAGTCCAAGAGCGGAAGCTAATGCCTTTCTATTGGGTTTAGTTATATACTTTTCCATTTGGAAATAGTATTCTAACCAATTTTTTTGGGCGATCGTAAACACTGCTCTGCCAGCACACTTTCCTTTTTCCTTTGGTTGACGGTCTAATGCGAATGAAAACACAATAGTCCGGAATAATATTATAGTATGTATTACACAAGTATTATAATGTATTATAATAATATTGTATTAATAAAGTATTATACTCGTATTATATAAACCAGTGACTCCCAATCTAGGGTGTGTGAACATATTGCTGGAAAGACGCAAGCAGGGCCATATTTAGAGGTAAAATTTATATGGTAAAATGTATTTATCAAATTATTTTTATTTTAAATTTCCTTACGCCTTATAATATCACATAAATTAATAGATTATTGTATTATATTATATTTTATACCTGTATAAAAAAAAAAAAATTATAATGAGGTCATCAATATTTTCAATATATGAAAAGACATGAGATTTTTGAAAATCCATATTATTGAATATTTATTTTAGAATAAAAAGGTTGAGACCACTGATTTTTTTGAAGTTATATAAAATAAAAAGACAGACATACTTCATACGATGGGTCGGCCACTGCTGTAGGTAAGAAGTTGGGAAGGCAGGATATAGAGAGGAATTTTATGTATATGTGTACACAACGATAAATCATTGCAAACAAAAACCGATTCTGAGCAGAATTCGGTTATACGTGTTTTTAAAGGCCATTATTATATTTACGAATTTCGTCGAAATTTGGTATTGAAGTTTTATAAAAAAATTGTACATTACATTTAATTTTGTTTTACGACTTACAATAAACCTATATTTTTAAACATTTCTGTACGGTCTAAAAATTTTATCCACTGAGTGCCTACTGAATAAAAATAACATAAAATCCTTGCTAAAATGTTTTGAAAATCTTACCAAAAAGTAAAAAGGCGAATATAATGTTTCTATCTAAATTTCAAATCCCTACGCATATTTTAAACAGAATCACATCAAAAAGCAAAATTGAAAATAAGACATTTCGTAAATTTTCCCGTTTTCCTAGATTTTTTTACCGATTTTTCCCGATTATTATGAAAACCACTTGAAAAATCAAAAAATAACCTGACTTAAATACTACCCAGATAAAATTTTCTTTCAGAAAAAGTACTACACTTGATACACCGTAGCAATATTTCTAGTAAAATAGTTATTTACAGATAAAAAAAAATAAATATTATTATAAAACCAATACATTATTCGCTTCGCTCAGAATCAAAAATATTTTAATTCCCTCGACTTTTTATGGTAGGTACTATACACTTGTAATTCAAATAGCTCATTATTATAAATTTATTAAAATAAAGTTTTAATAAAATACATCTTATTGTATACTCTTATCGCCTTTAATAATAATAAATAATAATACAATAATACTAATGTACATTGTACAATATTTACCCGATTCGTTGTCGCTTTTCAGTATTTGATCGATGCCGAAATTCAATACATCCGTCGCATGGTGACAAGACGATTGTGATCGTTGGTCATCCATTTTGAGTACTGAATATTCAAATTCACAAAAAACAGTGTTGGTGGTTTTTTTTTTGTTTTGTTTTAATAGAAGACCGTGAGAAGGGGAAGATAATTAATTTTAACAGTCTAACATTGTTCGTTGGCGTTAACTATAATAATAATTTACGACCGCGTTGTGGTTTGAATGTTTTTAACATTGTTTACGCGACGTACGAGTAAAACACAAAATGCCTGTATCAATAATATTACATTTGTGTAGTTTAAAGCAAGAGACCATTTGGTCGCAGCTGTTTAAAAAACCCGAATAAATCTTATAACGACTGTCATTTTAGATATTTAAACGTGTAAATCATAGTGTTATTTGCGAAGTTTATTTTCAGAGTAAATTGGTCAGATTCTTCCAGTAAATATTTTATTATTTGGGATGGTAAAGTATACCTATATAGGTAGGTATATGCATTATACCTAAATGAAAATACTTAATTTCTAACATCAATTCGATTTATCGTATAAAAAACAAGTTGCGTACCTAAGTACCAAACCATGTTTAGTATAACGTAAGTATATCTTTGGTCCCAGGAAAGATATAGCTTAAGTCGATTTTTGGCACTTTCTTTTTTTGAATTCTGTCTTATGTAATTTTTTCCCCTTTATGTTTTGGTCTAAATAGCATAAGCTTATGGATATTCCGACAAGTGATATCATACTAATTATTTTAAGTAACTATGATGTAGGTACTTTTCGTTTATCAAAAATGAATAAGTTCATTTAGAATGCCACATAGAGATTAGACCATTTTAGTAATTATATCATTTATCATTATAATATTTAGTTAATTTAATTTGTTTGTATTGAAAATTATAAAAAAAATTGGCATAAACCTTTCTTACTTAGGACAAAAAAGACCAGAATAAAGGTTATTATATAGATACTAATATAATAGGTAGATGGTATATCATTAAAATATAAATATTGAATTAAAAGTGTTAGAAAATTATTATATTGATTTCAAAATTTTGATATTTATCTAAAGCCCCTTCCTTCCATACCATGATTAAACGATTTGTGCAGTGACTGTGTTTGTGCTAGTGACGTATTTACGATTTTTCCGAAGAGGGAGCTATACTATTGAATTTGGATATTGTGTCATATTATGTAATGCGTACCCAAGCTGAAAAATATCAATTTTTAATAATCTGTATATTTTTATCAGTCATTATAATCATAGTTCAATCTGCTCTGAAATTATCATTGAAATCAACTACCCAACTATAGATGTAGACAAGTTAGTAATTATTTCCTTTATTTACTATTTAAGTTCTAATTAAAATATTTAACCCCCTTTGTATTAAAGTGGTTCGGATATAGGTTTCGTTTTAGACAAGAAAATGTGTACGTTCAATATTTTTTGATGTAACACAATGAATTGTTGATGTTTCTAACTTAAAAAGTAAAAAAAAATGTCAACAAAAAAATATCAAGGCCGAAAACATGATCCTGATCCCTGATTTCCTCCTGTAAATACGCCACTGGCTTTGTGCAAACATTTTCATGGGATATTTTGGTATGGAATGTGATCCACACAACGCGCACAGTAGGCCAGAATAAGTTCATAACGGGACAAAAATATTGTTTGGTGTATTACGCTTGATTTAGGTTTATATAAGTCTTAGAAGTAGATATTAAAATTCAAATTCAAAATCAAAATTTATTTATTTATTAGTTATTGCTTCCATTTTTGTTTTTTGTTTTTTAATACAATCAATACACATTTAAATAAAATTAAAGTGTTTGTTTGTCTGTCTGTCTGTCTGAGCTTATTTCTGAAACGGCTAAACCAATTTCTATGGGACTTTTACTATAAGATTTACTATTTTTTATCCCAACATTTAATCTAGTATAAAACCAAAAATAAGACTGATAAATTTTAAATAGTGAAGTATAATTAGTGAATTATGATTTATTTAATATATTGATAACTTCCCAATAGGCAACTATAAGCAGACGATTTTTTGTTTAAATACAACCCACTAATGTAATTGAATATTTAAATTTAATTTGAAACCCCAGTATGCACCATTCTTTCTTAATTGATCAATAACATAATAAAAAAGGACGGGCATACTTCGCACATGGATGCAGCCACTGTTGTAGGTTGGAAGTTAGGAAGGTAAGCTACAGACGGGAATTTAATGTATATCTGTAAGCAATGATAAACGATTGCTAACGAAAAAACGAGTCTGGGCCAAGTTCAGTTGATAATGTTGCTTTGTCAATATATGGTATTATGTCATATTATAGTAAAATGACTAAAACAATGTGCGTTTCCATAACAACAATAATTGCTTAAAACAAATTAAAATAATAAAAACTTAATAACAACAAAAAATAAAGAAAACGATTGCCAATGACAACCTTATTTTTAATCTTTCAATCTTTTTTAACCTAAAGATCGAGGTTTTTCTCATTATCTCGTATATTAATGAGAATTTCTAAAAATGACTTCTTTAAAGTAGCACGCAGAGAAAATCCCCTTTCAGAAAAGGTGCTTTTTTTGATAATCGGAGTATGCTTTCAGGTAGAAAAAGTGTTCACATAAAAAAAAAAAAATAATAAACACCATTGTAAAATTAATACATTCCTCGTTTCACTGACAATCTAAAACTACAATAACGTTAACTAAATGGAATATTTCAAACAAATTTTTTGAACTTATTCTGGCACACTGTACCAAAACTTTGAAACTAAATCATTCGAGGTCGAAATGTGTTGTACAAATACTCGGTGGTTGACAAGCGGTTTGAACGTCTATGGAAGTGTTTGACAATTATCGTAAGCCGGGATAACACCACGTGAGTGTGTAAATACACGTAATGTACACTCAACTTTCTAGTATGTGATATTCTTTGACGATATCAAAAAATCAACTGAAGTTCACATAAGCTATATCGGAACTTGTTTGTACTAAAATTTGCGCACACGCAATATTACACAATCACTATGATTACGAAAATTGTTTGTTTGTGTATGGGATGCTTAATATAGTAATTTTGACATTATAAGGCTCCTCTTAGACCGAAATATTTTTCAAACTAAAATTTGTATAAGACTGGAAGACTTAAGCATCAAATGGGAAAAAATGGAGACGGACTGGTACAATATATAGTGGCCAATTTACCGAAGAAAAAATTTGTTTTTTTTTATTGTCAACAACTATTAAAAGAAAACTTATACATAGGTGCGCATTTATTTTAATTCTGTACGGTTATAATTTTCGTTAAAATAAAGTAATTAGACCATTAAGTTACATATTACCTATTTAAATTGCACAGCGCTTTTGGTAACACGAATATTTATCATTTAGTGCGAAACGCAATTATGTACATGTAGTAGGTGGGTATAATTATAATTCACAGCATGTCGACAGTAGGTAACTGTCTTTGGTACTTAAATAAACATATATTTATATATATATATTTATCATTTTTCGACGGTGAGTATACGAAACAATATATAGAAATAGCCGCATTGAAGTTGTAATAATGAATATACTACGAGTGGGAATAAGCTTTTCACTGGTTTGTTGTTTGAACGGACTCAAAAAAGAGAATATTTTTTTCAACGAAGAATTCATGGATTTAGAAGCGTTACCATTAGAAAAACTGTTGAAAATGAAACAAGAACTACGGATAAAAGGTAAATATAATTCGAAAAAGCGGACAAACTTCGCATCATGTAAGTCTTACCATATTAGTTTGCTAATACAAAATAAAAATTACAATCTTGTATTTTTGAGGATTTTTATGAAGCCAAAAATGTTGTATACTCATAAATATAAATTTATCGTTTAAATCGTTCTTACGCAAAATGCCAAAATTTCTATGATTTTGATCAAAATTTAAAATTTAAAGCTTAAAGAAAAAAAAATGTGATTATAGATTTTCGATGTTAGATATGAAACAACTGATGTAAAAAATACTTATATATGAACCCAAAATCAGTATATCGAGCAACCAAATAAATTGTATAGGTACACACAAAACCGAATAAAACCCCCAAAAAATTATGTATTTTTCGATTAGCAACAAAAAATTATTTCTAACGAAATACAATTTTAAATTAAGTTAATGTTTTGAAATACAGTAATTTTTACGATTTTAAAATGCATATAAAAAAAATAAAGTTCAACGTAGAACTTTATTTTTTTCTGTCAAATAGAATTTATGGTGAACCTGCTTTCCAACATTTTCAATCAGCCAAACGATTTTTTCCACATAAAACATGAATCAATCAATCAAATCCGAAATCCTAATTTAAAGCTCTCTCATTTGATTGAAGAACTATAGTTTAAAAGTTATTTACAGATAGAAGATCTCACACACAAATCCATAATACTGTAATTAAATTTTTCGAATTTGTATGGTTTTACTAAAAATAAAATTTTTCTTCATAAAGGTTAAAGTAGGCACCTTATTTACATATATATCTAAAAATGGGTTAAATGTAAACGAATCCTCCGTGAAAATGACTTGTTCATGATTATTTGATTACCCTGTGTACCAATATATTATACAAAGTTTTTAACTGTAAATCATAAACACACATTCCATCCAACTTTCCGAGATAAAAACGATTTTTTAGTATCTATGCAACTTTACATGGTTTTTCAAGAACAATAATAACGCTAAAATCCTCTTAAGGTCAGCGTGATATACAAGAGCGTTCATAGGTTAATTTTCAAATGGGAGACAAAATGAAATTAAATTCCAAAACCTATTTATAGCATATAGATAGGTACTAAGTTGGTATTTCTTAAAAAGAAAGAAAGGTTATGTAATTATGTAAATATTAGCATTGAACAAACTGTCAAGTGCTGAAAATGAAATTAAGACGTTATAATATTCTACTGTTTATGGTTTACATCAGATGCGTATCCGCGAACTTTTTATGTGGGAGGGTTCAGTAAATTTAAACTTACCACTCTTTAATTAATTGTAAAAATATAACATATGTTGAAACAATTAAATTAATCAATTTACTGTGGTTAAAGAAATACAAATTATTATTAAACATCATTAATAAAACACATAATATTCCAATTCTGAATTCCGGGGTTAAGATAGTTATCACCTATTTACAATACTAAATCAATTTTTCTTTTTCTTTTTGCCAATTCATCCAACATTTCTTCTAGATTAACTTCAACTGTCCTATGAATATTCAGCTGAGCTCATCTATTTAAACGATTCTCTGTCATGGTATTTCTGAGATAGATTTTCAATTGTCACAATGTCAAAAATGTCTTTTCTGCAATAGCTACTATTCTCAAATTCATGGGGGGGAGAGATTCTGACACCCAAACGCCCCATGGATACGCCATTGGTTTACATTATACATTAGTAAGTAGACAATTGGATTATTTATTTATAAATAATAACACTTTGAAAATAGCAATTAACAAATATCATTGTATAAGAATCATAATATGAAATAGCTATTTTACATTTATTTTAAAGGATTCAAAGCATACACAAATTTTTGAGGTATCTACTTTATTATTATTTTCTAAAGAGGGACATGTCTTCATCTTGCCTCCGCTCCAATGGGGTGATGTACGTTTCGCCTTCCATCAATTAATACCCGTTTACCCATTATAATAATAATTAGTCCAGTAATACAATATATAATCCTCTTGTATGTACTCATATTAAACACGCCAAGAGAAGATAAATCGTTCGTAGGTCTAGTGTTAATGACATTAATTAATGTACATTCGTGTTATAAGTGTGCCATTTTACAGAGCATTAAGCAGTATAATCTTATATTACTTATGTACAGTATAAAATGTCATATTTTGTCCGCGGTAGATGATTATTGGCCATCGTCTCTACCGCATTCGTCTCGACGAACGGGCGTGACCGCGGACGGTCAGCCGATTGCCATGGCCCTGCAGCGACGAACGGACTTTGTGATGGGATCGTTGGCCGGGAGTTCGGTGCGCACAGCTTTTCAGATGTCGCTGACCGTCCTGTCGTTTCTGGCGTTTGGAGGCTACGTGATCGGTTTGGTCACGCAGAACATGCGAAAACCACAGCAGGACGGGAACGGCGGCAGTGGCTTGACGGCCCCGCAACCACTCAAGACCGTGATCGTCAACCAAAATTCCAGGCGGCCTTGGAGGCCCACGACCTCGGTCAATTTCAGTCGACGTAAAATAAGCCGGAGGTCTACGTGAACGGTTTACATGTCACGATGATGCGTCCCTTTTTCATAATATGTTATTAATTGCTTGTCTCTTTACAATAAGGTTAAAACGAATTTTTATTATGTGTATAAATTACAAAGATATACAAACTTACTATACAGTTATGTAATAACGTACGATAAATACCCGCTATTCTATTTATTTGTACCTATATATTAGTCTACTCTACAGTACGTATAGGTATATTCGAAAATACTGCAAAAAATCATTTTCATTTGTCTATTAGCAAAATTGTCATTACAAATGTACATCAGCTAACATTTACTACTTAATTCAGAGCCAGAAAACGGTCCATTCTCTTTAACAAATAGCACATGGCTTACTCTACGATATATGTCCAAAAGTTCTGCGTAATCCACACCTCTAAATGCATAATTGCGGTCTAGAATAAGCAGTGTGTCAAGTTTAAGAGAAATCAGATTATTTTTGCGACTCTTTCTGACCGCAAATCAACAAAAATTTGCTGTTCTTGTAGGTATTGTACCTATAGATAGTGTAGAACAATTAATGTGCGACGAGTAATCCGATTTAAAATTGGCATAAGTAATTTAATATTTAGCATGCGAACATATGTATATTGTCGATTTATGAACGATGATGAAGTCAGACTAAGTTTCGAAATTATAGCTTTTTGAAATTCTGATATTATGTGGATATTATACGTTACGTTAAATAACTCTGTTTTCTAAAACATATTTATCATGATCTAATGGTTATACATGCCCATTTACATCTTAGGGCTCCCGAGTTCAAATCCGTGTTTCTAACCAAATTATTTGCATTTTTTTCCCCCTCTTACCTAAACAAGGAAAAAACAAATGCATTTTTGGTTGACCTAGAGACCCAAGCCATCGATTGCTCAGACTTTTTTAACCGCAAAATACTTCTCGATTTGTTATGCAAACTTTTCTACCAGAAATCTTGCTCTGATATAACAAGTGTAACTTATTTTTTATGGCCTATTTTTTTTAATATTTCGTATTACACACTTTTTAGTTTAGACTATACATTTGTAGTCACAAAATAAAATTTACCCCAATACCCTTAAATATAGCTATTTCACAAATTTTTCTACCATTTATAGTTGTTTACAATTTTTCAATTTCTAGGTTTAAAATTTATCAAGGATAAATGTATGGGTCATGTAAAACGTAAATTAAAAAAAAAATATTTCATAATATTAACTAGTTCATACTTTATTTATATATTATTCTTTCAATAAATTTGTTCAAATTACATTCCTATGGGTTTATTATAAATATTTTAAATAAGGTAAATACCACTTGGACAATTTTTTGTATCTTTTAAGGTCGGTACTATGTGAAAAAATTTGAGCATTTCTCTAACAAGTATAAAAAAAAAAAACCAAAACATTTTAGTAAAACTATGAAATTATTATTAACCATAAAATGATGTATACTTTTGCAAAAATGTATTTAATTGTCCAGTTATAATATTGCACAGGAAAATAATATATTCATATATTAAATATATGTTATTTAGGTATAATGTAATATATAAACATACACAGGTGTCTCTTACAATGTTTTCCAAGTTTTAATAATTCTCCTAATATTTAAATTTGTTTATTTTTATTTTTCAATCAGATTTTCTTTTAGGGGGGCAGATATGCAAAGAAATATTCAACTTTAATATATTGTATAAATTAATGGCTACTTATAATTGTAACAGAAAACAAATATAAGAGTTCATAGTATATTCAATTATTAGATCATGTACTGTAGATAAAGCTATTTATCCATTTAGCCAGTACAAACAATTCAACACACAAATAAGCGACGAGTCATTGAATTAAATCCTTATGTGCACATGCTTAAGCAACTCCTCGCCTCTTCCTATTATTTTGAACGTAAACAATGTTTCGTATAATTCTCTACCCAGTAATCTCCATTCCATAAATAAATATGAGATGAATCGCATATCAAGTACTTTAAACAGCGAATCATCACTAATATCAGCAACAAGAAACTGCATTGTGGCATCCATGGTACATGATCTAAAATAAAACCGTAAAACATAACTTATATTTATTTTAAATATTATTAAATGTACTCTTTGATAATATACCTATATATTAACAAACTCTAATACAATTTATACATAGTAACTAATATTGAGTTGAAGTAAATAATTTAAATTTTGTTTATCTAGTTCAAGGATTCTCAACCTTTTGGGGTACATGCTCCTTTTCATACTATTTTATGATGCCACACCCCCCCTCACCACAATAAGATTGAACTATGTGTAATATATACATCATACCTTTAATGTTGATTATTGGATTATATAAATGAAAATTAATGACATTTTTTTAAATTCTGAGTGGAACGAAGAAGCTTATGGTTTTACAAAAATGTTTTTTTATCACTTTATTATTAATATTTTTTTTTTTGCTAAAAGATATTCCCTTCTGTATCCTACATTCCCAACTTCCCATCTATAACAGTGACAGCACCTCCGTGTGATGTGTAACACATATTATTACATATTAACATGTAAATATTTAATGAATTTATTTGTTTGAAAAAAAATATTATTGTAATTTAAAATTATTAAAACAAATTATATTATATTCATTTTCTGAAGAATTAAATTTTTAATTTATTATTATTAAGTAGATACAAATTAATCAGAGGGTTAGCACTGCTTAGCTCTTATCGATTTCTTGATGTTTGGCGATAACTGTGATAATGTGCATCTCAGGTCACAAAAATATTCATGCCTCCCCTGGAATTTTGTGATACCTCCATAGGATGGCGCACCCCTCAGATTTAAAACTGCTGATTTAGTTATTGTATAGATAAAATAAGCATAAGTTTATATATATATATATATGTCATTTTATGAAATTTGTGTTATAAATATGAATCTTATTATTATTTTCATGTAATTTTCTTTACATTTAATTTATATGCCTTAAATTAGTACTTGTAAAAAAATTATACAAATATTGTAAATAATAATGCTATAATTAAACTTCAATATTCATGTCAGACCGAAGTCCACGATTTTTTAATATTTCTTCTGCTTTTAATATGGGTTCTTCTGTTCTTGTATGCCATACATACACCTTAAATTATAAATTACAGTTAATTTGATATGTGAATACAGAAAATACAATATGTACATTTAGTAAAAACATACTTTAGTACAATTATTTGCCATTGGTTCCAGTTCTTCTATAGTGGTCACCTGTGAAAGTATTGCACTTTCTTGGTAGCCACGACTAACGTCCCAGGAAAATGCAGCATTGGGATGATTATGTAACACTTTTAAATTAATGGCAAAACCTGCCATATCAATAGGAAATGGTCGCTCTGGTCTCCATGCACTGTTCCAACCACTGACTTTACCTTTACTATTTACCAATGGTTTTTCCACTAAAAGACCACCAACAAGACCGACTGGCCATACACCAACGCCCTTTATTTTTCGCATCTATGTAAAAATTACATAGTAATACTAATCAAATTAAAAAAGAACAGAAATCATAAGCAAAAATGTTATTAATAAAATTAAAAAAAAAAATACAAAATATGTATATAAATTGAACATAATCATAAATCAATTATTTTCAAAATTAATTTAAAATATTACAATTTCTATACACAAGACAAAATATTTAAATGTTTTTATGATGAAAATATAGTACATTTACACAAAAGAAATTTTAGATTTTTAATATATTATATTAAAAAAGTGTCTTATATTGTTTTTGATATGATTAGTTAATTTAAAAACATAATATTAACTTACTTCATTAAATAAATCTACACTATATGTATTATCATCATCAGCAAAATAAATAATTCCTCCATTTGAATCATTAGCTCGATTAGTTCTTAACCATTCTAATGCTTTATTTCTTTGTTTAACTCCTCTTGGTTTCTTCCACTTAGGTTCCTAAGTAAAATGTACAATTTATTTACAACATTTTTTTTTTAATTAGTAAACTGAAAGTAATTGTATAGGTACTTTTAGTTTTCTCTTCCATTCATTTGGTGTTCCTATAGCTAAGTGTGTATAATTTAAATGACTTTTTAAAAGCAAATTGGCTACAAGTAATGTTTTTGTTTCAGAGTCTTCAACAATAATCCAATGAAAATTATTTACAAGACGAAAAGTGTTGGACAGTCTACAATTTTAGAAATATGATACATATAATCCTTTATTATTTTTAAGTTTATACTTTGTATATTGGTACCTTGTTAATTCTGCTCGTTGTACAGGTCTTTTGTAGGTAGGTGTTATTGCATAAATAATTGGATTGTTTGGTTGCCATTTATCACATATACTTTCAAATCTTTCTTTTAAAATATTGTAATTTTGAGATTTTATCTTTAACTGAAATCAAATATTTTAGTCAGCTATAAAAAAACATAACAAATATAATACATTAATAATTTATATAATACATAACTAAATCTAAAACAATATATTAACAAACTTGTTAACAGTTAGGTACCTACCATATTATATTCTAAATAACACAAGTCTTAATTAAATTATAAGTATTTAGATAATTAAACAAAATACCTATATAAATTATTATTTGTTGAAAATTAAGTCAAGTAATAAAGCATTTTGTAAATTTTCTAATAAAAATACAGTTTTGTTCATTTTTATCCAAGTCAGTTTTAAATTTGTTTTGTATTTATTCAATTAGTAATTTCTTAAATAGGTTTGAACGAGATTAAGGATAGGTACACATATAACTATTCTTAATCATTTATTTGAATGGATAAATATATTTAATTTTTAGCAATTACCTATAGAAAAACAGTACAAAGATTGTATGTACCTATATACTATAAACATAACATGTTTGTAATTTATATATAAGTACTTAAAAGTATATTTAGTTTAAATATAACTACCAAATACCAATAATTATGTATAGGCAAATTTAAATACCAATTACAATATTATAAGAACTTTCATTACTAGTTATAATTGATGTTTCTATTTTACATTCAAAATAACATAAAAAGATATGTTTTATCTTGTTATTTAAACATCTTATAAAATAACCTAAAGAGGAGGCCATCACTGCATTTACTGTTTAAGTTTAATTAAAGGGCAAACTAGTAAAAATATGTTACTTAGAACATAAATAGTGATATTATAGTTGAAATTAAAGATAGGTAACACAATTTAAAAAGATTTCATTATTTTCTTAAAAAATATTATCAAACAAAAAATGTATGGCTATGTTAGTAATTTTTTAAAAATGCCCTTAAAATCCTCTTTAAATTTTGTCATTTGTTTAAACTTAATTTCAATCTAAACATTATAATGTTTAAATAGGTAACACAATTATTTAATGTTGCCCATTAGATTCAGACAGTAAAGTGGATGTAACATTCTCTTCAAATAATTTATATTATGAATAATATAACAAGCATGCAATTATCAAATGTAATTTCTTTACTTCATATTTGGTTTGTTCCAATGACTGTTTTAAAGCTTCATACTGTGATGCATCTAATAAAAAATACAAATACAAAGTAGTTTCAAAAAAAAAAAAAATGTGTTACTAATATAAGATCAAAATTTACCTCTACTACGAATTCCAATAAACCAAAAAATTAATAATGTAAAAAAACAAAAATAAATTATTGTTCTTCTTTTATTAAACATGTCTATAGCCTTGTAGTTATAAATAAAATTTGTCATTTTATTTAACTCATAATATTTAAGTACATTTAATAACCAGAACTATCTATCAATTATTACACAGACAAGTAACACAGAATAAAGGTAAAAGTACCACAATACAATGTCATGGCCAACAAACAGGAAAATGTTATTACTTGGTATAAAACATTTATTTTATTGTTTCATATTCATTTGAACTGTATTTTTACTTAAACTTTATATATAATAAAACTAAAGTCGTAGTACAAAATTATAAGTATTCACTATTCATTTTCAGTAATTCAGTCTTATGTTTGTAGTAAATCATAAGTAGGTATTTGAAATAATTGATTTTGACTTAATATTTATACAATTATCATAGAAAAATAAATTAAAAAACGAAGTAGATAGTAGTTAATATTTTTATTATGTTTCTGTAGTTAAGTAAAATTATTTTATACAAGTTGTAGATATTATAGTTTTGATTTTGTGTCATGAATTATGATGATAAAAAACTGTTATTTTCTGACACGAGTCCATTGAGTCATACACAAAATAAGACGAAAGCTCCCTAGCAGTATTGGCATCCGCCAATAGTAATACAGATTTACTATCATGAATATATGATCGTGATAATAGAATTCTTTGATAATAGAATGTTTATTGTTTTAATATTATGTCATGATATCAATTGTATATTATACACAAAGAGAATATAAGATATTATCTATGATTATACGTTTACATGATAAGAATTAAGCCGTTCTTAACTTAAACAGATTTTATTATGAGTGGACCTAAATTGCCTGACTTGTTTACATGTAAGTCTTTAATATTAAATTGGTAGGTAATTTATAAAAATGAAATTTGATTATGTATTATGATTTATGTTATCACTTATTGTCAAAATAAAATTAATTGTTCCATTTACATGTACAAAAAAAAACCGATTTAATTTCGTTAAACCACACATTCGAGTGTCCTTAAATTAAACCACTTTCATTTTTAAACCGCCTTTAATTGTGCATCCAAGCGTAATAATAGACTAGTTATTAGGTATATGATATAATACTATAATTATAATTATATTTATCGTTATGACTGTTCTTTTATTTGTCAGAAAGATTTTTCGTTCCTTCATTATGACGTTTGCGCCAAAAGAAAGTAGCACAGAATATAGTCAGACGTTAGTTCTATTAGCACTTCAACTTTAATATAATTGGAGGAAATACCTTTAATAACAAAGAAGTCAAGTAGATCAGGGACTTTATTCGGCCAATGTGTTGGCTTCCTGATAGAAATGATGTCGCATTGATAGCGTTAGCTGATTTTAAGAGAGTACATCCTTTCTGAGTGATAAGGATAACTGACTGTCAGTTACTGACAAGTCTTGATCCCTAGTGAGAGTATTTCGTGTTATAATCTCCATCAAAGTATATTGATTGTATCAATATTCAATTCACTTTGGTCTTCATCTACAATGGACCGGTCTCCTAGTTCTTGGAAAAGTTCTTTAAATTTAATTTCGTCTACGCCTCCTTGAGGTAAGCAATAAATAGCCCTAACTGTGAGGTTTTTGTTCTTGTCGTTAATACAAATACTTGACGTGTGCTGTTGATTTCTTTTTCCTCTGATTTAAGTTAATAGACATAAATTGGTTACTTTCTAACCTATCTAGTCTAGATGTGACACTAACGACTTGGTAATGTTAGTAAGGCAGATAAAATATCCGTTAAAGTGAATTTATTTTTTTTTAGTCTGTTGTTGCTGTTTAGACGTTCCGTTACATTGTTACCAGAAGAGCCGCTCTCTGGGCAAAAGTAGTTATTTCTGACGGTTCCTGCTGAAAACGTACTGCAAAAATCTTTATTGGATGTGCTCTTTCTTTTACTTGTGTATGCCTAAAGGTTTGATAGTGGCACAACATTTTTTTCTTTCTTGTGGGTTTTATTGACTTTATGATAACATAGACTATGCACCAAATATATACAATATATGATATACTATAGATGTTCTTATTTTTCCGTGGGACTACGTCCACAAAAAAACAAAGGTAGTTTTATCCTCGTCCATTCACTATTTTTATGTTTTGGGTTTAATTTGTTGGCATAATTCTAGTTTAGTAACCTATCGATTTTTAAGATTTCGTTTTAAAAATGTATGTTTTTTGTGTATATTAAGAATATAAAAAGAAATTCGGACAAACTTCATTTGGAAGTTATAGGAGAAAATTTCATGAAGTTCGGGTTTTCCGTTTCGCGTATTTCTTAATTAGAATGTAACATTTAAACATTTTTTTTTTACAAAATATGTTTTTTAATACTTAATCCTTAAAAAAAACTAAAAACTTACTTGTGAAGTTATATTGTACAATATTGAAAAATAGCATTTTCAAAATGTGGTCAAAAATAGACATTTTTTATTATTACTACTTGTAGTTATTGATATTTTGATAACAAAGATTTTTATTGGGGGTAAGAATAAGTCTATCTGGCTGTTTTAGAGTTACAAATGTTCAAACGCGCAGTGTTTCGCTGCGCTAACTCGGACAATTTTAATTGAAAATAACCATGAAGAGTGACCACATTGGGTCTCTAATTCTATCTATAACGCTTTTGGCTTTTTTCTGTTACCTACCCGACGTGGTTTTGCATAACAAATCGATGGCTATATTTTTGATTAATATTATCAGAGTTTATTCTTTAAGTAGTTTTTCTCTTAAAAAACTTACTCCGATGTATAAGTATATTATTTTTTTTATTTTTTAGCGGTATTCAAAATAATAGTGATTAACCAGGAAAAAACGTAAGTATGATTTTACAATTTCATTATTATAAATATTTACGGACATTTTCTACCAAAAATATTGCCCCATTAGAAAAATGACAGAGACCATTTTTGCTGTATTTTGAAGTTGGTTTCTCATGGTAAAGCCGTTTATTATCTAAGTAGTTTTCATAATAGACTACTGTTACCACATTAACGCATGTACTGTATACGGCAACAGAGCGACGCCACCACCTGGTGACGTCACTGAATATAATGTTACTTAGGTACTGTGGGGTGTTTACATTTGACTATGAAGCCCACCTTTATTTTCTGTAAATCTTGTCTCACACGGGAAACGATTTTTATAGCAACAGTGATAACATTATTCGTTTCTATGTTCAGTCATATGGTCATACTGCAGAAAATGATTTGCCGAATAAGTCGCAGCCTTAGATTATGTATCGTATAATATGATCTTAGGTTGCAGCTGTTCGATTTTATCACCATTAGCGATACCCATTAGGAGAATGTTGTGACTATTTTAATGTTGCTATTAGTTCTATTATTTGTGAAATATGTGTAGTTGTGCTATAGCTATCAATTAATATTGTTATTAATCTAATACGAACGTGCTAACATTTATTGTTCGTTGTATGTAGAATATCATAATAGGTAAAATCCAATAAACTTATTAAAATAAATTTTCAACAAAATGACGCATTCAATTATAGTAATCGATTTTAGTTAATAATTTACATTATGTATCTATAGACATTCATAATATTAATGAATAACTATAATATTATTACTATTGTTAAAATAGTGTTTTTAATTAATCATTATACTATTTATCTATATTAAATGTAACAGAATAACTTACCTATAAATGATATTAACTTTTTTTTTCCAAGTTTAAACACACACCTTTTAACTTTTTTGTGTATGTATATACGTTAGTGTGTGTGTGTGTGCGTGTGTGTGTGTGTACCTATAGTTCTATTCATATTTTATAATTGTATATTATAAATATGCACACTTGACAAGTATTATTCATATATATCTAAATAATTTAAAAATGTATTCATTTTAGAAATACATTACCAAGTGGCAAGTACCAACAAAGTTTATCTTATAAATATCATGGATCCAACATCTTATCACTCAACTTAATAATGGGTATGTAATATTTTAAGATTATAGTCACAAACATAAATACATAATAAACTAATGACTAAAATAATTTTTTTCTTTTGGTTGTATATTGTAATAGGTACCTAGGTATGTTCATGAAATATTAAATAGATAATTTCTATCATCTTTGTAATAACTAAAATTGAAAAAAAATTTAAAAAATTAATTGGTTAGGTATAGAAAATAATAAATAACTTAATATTTATCTTAGTTACTAATTTTTATATTCCTCTGCTAATAATAATTATTATAATACTTTTAAACTAATTAAAACCACGTCTATAATTTTATTTTCTTAACTTTTGCTGTATATTTCTATACTTCCAGGTAATCACAATTTTACATTACTTATCTAATCATTGTTATTTGTAATTTTACATTGAGTACCTATTCATATAATACTCTTTACAATTTTACCACAATATGTCTACACGTCTACATTTTTTAGTTATATTTTAAAGAAAATATTTATGAAATAAATGTTATAATTTACATAAATAAATTCCAATGTTTTAATAAATATTTAAAGAGACACTTAGAATAAGTTAATTTTAGATTTCTAAATTAATACATTGAAGAAACAAATTTTTCACATGCTCTATAAAACTTGCCACTGGACCATATATTTATATTCGTTCAGACCAAAGAAATATTGTCATTGACAAACTTATGAGAATGTTTTTAAAATATTGTTGATGACATTGTCGGGGAACCTGTTCGCAATAAATTTTGTTATCAGCAGAATAGCGGTAATTTTTATAGTATGTTCATTAACATTGTCATCGACAATGTTTCGGCACGTCCAAACCAGTCAAATTTTGTCGATAAATATTTAATAAATACGTCATTTTTGGTTATTCATTCAGTTTAGCTTTATTCGCCTACATGTAGTGCATATTTTCACCCGTACATTTTTTTTAAACAGATTTTTAATTTTTTTTTTTCAAGTTATAATAAACTGTATTTATAAATTAATATTTTAATTTGTACATTTTATATTCGTACCTCAATATTCCAAAAAGACCAATGTTATCATGTTAAGATCAGTCATTAAATCATTACCAGTGTATTTCTGCTTTGCCAAAAGACTAGGGAGAACCCATTTCTTCTTTTTGACGACCTTTTCATTTCTAAACTCAAAATTATGCAAGCAGATGCAGCAATCACAACATCATTTTTGTTCCACATTTTATCCAAAACTAATTCACAAACCAAAATATTTATCAAATATGTTGTTTTAGTGTGAACATCTCTGTTGTCAAATTTTGGTTTGTGATATTTTGTCACCGACATTGGTTTCAACGTCGAGGACAAATGTTTCTTGGTCTGGATACGGCTTAACCGGCAATAAATAAAAAAGGATACTCAGGATCTAATAGACCTAAAACAAAATTAAAAAAGAGCTAATACTACTGATAGGTGCGCTACTGCTGAAGTTAAGAAGGTATAGAATACGTAAAGTTAATTAATTTATACTTGTGGGTAACATTAAAAAAATTGCTAATTAAATACAATTCTGAGTAAAGTTTAGTTTTATATGTTTTAAAATACTGTGATAGTTAAAATTTTCATAAAAAATAAAACATTACTAGACACTCAATAACTACATCTAACACACTAACCCCTCTTTTCTTTTTCATGGTTTACTGTGCCTATCGTCTTTCAGTTATATAATGTATCCTATAACTTTTTGGTTATGATTACGAATCAAACAAAAAAGTAAAGTTTCATCAAAATAAATAAATGATGATGGTAGGGTTGGAAGTGGAAATCTTGTACAGCAATACTTGTTATATTATATAAACATTTTAACCTTGCTACTTTGATGAAACTGTAAAGGTATTTAAAACCCATTACCCTATCCCCACAACGACACGGTGAAGTTCGTATTGAAATTAAACTAAAATTTTATCACATCTATCAATTCTCCTATAAAAAAAATTATGATAAAGTTTTTGTACATTTGGTTCAGATGAAGTTGATAAAAGTATCAAAATATAGCTACACTACAGACATAATACAATGAGTTAATGTATTCAGGGAAAATTTGACGAAAATAAATAAATTGAGCCAAATATTAAAACTAAATCATAATTTAGAATAAAACACATGTTATATTATTAGCTATACTAGTCATTTTAATAAAATATCAAAATTTAAATGTTTCAAGTCAAACCTTAGGTAAATATATGTGAGTTGTTCATTTTGGCAAACTTTTTTTTATTGTTGATAGATATATATCTAAACAATTAATGCAGAAAAAACAGTAACATTATAACACTCTTACTGTTTTACTAATAATTAAAGGTTTTGATTAGGTATTATTAATTAAATTTTGTTTTTTTATTAATTTGTCTAGATTACATACACATCTAAATTTCAAGGTTGATTATGATATAAAACTGTCTCACTCAACATTTCCCATTCACAGTATTGAACTGAAAAAAAAAATGTGACTTCCTTTTTTTACCCCTGTTCTTATCATAGTTGATCATTGCTGCCCTGTAATTTTTTTTTTTTATAGAACTGTTACCGCTGATGAGTTTGCTACTCATGGAAAGTTGGAAAGTTAGGATGGTAGGATATATTATAAAGTTATTTCACTTAACGAAAAATGACAACATTTGATCTTCCAACATTTTCAACAAGACATTACATTCAACTTTATTATTTATGGCGTACCAGTTTTCAACAATTTCTAATCAAACCTAAACAGTTTTATCCATTAAAAAAAAACTTGAAAATGTAAAATGCCTACAAATAGTTCAAAAATCAAAAATTACACTATATCTAGTAAAGGCTAATTTAAGTATTCTATTGAAGCATCAGGCCTCTTTGATTATTTTTAACCAAATTACAAAAATAATGAAATTTTTATTGCAATAAATTTTCTAGTTTTTCTTAAAATATTTACGTTTTTTTAAAACTATGAAAATTACTTGAAAAATTAAAAAAATGATTTTCTTACTTGCTAAATAGACAATATTTTATTTCAGAATTCTTAGGTTAAAAAATGTATATTAAACTTAGAATTAATTGTTTTTTCTCTTGATATTAAGGAAAACTGTCATAGAAGATAAAATATTAATATGTTTAATAGAAATTTATGGGTTTGCTGTTTTTTTTTATAACATTAGAGTTACAATACAATATTAATAGAGATTATAATATTAAGACATTCAAAATATAAAAAATAAAATTATCTTCTTCTCCTTTATCTTCATTCGACTATTTGGGGTTGCGCATCGTATTAAAATGTCCACTTGACCCGATCTCGAATACACTGGTTTTGTAGCTGTCTTATTAATATCTAACTACCTCGTTTTTGGTATTTTTTCCCCCCTATGTCCATTTTCATTAAAATTCTTAGTGCCTCTCATGGGGGTTAGGAAAAAAAAGCAATACATCCATTTTAAATAGTATAATATAAAAAGTAATATTATTGGTTAGTACTACATAATAATATTATATAGTACCATATAATAGGGACCTACACTATATTTTAATTCCATTGACTACATTATAATATATTCAATGATAATATTTTAAATGTTTTAACAAAAATAATTATTGGTGCAAGTTATCGAAATCTGTCCACAATCAAAAGTAACAAAAATTACTACTATTGTAGGGCAAGTACAAAATATATAAAAATTAATATAAAATAATAGTATATTACATCATGCATAGGTACAATAATAAAATATTTGTGTATTAAATTTAAAAAATAAATAAATGATACATACCATGGAGTGTAAATAAACATGTACCTATAAAAAAATGTATTTATTTAAAACGTATATATGTTACAGTGTTTAAGAAATTTTTCAATATGATTATTATCGATAATTTATGTTATCTACAATCGTACGATTTTGAAATTCAAATTATCGAATGTTCGTTATCCAGAGTGCAGTGATAATGATGCTCTACAAGTACATATGCTATAGCCATAGTTTAATTTTAAGTAGATCTTTATACATATTGTACTTAAATTGCAATAGTAGTCAATTTTGTTACACTCAATTTCGATTATGGCCTGTAGATTTCGATAACTTATTCCGATAATTCTTGCTACTGTTCTTCCAAATTCATACTCCTCTTTATTTATACTTATCATTAGTTCCCTTCCTTCAAGTGCTACTCTCTATTCATTAAGCACCCTATTGTTAACTTTAACCAGATTTTTTCGTATCAAAACTATATCACCTGTAAACATTGTGTACCATGATACCTCCTCTCACCTGTTGTCTCCGTCGATATCTGAGATGAGACAATATGCACTAGTCTTGTTTAGAACTACTTATATCATTTGATAGAACTTAACATTGGCTGTTAACCTGACGCAATCCAATTTGTTGCCTTTTACACCAGGTATAGGTACCGTGAGAGCATTCTAATCCAATCCCGTGGAAAGAACATATAATAAAACATAGAATAAAAATATTAAACCAAATCATCATCAAATGAGGGCTTCTTATTAGCAAGTGATATAATAAATTTCAGAGGTAAATTTTGTAAATAATTTGTTTGGATCTAGGAAGATGGAATATATTTCTTCAGGTCACCCATCTATTTTGTGCCATAAAATTAAAAAAAGTATAATCAAAGTTTGAAGCCATTTGGATGATATTTAGTGGAGGTGCATTGCGCTTTTAATTTTTAATATCAAAAAGGTTACATTAGATCAATGGAAATAGTGTCAAAAACGACCATAGATCGTATAGAATTGATTTTTTTTAAATTAAAACCCATATTTCTATTTTAATCCTAAGATCTTAATGTTTTTTATTTTTTTTGATACCATATATTGGAATATGTTAATTGAAGACTCTAAGAAATTGATAAGCTGTTTATTATTACAGCTAATAACTATTTTATATTCAAGAGAAATATATGTTGAGTTTTACAAGAATTTCTTGGGGTCAAAAATATGATTTTATCAAGGTTTGAGTTATTTTCAGTTGAGACTCTACTAACTTTATTAATATTACAAGACTTTTTTGAAACCACATACATGGGGATTAGATCATTCAAGAGGTTCAGTTGATTTCTGGAAAAATTATTAATAAATGATTTAATCTATGAGGTGGGTTTAATTAATTAAGTAGAACATCTATTCCCATATTATCTATCACTATTTACTAGGGGTGTTTTGGAAGGTTTACCCTGTAAAAATAGTACATATACGATTATACGTCTTATTTTTTTTTTCTGTTTAACGTGCATATAGTATAAGATTTAGAAATTAAACAATCTATATTCCGTAAAATGTTGAATTTATATTTATCTATTATCTATAGTTATCAAATTAGAACTGTGTAACCAATAGGTTAAAATCTGTTATCTTTTATGGGATTAAAGTTTAGTGTTGTTGATCAACACAAGTTGTTTTTTTTTATTAAAAAAAAATATTGTATTAATACATTTTGAAAATGTTATAATTATATTTTAATATTTGATAATGAATTTCACATAAAATTATAATCATTATAATTAAACTTTACAACAAATGTTGAATGTAGCCTTTCAATCTTTTGATGTGTAACCTGTGTCATTTATAATATTGAACACTTCTGTTAAATACACAATGCAGGCTGAATTGGTCAATATCTTAAGCAATCTTTTTGGTAGATTATCTGAACGTACTTTTTGATTTATTTATTTAATTTCGCACTTCAAATACCGTTATTGGTAGGTAGTTCTATCTATCTATCTAACTATCTCCAAAAGTCAATCCGTGCTTTTCTAGTCATAAATTGAAAAGTTTTCTTTCGAAAAATTGTTGATACCTTTCAAACTTACTCTCAAGATTGATATTAAGTTCCTATCAAGTTGCTCTTTAAGTACTATTCAGATTGCTTATTTAATTTTTTTTATCTAAATTGAAGCTACCCTTTCCATATAATTTTCAATTTCTTTTTATTCATCTCTGAAATGCTCTTTCTATGAGTCTTATTTGTGTATAGATTTGTTTACACTGTTGTTTATTTTCAACTTTTAGTTTATACAGAAAGATCAGATTTTAACTTTTTTTAAATAGAAATTTTTTAAAATACCTTTGTCTTTTTTTCTTATGATATTTCATACAATAATATATAATAAAATCATAAAATATCTTGTATGTTTATTGTTAACAGAATTATTATTCTGAACTCTTATATAGTTAAAAAAAAAAAACAAAGAACATAAATTATAATATGAAAATACTATATCACTAACTAGCTTTTATTTTAAGAGTTTCCCACATTTTTTTTTCTGTTAAAATATATTATGTCAAAAACACCAATTTTTTTTTATAGTTTTTAAAATTTTAATTTGTCATAAATTAACATGCATTATGGTTTGAATTCAAAATCACTTTATTTATTATAGGTTTAATTACGTATTACACTTAAAAATACATACACATAAGTACTTAATAGTTAAGAGTACATACATTGTTCACATTAAAGATTTAAGTATTTATATTTTAATTATGTAATAATATACAAATTAAATGAAACAAACATTACAGTATCAAACTGGGGGATATAAATATGTTATATAAAAAAGAAAAAATAATAGGTAACTTTTCATTACCAAAAATGTGCATACCTCCAACAATATAACTTGTCTACATTTAGTTTTAGTTTCTTAATCTCGAAGCATTGGTAATTTGTCATGTAAAACACATGTGGATTTGATATCAAAGTTAACTATAGGCTCTTGACATTTGTTATCACTTTGAAGTATACCACAAGCTCGAAATAAAACTTGTTTAGGGTCCTTAAGTATATGTTTCTTGCAAAATTTACTCTTAGGTATCATTTTTCCTGTGCATTTTATACCCATTTCTACAAATGTACAATGTGGTGGATGTGATTTTCCCTTATTACTTAATAATGAAGTTGCTCTGATTTTTCTATCCATAGCTGTTTTAAACACGACTGCCTCCTGCCCGATTGTCATTTTTTGATAGTGTTCCAGAAGTTTAAGCTTTTGAAATTTTGTGTATTCTTCTTCAGTGGCCCATTTTGAATTATTTAGCAATCCACTTCCACAAGGATCAGAATCACATTTTTTATTTAATAAGAATTCTCTACGTTTTATTCGATATTTGAATAATAAATATCTATTAAAAAAATAATAATATTAATAAACAGTTATATAGTTTTTTAATTAAAAATGTATGTACCTGAATTGCTGTGCATACAACAATTGTAGCTTAATAAATTTATTCCGCACTCTTCGTACAGCCTCTTTTTCAGATAGTTTTGGCATATTACATAAAGGATCTGATTTGATTAAATCAATATCTTCCAATTCTGGAATTTGTTTATATAAATCAACAGTAACAGTTTTAGTTGGTGGTTCTTCATCTAAAGGTTTTGAATCATCTAAGTTTTGTTTATATCTTTCTTTAAGAAGTTTTTTTGAGTCAATTTCATTAAATGGATTTAAACTTTTGTATTTAGTAGCATAGTGACCAAATTCTTTTTTTAAGTCTACCTGCTTCTTTCCTTCCATTTCTTTGATATGCTTTATGTAGTAGAATAAGTTATCAGTTAACTATTATTATAATTTATTAAGTTTTAAGGTTAATATTTAGTAAATTATTTTACACTATGGTGCTTAAAAACAATATATTTACACACGTTAATGTAAGTGAAAAAACGCCGTTCAACTGTTGTCCATTACGTCTGACATTATTATTATTTGATCAACAATATAGTAAATGTAGACATATGAATTCTAAGTTTCATAGGTATAATTATGTAAAATTCACATTTAGTTAATAAATATTGTTCTTAACTTGAGTATATAATTAAATACTATTTTTGATATGAAACTAAAACCAAATACTCGAAAAGTACAAACACATAACCTCAATTTTTCATTTGGTATTTAGTATCGCGCATGCGTATACACATATGATTTAACAGCTGTTGAATCAATCTTGTTTTTCCATTGTCTCGTGACGTTGGCCCGTACTTCGTTTGGGTAGTGGAGACAGTGGACTGTGGAGTGTTGTATAGACCTTAGTTTTGTTTGCTGTTATTGGCTATTGCTACTTGCTTAGTTGTAATTGAATTTATGTCATTTCTAATTAGGCAATTTTGAATAAAGTGTACGATACGAAATTATGAACGCCGGGCGTTCTACTAAATCCTATTTTATAAATATCCCCAATACAATTAACTTCCGGCTTGTGGTGAGTGTCCAGGAAAGGGTTAGGCATTTTTGTTTTTAATGTTGATTAGGATTGTTAACTAGTGAAAACATATAGGTACTGAATATATAGATAATTATTTTATTTTCAAACAAAATTTTATTTGGTGGTCATGATAATCAATTTTTAAAATTATCTTCTTTGTTACGTATATTAATTTAGATTTATAAGATGTGTTAATTATAAATACAATTTTTATAGGGAATTGTGATTTGATTGTGGCATGATTAAATTGCTTGGAATTGACGTCTATGGCCGAACAAGCTAGTTCCGCGTTTGGTAACGCGTCTTCTATTAGTACCAGGTTAGTAAATAAATTATATTTTTATATTCATATTACTGTAAAATAAATTGAAATTGTCTACAGGAGGGGAAATATAGAAGGAAATACTAGATCTAGAACTGGTTCTCGTAAAGATAATAAAAAAAGTACAAATATTCAAGAAGATACTACATCAAATTTAGATAATACTGCAACATCGTAAGTCCTAAAGTTGTTTTTCATTAAAATAATAAGTAAAATAGAATTAATTTTAAAATGTTTTTTCATGTTATTTGCCTGCGCTGTATGCCTTTCAGATCTGTGAGTGAATCTACTGCATCTGTTCCAAGTAACCGTAAAAATAAATCAAACACTAGAACAACTCGAACCAGTACTTCTAATTCATTAACAGTAAGTTAACCTGTTGTTTTTATAAAAAAGTGATAATATTTTTTAATAATTAAATTTAAATGCTTGTAAGTGATTTTAAAGTATATAAATAAAGTTTAATATAGATTTGATATCTATACGCAGTTATAAAAATATACTATCTTGTAAATTTATTTTAACGCTGTGTCTATACGTCTGACAATGGTCGGTATGATAAGGAACACCTCACCAGAAAAAAAAATACATATTATTCACACAATGGGTGGACCATTGTTGTAGGTAAAAAGTTGGGAAAGTAGAATGTAGAAGAAAATATTGTGTTTTTATATATACAACAATTCATTGCTAACAAAAAAAACTATTTTGAGTGGATTTTGGTTATACATGTTTTAGAGGCCTGTCTAGTGGTCGGTCTAATGATTTTATTCACAAAGTACGTATCTATCGAATAAATATTACGCAAAGAACTAGCAAAATTATAATATTATTGATCTCAAATATTATGAAAATTATACTAAAATATAACTAACAATAGTATAATACATTATTATTTATACATAGGTACTCAGTTTTGTTAATTACGTATTAAAATTAAATTAAAAAATATAAATTTTCTAATTAATAAGAAACTGCACCTTTATGCCACAATTTTTTTTTTTTTAATATCAAAAATGCTTTTTGTAATAACCTTGTATATTTAAATCATGGTTCTAATTGTATTGGTTTTACTGACCATAGTCTGACACATATTATGAAACCATGGTTAGGCGTATAGATATAGCGTTATTTCAAATGTCATTATTTTTATTATAACTATTTTTTCTATTAAATATGACCTATCAATTTTTGATGATCCGATGTCAAATTAATATATATATTTGAATGTTCTTAAATCTACGAGTACTTATTAGTACCTATAAAAATATTTAAAAAATGTGTACTATTCTGTTATCTTCACTACTGATATATTTCCAAAACTATCTGCTATAATAAATTGTTATGTTCCTTTACTTATTATTTATATTATTATATTATTTCATTGTTTATTATTCATAAAAATACTTTTTCAATTTAATAATTCTGTGGTTGGATTTTTTTCCGGGATTTCGTGTCTATACGCCTATGTATAATAACAAGAGTCGGTAAATCATTATTTTTTCTTAACTTTTTGATGTATGGAAATCATTTTTCACATTACTTATCATCAAACTATACATAATTTTATAAACAGTACTAATTTTACAAAAACCTGGAAATTATTTCACTGAACCCGTAGTCCATAGATTTATATGTAAAACCAGAGTATCTGGATGAAACCCAGAGAGGCGACAACCTTAATGACAATGGACGTTTGCTACATACATTTTTTTTTTTAAATTAAATAATATATCCGTATGTGTGTTAACTTTTTTATTAAAATGCAGCAATTATGGTAATAGAATTGATTATAGCAGCTATTTTTGGAAATATTTTGGTAGTCAATATAAGTTAGTATCAACAATTTTAAAAAGCTTTCATGTTTATTAATTAAAAAATGAATAGATGCATTTTTTAAATTTTTACAATCAATAATGTTTGTATTTATAGCACAAAGAACCCGGTCCAAGTAGAAAATCAACATCAGTGAAATCACCTAAATTAAGTAAGTCTATTTTTAAATTTATTTTCTGCCTACCTACATAATTTAAATGTAGAGTAATTCTACCAGTCTTTGACAATTTAACAGTAGAGTATTTGGATACATTTATTTTATTGTAACATTTATAACCTCATAAATCTTTTAGAGAAGAGTAAGTGTGGCAAGCTGTGAGAGCATTGTAAAATAAATAAAATTTTGTAGGTCCAGATAATGTATTAGTGAATGTGTTGAAAATGATAGTAGAGCTAGACAAAGATCTTTTCAATAAGGTGGTTGTAAAGGGAAAACTTCAGACAAGTGAAAGAAGGAATGAAAGATATACCAGAGTGTGGAAAATATAAAGGAATAAAATTGATTATTATAAAGAAAATATATATGGTAATAAATTATAGAAAATAGAGTTAAAGGTGAGACATCAATACCTAAGAACCAGTTTGGTGTTCTATATCAGGAATATCGACAATAGAACCTGTGTTTGATATGAGATAGATTGTAGAAAAATCCAGAGAGAAGATAAAAAACTGATGTATGGTTTTTATAGATTTAGAGAAGACATATAAAAGACTGCTGAGAGAGTTTCTAATCTGGACGTTAATGAGGAAAGGAGTTCTGAGATTGTATATTAGTTTGATGAAGATAGTAATGAAGGTTTAAATATGAGTGTAAGAAGTGTGAAAGGAATAACAGAAGATTTTGGTGTTTTTAGTAGGTGTATCTGGTAGGTCTTGAGTCCTTGCTTTTTATATACAAAGTGTGTTGTCATGGTGCATATTTGCAGAAAATATATTTTTGATACCGAAAAATCTAAAAAAAATTAACAATGGTCTTGATAAATGGAGCACTTGAAAGAAAGAGACAAAAGATAAGTAGAAATTCAGATTATGAGTTTCTTAGTGGGCCATGTAGACCCATCGCTGCCACCACTATAATATTCACATCCTTTAATTGCATATTTGCATAGATCATTACTACATCCTTCCATCTTGTTTGGGGCCTTCCTATAGGTCTTTTACCTACAAATTCTGTCTTCTGTGACTCATTTTAAAGTTTTTCCATCTGCCCTCAAAACATGTCCAGCTCATTCTATCCTCTTGCTTTTACTGTACGATAATATATTTGATCTTCCATACATACTTAGCAAGTCATTATTATATTTCTTTCATACATTCTCATTTCTATATTATATTCTGGGCCAAATATTTTTCTGAGCACTTTCCTCTCAGTTGTGTACTTAATTTATTGTTGTCACCTTTTGTAGTAGCCCACGTCCCACAGCCATATGTCAACACTGGTCTCAAGTAACTTGTATATAAAGATTCTCTAGATCCTATATGATATAAAACATGCAATTTACAGCTTCATTATTAAGGGGATTAAAAAAAAAAAAAAAAAGTTTTGTATATTTTTTTAAAGTTCATAAATAAAATTGTGAATTATTTTATTATGTACATACATATATATTTTTTAGTATTAGATATTTTGGTCTATAAAATAATTGTTAAGTAAAAATGTATATTTATATATTTTTTTAAATTTATAATAGAAAAACAAAAAGGGTCTCCTACTGAAAATAGATATCCACTGCGTAGTAAATCAAAAGTGTCTACACGCGCTGAAGAAAACATAACAAACGAAATTTCTACTCAAGAAATAGAACCTTCACCAAATAAACGTCCAAAATTAGAACTTCCTACGCTGGGTATGTTCAGACTTAATGTTATAATTTTTTTTTATTATAAATGCATATTTATTTTATTTGGTGTTTGATAATATTTATAAAACATTTGTATTTTGTTTAATTTAAATATCTGAATATTTCATTATTTTAAGGTGCGTCTTCAAGTCAAAGTAAGAACAGGGCGGAAAATAATTTACGCGCGTCTTTACCGCTGCGTAGGAAACGCGGAAGACCAACAACGGGGTCTTGTGCTAGTAGCAGGTAATAATATATTATTTTACATTTGTATCAATTAAATATTTATAATCAAGGCTTAGATTTTATAGCACCAAAATAACTGATATATGCATTATAATATGACCTAAGAAATCTTAAAATAAGCTATAAAATTCCATAAAAACCTGAAAAATGGCTAAAAAAAAAATAATTTTTCTTTGAATATAACTGAAAAAAGTTGTAAATGTAAATTGTTTGATGAGTCAATAAGCTGAGCTACTTAAAAATAAGATAATTTGAAATTAAAATTTAGGTATTTTTCTTATGGATTCATATAAATGAAAGATTTTTTCTACTATTTATAAAAAATACAAAATAAATCATTATATTATGCATACTAGTGAAAAATAGCATTATAAAATTTCATATTTGGAGTCCTTGGCACATAAAACAAATATAAAGCTCACTGCTATTTTTATCTATATAATAATTAGCAAATCCTAGCCCTCTTATAATAGTTACAAATAAATTGTAATTGTTATAATATATTTTTCAATGATTAATTTTAATAATTTTAAGTCGCCGCGGTAATACCAAAGCGAGTGGAAGAGAAACTGCAGAAGTGGCTATGGAAGGAGTGGTTGAAGGGGATGGAATGGCCGAAGGCACCGATAATCTAAATCTAATAGCTTCTACATCTAGTTCAATTAGTACTAATGCTCCTGATATGGCTACATCATCATCCACTACTACTAATACAAATCCATCTTCTTCTGGCACACAAGCTACTGGAGGTGGTATAAACTGTAATTATATTTAAACTATTTATTATAATTCTCAATATTAAATTTAAAAAAAAAATGTAATAATTTTCTTTTAGTACCTACTGCATGGAGTAGTGGCACTGCGAGTCATGACAGTGAAGAAGAAGGAGAAGTTGGACGTTTACAAGCATTATTAGAATCTAGAGGATTACCACCTCATTTATTTGGCGCGTTAGCCCCTCGTATGCATCATTTATTTAATCGATCTATGGGTGCTGCTTCTACAAGTATGAATTGATAATAAATTAATACATTTATTTTTATTAGATATTTTATATTTACTTATAAATACTTTAATATAATACTGTTTTTGATTTATAGCATCTAAAGCTCAACAATTATTACAAGGAATGCAAGCTACAGGAGATGAAGGGCAGCAACTTCAAGCAGTTATTGAAATGTGCCAAATGTTAGTTATGGGTAATGAAGATACATTAACAGGATTTCCTGTGAAACCTGTAGTCACTGCATTGATAGTTTTACTTTCAATGGAACATAATTTTGATATGGTAAGTAAACAAGTAAGAGTTAAATATTTCTGTTATTAGACATTTTTAAAACAATTTTTTTTTTTTTTTTTGGAGTGGGGTAACAGGTTAGATTTTGAATAAGATTAAAATTGAATCTTTTATTTTTCATTTTTAATTAGTTAATCTTGAAAAATTTCTTTAACTTTATGTGAAAAATTAGGTATATATTATTTATTATAGCAGTATTTAAAAATTAATAATAAAAACTTTGTATAACTTAACTACATTTTAGTATAAGTAGCATCATATAATTAATATATCTTATATTTATTTTTTTAATAACAATATTTTATCAAGTATGTGTGTTTTCAGTTGGTGCAATATTTAAAAAAATAATTGTATAATTTTAACTTTTAATAATTATAACTATATTTAGATGAATCATGCTTGTCGTGCCTTGACATATATGATGGAAGCACTACCACGTTCTTCAGCTGCTGTTTTAGATGCTGTTCCGGCTATGTTGGATAAACTACAAGCAATTCAATGTATGGATGTAGCTGAGCAATCCTTATCTGCTTTAGAAATGCTATCAAGAAGACATGGCCGTTCTATATTACAATCTGTAAGTATTTAATATATATAATCAGCAAAGAGATCCGAAGTAAATATAATTATTTTTCTAGTCTCTATGATTTATTGAATTCAATTTTAATATTCAAATTAAAACTAAATAAATGGTTAAATTTATCATTTTTATTATTTTTGATACTAACAATTAATCTTATAATAAAGACATTATATTCAATATTTATGGCATTTTTTTATTTTGTTTTTAGAGTGGTGTGGCTGCTTGTTTAACTTATATAGACTTTTTTAGTATTAATGCCCAACGAGCAGCTCTGGCTATCACTGCAAATTGTTGTCAAAACATGAATGCTGATGAATTTCACTATGTTTCCAAGTCATTAACATTACTGTCAGGTCGTGTAACTCAACAGGTGTGTAATATTTAATTAACATACAGTAAATTTTTCTATTTAATTTCAATTTAATTGAATGAATTAATTTGGATCAGGATAAAAAAAGTGTAGAAAGCGTCTGCTTAGCATTTAGTCGTCTTGTTGAGAATTTTCAATCTGATTCAAATAAATTAATAGAAATTGCAAGTGATGAACTTCTAACTAACCTTCAACAATTGGTAAATTATTTATGTTTATATTTATATAATAAATACAATAGTTCGATTTTTATTCTACTTTATTATTTAGGTTGTAGCCTCACCTCCTGTTATGAGTACAAGTACATTTATTATGGTGTTGAGAATGATGTCTACTTTATGTACAAACTGTCCAGAGTTGTCTCAAACTTTATTAAAAAATAACATTGCTGAAACTCTTGGTTATCTTCTTACTGGATCTCCTTCTCCAGAACTTACACAGGTATTGTTTTACATACTTCCTTATAACATAAAATATTTGATTACAATTGTATATCAAGAATATGCAAAAACACATGTCTATCTTATAATTACCATTTGTTGTATTGTGTAAACATAGTGCTATACTTTGAATTATTACTCAACACATGTATATATTATTACCAAATACTAGTATTTTCTGATCAAATTGTCAAATTGGTAATCAATTTTTTTTTTTTATAACTGGGACAAGGTCTATTTGAATAAATATTAATTTAGAGTCCAATGAACTGTTTAAAAATCAAAATGATCATAATTTATATCTTAAGCCACAAGTTATTATTATTTTTTATTGATTTTTCTTAAAAAAAATTACTGACAGTTTAAAATGAATCTTTTAAATGGCTTATGTTTTTTTTATTTTTAATTATTAAAATAAAACATTTTTTTCTTTTATAAATATATAATTTGTAGTATAGGTAATGTTTTTTTTAATATTGGTATTGCAATAGTAAACTGATTCACGATATTCTAATTTTTCATAAACAAATAAAATTATAATAACAATATTTACTTTATTTAATAAATACTAAGTATTAGATAAACAAAATAAATTTATTTATGATAGTTAGGGGGGCGCCAAAAACCATAAGTATCATATGTATATTGTATACTGGACATCATATTCAAGTTCTATTAAATGATTTTTGAAGAGGTCATCATAAATTGAAAACAAAAATTACAATTTGTAAAAGTTTGAAAACCACTGATGTAGACCAGTGTTTATTAACCTGGGAGTTGCCAAAAATATAAAATATTGGGTCTCCATGTATAAAATATATATTTAAGGACCGCTAGAATATTAAATATTCATTTATGGGTTCGCGACTGTAAAAAGGTTAAGAAACACTGATCTAGACTATTTAGTTTTGGGTAATTCCATTTAATCATAAAGAAATATGCTGGTATGTAAATTTAGGTAAAAATTGTATTGACATTAAAGTTTATAGTGAAAAATCTTTGTAGACTCTTATATAAACTAGTACTATTTGTTATTATTCATTTTTTTTTTCCATAGATTGAATTACTTCCAAGAAGTTCCCAAGAATTATATGAAGTGACATGTCTTATTGGTGAACTTATGCCTAAATTGCCTTCAGATGGATTATTTTCAGTTGACAGTCTTCTTGATCGTAATGGTGTTTATGGTGCAATTCCAGGATCGGGGTCATCTCAACAAACGGTTCAGTGGCAATGGAGAGACGATAGATCTATGTGGCATTCTTATACATCATTAGACTCAAGAATAATTGAAGTACAGTAAACTTTTTGTGTTTTATTTTTGTAATATTAGTAATTTTGGGAAAAAAAAAAAATATTTGTATTCAATATTCTTGGATATTTATTTTTATATATCGATGATAACTAGTTGAAAACTAATGTATATATTCAGGTAGCACATCAAGCTGGAGAAGACGAAGTTCTTTTAAGTCATGCTCCTTATACAATTGATCTTCATTCTATGAGACAAATTAATGAAGATACAGGTACAACTCGGCCTATCCAACGCAAAGTTTTGTCCAATGCATCATCTTTGAATAATAATCAACAATCAGTATCTACTACAGACATAGAAACAGTTGTTGCATCATTTGGGTAATATATAATTTGTATTTAAAATTTGCAGATTAGAATATAAGTAATACTTAAGCATTACTTAATGCTAGATATGGTTAGGAAAATATAACAACTTACATATTGTGCTGTATAGTAGGGAGTTTAAAAATTGTATATTTAAAATGCATAGTTCATGGATTTTCTCGTGCATATTTTATATGATCATGTGCTGCTATAATTATTGACTATAAGTTATTGTAAATCTTTTTATCTACTTTTCAGTTCAATAAAAAGCCAACTAGATTTTCACCATATTTTAATCAATTTTACATAATCAATTTGCTATTTTACATTTTACATTTTTTTTTTTTTTTTTTACTCATAACTTCCAAGGTTTGAAGATGTTCACATTATACAATAATAATATGTTTATTTTTTTTACTGTATTTATAAATATTTGTTATTTATTTTATTTTAGTGAAAATGAATTGGCTGGAGCATTTGTACGTTTACTTTTCAGTATATTATATGAAGTTTATAACAGTTCAGCTGGTCCTTTAGTCAGATATAAATGTCTACGTGCATTATTGCGCATGGTTTATTATTCTCCAGCAGAATTACTTTTGGTAATTACATATTTAAATTTATTGAATAATAATCAATATTCATTGAAAAATATTTTTAAAAAGATTCCTGTTATGTATATTAATTGTAGTACAATTATTAAATAATACTGAGTGTTACAGGTAGTATAAAGTGATAATTTACAATTCTAAATAATTTAAATTGTATAACAGTTTACTTAAGTTTTAAATTTTCAAAGAAAACTTTTATTCACTTTTAACTCTGTAAGGGTTTAAATATATAGTTTATTCTAATTTAATTTTTAAATGTATATATCTAATAATATTAATTAAATTAATACATATAAGTAAAATAGAAGAGTTTTTGTCTCATCTAATTTTATAGAATTAGCTTAACAGATTTAGATAGTATTTTCAAACAGGTAGAGGTTTTTGTAAAGAGTAATCTAAATTGCTTTTTACCTCAGAAATATTAGTTTCCTGCATAAAAATGAGAAAACTTAAAATTAGTGATTAACTTAACCTTGACAAAAAATGTATACCTAATTCAAGGTGAATTTATAGGTATGTGATTATTTGACAAATAGTAAATACACCATAGGTAATACTTTAATTATTATAAATAATCAATAGTATCAATTATCCTTACAGAAATCTGAAAAATAAAATATCAGTTGTGGATCTAAAGAAATAAAATATCAGATTAGAATTTTACTTTTAAAAATAGTTTGGTAGGAGTGTACTTTTTTGTGTATGAAAGTACTTTTAATTGCATTTAACTGAGCATGTTTATTATATTATAAAGGTTAACTGAGTTGAGGGTGATACATGTTTAACTAAATTTCTTAAATTGATTTTTATTTTGAAAACATTTTTATTTATTCTAGTAATTAAATTATCACTAATAGTTTCAGTAGAACCATGTGAATTTCTTCCCTAAAGTAAATGGGATATTAATAAAATAAAGCATTGAGTAAAGGTGAATGTTGGAAGAAAATGGAGTGTTGGAGTAGATACCTGAACATTTGAGACATTTGGTACAGTCAACATTAATTATCTTTCATAGGAGTATACAACTATAGTGATCCATATGAAATAAAATCAAAACAAATAAGGACACAAGGAAATTATTTTTATTTTTGGTTAACTATAAGTGCCCCTCTTATTTTCTGATCATATAAAGTATTCAATGGATTTTAATAAGTTTAATTTCACTAATTGATTGTCTCAATTTATAAGAAATTCTTAATTTAAATTACATCTACAATAGAATTAATTAAATTTATCAGTTTTTTTTTTTCAGTCATTTTCTGTTTTCTCAATAATTACAAAAACTACCCAATTAAAACAATGAAATATAGGTAATATTGCAGCACGCCGAAACCTATAAATTTTTTTTTTCGGGTTTTTCCTACATTTTTTTGATAATCCATTGGATAATAAAAAAATAATCTCTACTGCACCAACTAGACAAGATTTTAAGATTGCAAGTTATTTAGAGACGATAAAATGGACATCATAGTAAAACCAATTGATCCCTTCTATACTCAACTCAAGAAAGTCGGAATTTTTTTTGAAATTTAAATTTGTATTATGAAAACCATATAAATTACAGTATTTTATGTGCTGTTTACTAAATTATGTGAATATTATAATTTTGTTAACCAAGAAAAATGTTCACTCAAAATTGTTTTTCGTAATTAATGATTTATTGTTAAGTTCCAATATAAATTATATTTTCTTAATGCAAAGCTTTCCAATTACAAAAATGGCACACTTTTAGTTTGATTGAAGTTAGTCAGATTTTTTTCAAAATCAAAGTAACAATGTGATTTTATTTTTAAGTTTTATTAAATATGAGAATATTCGTAGTTCTGTAATTATTTTATAAAATATGAATAGTATTCATTGACTTTTTTAAACACAGTTTTAACATTTAAAAAAAAAAACTTCTAGTCTGAGATTCAAATCTGGTCTATTCTGCTTTTTTTAATGTTATTGGATTTTTAAAAATGTTTAATATAATGTGTACAATTTAACTGTTAAACAAAAATATACCATGTTATTATTATATATTCTTTTAGAAAGTAGTAACACAAAAACAAATGGTTGCTAGTCATATAGCTGGTATGATGGCCTCACAAGATCTTCGTATTGTTGTTGGTGCTATGCAAATGGCCGAAATTTTGATGCAAAAATTACCCCAAGTTTTTGAAACTCATTTTATACGTGAGGGTGTTATGCACCAAGTTAAACATTTAGCTGAAGCTGATATTCAAACACCTGTAAAGTCTTCTCCTTCTACATCAAATGCTGGAGTTGAAGGATTACCTGGGCCATCTAGGAATACTCCAAATGGTTACTTTTTTACATTTTTAAAAGTCCAACTTTTCATGATTTATACATTTAATTAAATTATTTTTAATATATTTTTAGATAATGCACTTAATCAATGTCTTATACCAACTGAAAATGGAAATAATGAAATTCAATCAACAATTAGTGGTCCTGATGTTGAATTAGGGCCATTGCCTGATGCTAGTGTTTTAACTCAAGTTGCTCAACGTTGTTCAGCAAAGTAATTAGATATTTCTAAAGATATTAGCCCTCTACATAAAATTGTGAGGACTGAAATAATACTAACACACAGGACAAATTAAATTCTTTATTCACTTTTTACAAATTATTAAAAGTTTACCTTTTAGTTCTTCTTTAATAATTGCATTTTTTAACTAAAGTCTTAATTATATGGAATGATATTATTGCTATGATTTTTTTAGTCGTATGTCTGAAGTATTTAAACGAAATAAAAAACACAACAAAAGACAATCTGCTAGTGCTGCTCGAAAAAAGGGTAATCAAGATATTGAGATTAGCGAAGTGCAAACTGTGGCTGGAACTAGTAACAGTAGTAATACTATTACACCAAACCCTGCTCAAACATTAACATTACATGAGTATTTCATATCAAAAGGTATATTTTTATCATATTCAAAATATATTTACTAAAATTAGTTTAATTAAATTAAAGTATTCAATTTTTGTATGTTAAAAAAATTAACAAATTTATAAAGAATTGTCATAGAATGTAATAGTAAAACAATTGTACATTTTTTATTTAAAACTGATGAATCAACTAAAATTTAAATGTGAATCAAACTGTGTTCTGCATTCTTTGCAACCAAATCAAACTCAACAAATAGTTCAAAAATCTGATGAAATTTGTATTTTTTAACTTCAAGTATTTTATTATTCATTAGTACTGAAAATAAAATGACTACTGATAACTGAATTGTAAACAATTGGTGGATAACCCCCCCAACATTTATTTTTTATGGACAAATACCATTTCATATTTTATTATATGGGGTGATCAATCTATTATAAGACACTCATTATATCCCTAAGTATTAACTTTTTCCAGAACATTTAAGAAACAAACTGCTCTACAATTTTATGTTTACATTATTTTTTGTCAACCTCATTTTTGGGTGTAAAATCACTACCTACTTTTGATTTTACCCCCAAAAATAACATAATTGTAGAGCTGCGTAATTCTTATATTTTATAAAATAAATTCTAAAAAAATTTAATACTTCCCGAAATATTGAGTTTCTTACGATAGATTGATCACCCTGTATATAGGTATATGTAATATATAACTGTCCTAATATTTTAGTTCAAGATTGGTATGAATATAAAAAGTTCGGTTACAAAATATTTAGTTTAACCCATCTATCTCTACCAAAATAAGTTTTCTACCGCTCATGATAATTGAATTTTGAAAGTTGATTTTGATTTATAAAGGTTCTCAACCATATATAATATTTGAATAATAAATATATTGTCTGTTAAGTCAGTTCATTAGAATGCACTCTATAATTATTTTTTAATTTTAGGTGGAAATACTGCTTCGCGAGCTGTTGGTGTTAATTCATCATCAAGAACAAGGTTTTCCAATTCAAATTTTAAAACTACAGGGTTTCTAGCATCATTAAATCCAGCACGTCTTTTAAGAAGTACAGAAAGGGCATATGCTAAAGTAATAATACTATTAATAATATCTGAATGATTATTCTTAAATTAATTTAATATACATATTAATTAAGGAATTGAGCAAAAGTTTAGTTGGTAATACATCAACTTCTACAAATACTGCATCAAATTTAAGTGCAGTTAATAAAGAGAAGGCTAAATTTTGGGTAAAAGAAAGAGCAACCTACTTTTTGAATGCCTATGATAAAAGTATAAAAGAGGAAGAAATGAGCAGTGAAAATGAACAATCTGAAAGCATTTTAACACGCCTTACAAAAGCTATTAGTAAAATGCAGAATGAGGTAAAATTTGAAAATATATTATTGTGCTTAATATTAATATCATTTTTGTTTTATGAAATAGGAAAATGAAGATATTAATGCTCTGTTAGAACTTAGAGAAATTGTACTTACCTCAGATATATCACCTTTTGAAGTCAATCATAGTGGATTAATTAGATCACTGAGTGTATATTTAACTGAAATGACATTAGGATTGGATCATAGAAATTGTCGATTGCGAAAGTTTTTGCATGTTTTTGCTGGATATCCTGTAAGTATAGCTAATACAAATGTAAACAATTGTATTATTGATATAATTAGTTTATTCCTATTTAATAATTTGATGTTTAAAACTGACTAAGTACTGTGTATTAGAAAATATCCTGTGAAAAACCCAACCAAGTACTAAGTATTGAAAAAGTGGCGGGCTAGATCTAAATGAGTACCTGCAACAACTCTAATATAAATTACACATTTATGTACATATCTTGACTAATAATAACTCATAAAAACTACTGAAGGCTGAAAGGATACTCATTAAATGGGTATAACATGGCTTTTGGTGACTTCGTTCATAGTTTTTAAAATATAACTTATGAATGGTAGCTTTTTTCTCCCTATAAAATTAAAATTTGAATTATTATCTCTGTCGAATATAGAAAAATGTTGTCACTTCCAAATACAATATTGTGTATTTAAACTTAACATTTTTCATAAGAGCATCTACTACAATTAATTCTAAGATACATATAATACAATTGAAACATTTACAGTACAACATTATTATCTAATTTAACATTTTGTGATTCTTAAATTAAAGGTAGAATGGAAATTTAAGAGTAGATTAATTTGTATATGTTTACCTATTTCAAAAATTATAATGTTACTTTATTTATATTTATAGATTTTTTTTAAAAATATGGATGGTAACGATAAAAATAATGTTATATTTGTCAATTATTTGAAAAACCTTATTTTTGTTTTAGCTTGATTGTTTTGAACCATTTACCACAAACATTGAAAACAACCAATTAGCTCGGCCATTTTCAGCATTAATCGGAAAATTAGGAAGTTGTGTTTCGCAATTAGAACAATTTCCAGTAAAAGTACATGATTTGTCAACCGGTGCTGGAAATAGTGCTTTAAAGTTTTTCAATACACATCAGCTTAAAGTAAATTTTGTGTTGTTTTTTTTGCATTTAAAATCTTTTATTAAATTTATATCTTTTTCAGTGCCTTTTACAACGACATCCAGATTGTAATAATTTGAAACAGTGGAAAAGTGGAACTGTTAAAATTGATCCATTAGCTCTAGTACAAGCAATTGAAAGATATTTAGTAGTTCGAGGTTTTGCTCATATTAGAGAAAATAATCAATCTAAATCAGATGATGATAATTCTGATGATGATATAGATGACACTTTGGTAAGTATTAAACCTTTTTTTTTTTTTGAAAATAAATACAATTATGCTATTTATTATATATTCATAGATATATTTTTTTCCCAAGTTAGGTTGAATTCTATGTGACAGAAGGGTATTTTTAAATTTAAACACCCCTAATAAAGTCTAAAGGATGCATATATACAATATGCAAAAGTGTATCATGAATATTTCTTTTGGGGTTTCAACTTAAAACCTTTTTACAATTTTAGATCCTAATTAAAGTGAGGAGTGTATTTGTTTTACAGAGAGATGTTTATTATTTTTATATTCAAACAACCTATAAATTCTATCAAGCCATTGGAGATATACTCCACTTTTAAATATGAGTTGAAGGAGAGTACTAGTGCATTATTAACACTGCACTCCATATCGTCACACAAATGATAACACTCCACTACTCTCCAACCCAACCTAAAAGTGGAATATCTGGCCCAAAAAAAAGATTGCCACTTAAAAATTAAAAATAGGTAGTAGTTTCACCTACAAAAATAAGGGTGCCTACCTATAAAGCAGCTTGTTTCTGAAATGTTCTAGAAAACAAATTCCAGAAAAAGTTAATACTATCCGAAGTAATAAATGTGTACCCACTAAAATGGATCACCTGGTATTGTTGACAAAGCAACTCCATTCAGAATTATTTTTTCTTTTAGCAATAGTTTATTGTTACTCAGATATATATTAAATTTACCCTCTTTTACCTTCTCAACATTTCACCTACAATAGTATGCACCCACGTGCAAAATTCCCAGCTTTTTTTATTCCACTTTTTATTTTAGGGGGAGTTATGAAATACTATATAAATGTCTTGTACCGTTTTACCATATAAATGATAATCCACTTCTCTCCCCTTACCTAAACTTTAAAGTGTAATATCTCATTAATGTGATCATAGAATCCAAAATTTGAACACCAAAATATTTTTAAATTAATACTCCATTTATTATTTTAGAATATTCAATTTATATTGTCATTGAAAAATCTAAATTGAATTTGTTTTGTCATAAATAATAGTGGTATAACATTTTGAAGCAGCTTGTCTCTTAAATTGTTGGTTCTTAATTTTTTTTGAAATAAGGAGTGTTTTTTCACGTTAAATGAATTGTCCTATATATATCTTAACATTATTTGTAACTACCATCAATATTGGGTAGATAGGAGAAATTTGACAAGCAATGGACTCCTGTGTTTGTCCTAAGGGTAGCTTTTTCGTAGTATAACCAAAATATATGCTGCAAATAGTGTACATTTATTTATTCATTAAAATTTAAAACTTTTTTCCCTATAAAAACAAATAATTGTGTCGATTTATAAATTCAAAATTATTTAAAACATTAAAAACTTTGTTTATTTAAAGATCTAAAGGTCTCTTTACTTTTCTTTTTTTTTAATTGTAGGCTGCAGTTGTAATTGGACAAGGATCAGCTAGACATAAACTGCAATTTCTCATAGGAAATCATGTACTTCCTTATAATATGACTGTTTACCAAGCTGTGCGTCAATTTTCCACAAGTAGTGACATGGAAACTGACAATGAATCTGAATTACCTTTGGGATCTGCTGGAATTTGGGTGCAAACACATACTATTTATTACAGGTATAATGCAATTTTTTTTGTTCTGGAAATATATACTTTTATTTTATTGTCTTACTTATAAAATACATTTTTTTTTATACCAAGACCCCTGCCAGAAGACACAGAAGTGCATTCGCCTAAACCTACTACTAGTAATTCTGGTAAAAAGGGTAGACCAGGAACTCATAAAAGTGCTTCTAAAAGAGTAAAAGACGAATTATGGTTAGGTAAGTCAATATTTTAAAATTATAATCATTCATATTAATATGTTAATATTTATTATGAATACATACAAATTAACAATTATGATTTTTTCAGAAGGAACTGTGTCTCCTTTAAAATCTTTACTTGAACCATATCTTCAGTTATCATTGCCTGATTATGTTCAAATTCAAGATCCTTCATTACCTGTACTCAATCTTTTACGGGTTTTAAATGCCATTAATAGGTATTGGACGTCACTTTATGCAACACAGCTTCATAACAACTCTATTATACCATTTAATGTACGTAAAAAAAAGATAAATAATGATAATACCAAAAAAAATAAAATGTTGCAAAATATATATATATATATATATATATTTTTAGGAATTTATTAATGCGAAAATATCGGCAAAAGCAAATAGACAGCTTCAAGACCCATTAGTAATTATGACAGGAAATTTACCTGGTTGGCTTCAACAAGTAGCATCAGCATGGTACATTTAGAAATTTGAATTTTAAAAATAAAGTTTATTTCATTTACCTTTTTTTTTTTCTAGCGCATTTTTGTTGCCTTTTGAAACTCGACAACTATTATTTTATGCAACTGTATTTGACAGAGATCGTGCTTTACAACGTTTATTAGACTCAAGTTCAGAACTCCAAGGTACTGGAAATAATACCAGTGGTGATATGCATGAACGTGTAGCACCTCGTTTAGATAGGCGTAAACGGTCAGTAACTAGATCTAACATACTTTCTCAAGCTGAAGCGGTGATATCTGAAAATGCAAGTTCACGAGCGTTGCTAGAGATACAATATGAAGATGAAGTAATTATAAATGAATTTGGTACATTTGAATAAATTATAAATAAATTTTATGTTTTTAGGTGGGAACTGGTTTAGGACCAACTTTAGAATTTTATGCATTGGTTTCAAAAGAGTTACAAAAAGCTGATTTAGAATTATGGAACAATCCTTCAAAGTCTGAATCAGACATTTATGTCCATTCACCTGAAGGACTTTATCCCATTCCATTATCTCGATCTTCTAAATTTACACATTTAGTTAAAATGAAATCAAAATTTAAATTCTTAGGAAAGTTTATGGCTAAGGCTATTATGGACTCAAGACTAGTAAGCTAATATTAATTTATTTGGTGTAAAATTATTATTTATTATTTTTGTGTTTTTAGTTGGATTTACCTTTAAGTATTACCATGTATCGTTGGTTAATGGGGCACGAAAACTATCTCTCTCTCAGTGATCTTTCATATATAGTTCCTGATTTATATAAAACATTGTTAAAACTTCATCAATTAGTACTTGAAAAAAGAGTAATTCTTATTGATAATTTGCTTAATGATGAACAAAAAACTGAGAAGGTAGATTATAAAATAATTATTATTTATAACATTATTAAAACATGATTTAACTTGTTATTTTAGATTAACAAACTTAATTTAGATGGTTGTTCTGTAGAAGAATTAGGACTGAATTTCACATTGCCAGGACACCCCACTGTAGAATTGTATAAGAATGGTCAAAATATAGATGTTACAATACATAATTTGGAAAAATATATACAAGTATATTTTTAAACATTCATAAATGATCTTTTTTTTCTGAGATCACAATATACCTAGTTATTTAAATTATTTTAGCTTATTTGCCATTGGTATTTGCGAGAAGGTGTTTCAAAACAGATGGAAAGTCTCAGAGAAGGATTTGAAAGTGTATTTTCTCTTAAACGCCTTGGACAATTATTTTATCCTGAAGAACTAGAAGCAATATTTTGTGGGCATACAAATACAACTAAAAATTGGGATGTACGTATGTTGTCTGAAGCATGCCGTTTAGATCATGGATATACAGCCAATTCTAGAGCTATTGCTTTTCTATTCAAAATATTATCAGAGTATGATCATCAACAACAAAGGGACTTTTTAAGATTTGTCACTGGAGCACCTCGTCTTCCTGTTGGTGGTAAATATTTTTTTTAATTATATACTTAGCTGTTATGAAATGTTTATTCTTAATTTTCAGAATCAATTTTATTTACTAATAATAATATACTGTATTATTAACAAATTATTAAATTTGAAATATTATATTTTTTTTTTTATTTTATTCACTTTGTTTGAATTTCAAATATTTTGTTCATAATATTTTGTTACCTTATTATATTTAATATTTAGAGCAAATTTTTCCCTTATCCTTAAATTTTGAAGTAGACAATCTTGGTCCTTAACCTTTATCTGACTTAGCCTTCCATATTTTTAATATTATCATCTAAAATTGTTCTTTCACAGTTATTATAAATTATGAACACAAAATATGTTTAAATTATTTTTCAGGATTCAAATCACTTTCACCATCATTAACTATTGTGCGAAGAATATTTGAAGAGAATGACAATCCAGATGATTATTTACCATCTGTCATGACATGTGTTAACTACCTCAAACTACCAGATTATTCCAACATCGATATAATGAGAAAAAAGTTACAAATGGCTGCATCTGAAGGACAACATTCCTTCCACCTTTCATAATTGTCATGTACATTTTTATTGTAGTATCATTAATTTCTTTTTAAATATAAAACCACTATAATGGTATATTCCAATTATAATAAACAACTTAAAGAAGGCAATATTTATCTACATTTTCCTCAATGGATATATATTTATATATATATATATATATGCATAAGTTAGTAATATTGTTTTTATAATTTTCATGTAAATATTAAGCATACAGAAATTCAAAACACATTTATTTTAGGGTTAATTTTTAATTTACAATTGAAATTGCTTTTATTTAAAATAATATTTAAAACTTTAAGATCTCTGACATGTTTCTTTGTTCTTGGGTGTGTGATGTTTAATATATATATATATAAATATATACATATATATATATATATATATATATACATACATATATATTATATACCTATATCTTTTTTTTTTTTTAATGTAAAATTTGAATGAAATTTAGGATATATAAAACAAATCTCAATAATGTTTTTTTTTTATTTTTCAGTAAAATATAGAACATAATATTGTTAACAAACATTTATCCAATTTCAAATAAAATTTAATTATCTTACATAAATTTCAAATATTTTTTTATTAAGTGATAATTAGTTATATCCTTGATAACACAATAATACATTAGTTTAATTGTTGTTAAAACTATTATTAAATGGTAAGTGTGAATTAAAAATTGTATTGTGTTACTAAGTCAAAATATAAATGTTCGTCAGCTGAAATTCAACCAAATGTTCAAATTATTCTGAAAAAAATACATCAATAATTATATTTTTGTGCAATAAAATTACAACATTTGTAAAAAGTTGAATTACATAGTGGTTATAATTATACAAAAATACATAATTACCATTGGTGTTTGGGTTTAATGGATGAAAATTCATTGAAGCACTATTTATACAGAATCTTCTTCCTGTTGGAGGTGGGCCATCTTTGAAAACATGTCCGAGATGTGCATCACATTTACCACATTGCACTTCAGTTCTTATCATACCTGGGTTGGTTATCAATAACAGCAAATTTGCTCCAACTGTTTCCATCACCGTCATAAAGCGACAGCATTGTTTTGTATAGTCAAGGAATAATCAAGGAAACGCCGCCAACACCACAAATTATTACCATAATATAAACTTTTTATCATCTATTTCAAAACAGTTGCTCAGATACACAGGAAAATACTGCATTTGTTTTAGTTTACACTCCAAAAGTTAAAAAATAATACGATTTTACAGAAATCAGTATCTTACAAATATGAAATATAATTGCACTGTACTTTAATAAAGCTTTGGCTAACACCCTAGACTTTTTTCTTTCCAATCACCATCGAGCCGATCGGGGAGAATTGCATGTGTTAGCATTACTTCTCCCAGCTCGGCATTCATTCCTTGTCAGAGCCATCTGCCTCAGGACAAGAGTCACATCCCCCCCTCAAAGAACTCTTGAGGTAAATCAAATCTATACAAATCTCAATTCAAATTTAATTTTATAAAAAAAATATAAATATACAATGTAGGTATAAATAAATAATAAACACAATACGTCAAAATGAATTTTATTTAAAATTTAAAATTCATTGGTTATTAAACGAGTGAGCAATATTGAAATGAGAGTTGTAAAGTTGTACACCAATTATTAGTAATCAATAATTTTTTACTGACCGAGAAATTTTATTGAGTCAATTTCTCATTTGTTATTGATTGTTAATACCTCTTGATTGTCAAAATTACTTAATTGTTCCCATTTTTACTAATGATTTCTTTACATCTTCTAAAGTTCCTTATTAACATACTTATATATCTAAAAAGAATAATTACCCTGAAGACTACAGATCAAAAGAGATAAACTGATATAAAGCCTCTTGTGTATCCCACTCCACATAAACTGTATAACTGTGTTTTGTGAATCTTACGATTTTGTAAGTGTTTTTGTCCTGAAAATGAATCTTCACCCAATAGAAAGTATTTTGATGAAAAATGTTTTGTTTAGATGTATAAATTACTTATTCTATATCTATACTTATTAGAGATAGAATTACCACAGATGTTATTAAAAATTAATTAATTAATTAAGAATTAAGAATCTAAATTAATAGATTTTATCTTAGACTTCTGGTTGAAAAGGAACACTATTGATGTCATCACAAATGAATTTAGGAACGTACTGATGGTTGGAAAATATTGAATAATGAGGTGTATTGTAATACATAAACAAAATTTATATGAGAATCCATTTTTAAATTTGACTCCTGGACCCACTAAATTTTTAATACGGCTTTAGGCAGACATAATAGTATGATAACAATATAAATAAAAATTAACCTAAATTCACCTTATAAGATAAGTAAGATGAATTTAGGCTATTGTGATTTTATTATTACTATTTTTTTAAACATTTATTTTCGTTTTTTTATGTGGGAATGATTTCTGCAAAATTTAGATTACATATTTTATTAACTCCGCAATATATCTGATTTGTTTTTGAAATAGTATTTTTAAAAAATAAACAAGTTTTTGTTAACCAACACAAAGCCTTAGCAAAAACCACTATAATTTGGTATTGAAAAGAGTATGTCATAGTATGTATATTATATTTTCAATCAAGCATTCATTATTAAGTAACATGAAAGTGTTATTAACTATACAGCGTTTCCACTCCCAGACAAATACACAAAAAGAGTAAGGTACCAAAACCATAAAATAGTGTTCTCACTAAAAGCAATTGAGAAGAATACAACTTTAATCTATATAAAACAATTAAATAACTAGGTATTATAATATTATTTTACCAATAAGCCAATGAGTTTAAATTAGAGGTATTTATTATAAAAGTGTAATTAATTATCCTTTTTGAAGGTTTAAACACAAAAATACTGGGTGCCTAATTGATATAAGTATATTAAACTTTGTTAATATTATGTAAAATAAAAATAGTAATTCAATGTAATAAAATATTTATGAATTATAGGTGTTATAAAATCATGTACCTATATAGTCAATTAATATTTTTATATCCAATTATAAATATATATATGTTATACAAATGCAAACACCTTTTTAGCTCAAGATAAATAGATGGTTTTTAAGTTTTTTTTTAATTATCTTACGTATATTAGAAATTAATAGAAGCAGTTGTATTATAACATTACTATCAAATGCTTATTTAGTGAGAATACTACTTAAATACTACGTTGCTAGGTATAAAAATATTGTAGACATACCATTTGAAGTGTCAGTTGTTAATTTAACTTTTTTTTGGTCAATAACATCATTGAACGCAGGCCAACCACAACCAGAATCAAATTTTGTTTCTGAAGTGAATAATGTTTCATTGCAAACTACACATGTATATAAACCAGCTTCAGTAGTTTTGTTATACTTGCCAGTAAATGCTCTAAAATAAGGTGATTGAAATATTTTTATTATAGATTCAAAAAGGTTACCTTTCTGTTCCTTTTTCTTGAGTAACATGATATTGAATTGGTGACAGACGTTTTTTTAAATCTGTCTTGTAATCGACTGATTCTTCGTGACTCATGGTTTTTCTAATTAAATTCGTCTTGTTTCTAAATTGTAAAAGTTTTGTTAAACCCAAGATTTTACAGCGACAATACATTCATAATATATAATAATATTTAGGTCAAACAATAAAATATATATAAATGATACAATAGTGTATAAATAAAATATATTAATGGAACAAAAATTTGGCTGTAATAATGATAATAATCCTACGCAATATGAATAAACATAAAACGAAAAACGATAAAGGTAATCACAGTCTCGAAAGTCGAGACTCACGACACTGGTAAGTGGCGGTACCTAAAGTTAAGCGATCTCCACAGATAGCTATATAAAACAATATTGTTTTATATATCTAAAATAACTAATATCTATGGTTATCTCTAAATTCTCCTCAATGTTAATTTTGGGGTCACTTAAAGAGGTAGTTTTAGTTCACTTTTCTACCACGTTTTATCAGCGAGCGCCTCAAAGGAACTTTATCGCGGCTATGTTCAAATATTCAATTAATATGTTAAGGTTTTTATTTTATTATTTTTTATTGATTTTCTACATTTAATGTTTGTTGGATAATCGACAATGGTTTGTACATAAATAATAATTTAATGATTTGTTATGATTATTATTATTTATTTTAATTAATTTAAATTATGATTTTTAAACCCAACCTGAAAATATTGTTTTTAATTTTTTATGTTAATATTATTTTAATTATAATTTTTTTTTATAGTCCCACAGATAAGTACAGGGGCGTGCTCAGAATTTTGTTTTGGGAGTGGTTTTAACTTTTTAATGTTAGTATCAAATTTACAATTACATTATTAAAATAAATACCTAGATAAAAGTCTGTACATAAGCGTATACCTATATAAAAACTCGTAATATCTTTATATTACTGTTAAATATTATAAACGCATTTTAACAGTTAACCTTATAAAGTTATAACTGTAAATAATAAAATTAGCACGTATGAAGTGTGAAAAATAATAATAATAATAATAATAAACATTTTTAGAAACGAATATTTTTACATAGTTTATACTAAAGTATGTATTACATCCTGTTTAAAGATGAAACACATTTTGAAACTAATTTATCAGGGTCTACTGTTATTTCATTATGGATTGATAGAAGAGCTAATCTTGTGAATAGATTTTCACTGGTAGTTGATCTTAAGTATGATTTTATGAGACGTAAACTTGAAAAAGGTAGTCATACTGTCGCAATTGATACCGGAAGAGTAGGTAATTAAGAATTAAAACATTGTTTTTTTTTATATTTAGATGAAATGTGTCATGTTACATATTTATTATTTTACAAAAACAAAAATAATGTTAAAAAATCAATTTGATTTCCCTAAAACCACCTCCTGCGCACGTCTCTGGATAGATGTATACCAGGTGATCCATTTTAGTAGTTATACAATATTAACATGCCGCATGTCGTTCAATCACACAAATTACACTTCACTACTCTCCTCCAACCTAAACTTAAAAGTGGAAAATCTCGTCAACGGATCAATGAAAATCAAAAAATTCAACAATAAATTGTAAAAAAGTATGTGAAAAAAATTAAAATTTTTCAAAATAATGAGTTGAATGTAACATATCTTTCATTCCTTTCATTCAATGAAATTATCCATGAAGACCTTTCCATACTTTCATGCTATTATTTGAGTGAACTAAATTTAGTCTGTTACTAAAGTTACTAAAGTGTCAGTGTTCTAGTGTTATAATATAAATTAAAATATATTTTTCAATATTTTTTTTTTTCTAAGTAATAATCAATTATTATCTTCAGAATTTTAAAATTGTTGTTCTTTTTTTCTGGAATTACTGTGTTAATATAGTATTAGATCTGTAGTATAACCTTACTAGAAATTCGTTGGTACAAACCAGTGTACTGATATATTTTGTATCGGTTTACTAACACTTGATAGCGATTATTTTACACCAGTATAGATATCCGCCGATGGAAATCGGTGTATCTCCACCATTATCCAAAATTAACAATGATAATACTATCAATTAAATATTAATTAATTATTTTAATTATTGGTAAATTATACTTCCCCTTTCCCGCTAATAAGTAATTAATAAAAATTAATTTGAATAGGTATTAATTATTATCGTTTATTATTTCGAGGGGATGAAACCGGTGTTAATATTTTGCACTATATGTATGTGATGGTGCAGAAAAATTAAACCGTTGTTTTTAATTTTCGCACCGGTTTGATTTTTAAGGGGAGTTTACGTCAGTTTGATTTATAAAGAGAAATTTACATAGGTTTGTAGTTTTATACCATAGGGTAAAAGCGGGTTCACACTACACCGTGTCGTGCGGTATGGTGATCATTTATGTTCGTGCCGTGCGTTTTCCAAAATATACATCAATGATACCAATGATTGTTATCAATTATATGAATATTGTACTTGACAACGGCATTAATAAATTTGAAATCTAAAAACATAAAATCCGTATTACAGATGTATTATTAAACTATAAAAGGTATTATTAAAATCCAGTAGCACTCAAATGAAAATGGTATAAGTACAACTATGATGTACATGAATATAATTAAAAAATACACCAAAGAAAAATTGCATTGTCATTACTAACGATTAACGAATTTTGTAGATGAATATATTGATGCTAAAGAAAAAAGTAATCAATTAATTTAAAATATTAAAGTATTAATATAGGATATTTGATTCAATAAAATAAATAAAACAATATAATATTTTCCACTCACAATCGTTTCCCAAATTCCATATATTTTATCATAGACAAGGTAGTTATAATATGTGTATTACAATAACCTCATCATAGTATTCATAGCTTTTTCGAACCAATAGTAATTGTACCTCATAACATTTAAACATTTGTTTTTATTTATTTATTTTTCAGTAAATAAATGTAACCACACGGTCAAAAGTCGAATATATTCAACTATGCGGCATCGTGTGATAAAATAACGAAATTCACTATGGTATACCTGAATGTAACTACGTGGTTCAGCCAATCAGAGGAAATTATTTTATACGGAACGATATGACATGGTGTAGTGTGAACTCACCTTGAAGATGGTTTTTGTTATTCTATGGTTTGTACCAACGAATTTCTTGCATAATTTATGTTGTATTATTTTCACAGTGTAGACACAAAAAAAGTTATTAAAGTTGGTAGTACAGTGTTGTTGAATCCATTGACACAACAAAGTTTTTTCATCCATGAACAGTATACAAACAAAAACAGAAAATTGCAGGCTTGGCTTTCTTTCCACCTTCATTATACCCAACTAATGGAGTGGTAAATGGTAATATTGCCGACTTTTTAATGGTTGTTAATTTTTTATGACTTGCCTCTCGTGTTTTCAGTATCCGTTTTGTACAAATGTGAATGTTTTTAAATACAATTTATTTTACTATTTATAAAATTATTTTTTTCATTTTGTTAATAATTATGTGTTTTGTATTGTAATCGATAATTTAAGTTTTACTTCATTACATCTTGTTTACATTAATACCCCCGTATTTGGATTGACATAGTCGGAATCAAGATGTATACGGTAAGCACCGTGTTTTAAGTATTTTATAATAGCGTACTTTATTTGTTGTTGTGAATTTATTTACATAATTAGGTACCTATTTGACATTTGTTAATAGGTACAATTTTTCTTTACCCTGTCTGATAAACTGTATTCTATAATTTAATCTTATTTTAAATTGATGATTTTAATTATTCTTAGGTTTATAAAAAAGAAACTAGGTATTTTTTATTTTATTTTATATTTACCTATTTAAAATTTATATATGTTAAATAAAATATGCAAATATGGTAATATGAAGATAAAATAATAAACATGAGAGTGAAAACTGTTTTCAGAATTTCTATGATTGTTATTCATTAGCTAAAGCATCACTATTTGACCATTTTCTATTTAACCTTTGTGGGTTGTTGGAAAGGTTGACATGCAAGAATTAATATGATTATTATGATTGTACATTTTGTTGTTTAAGGGGGACCGGCTGTCTGTTTTCCAAATTTTGAAAATTTTTTATAACATTAATGATTGTCTAAAGATAAAACGTTTCCACTGGATACTGCCTAATTCATATTTAGATAGAATAGTATAATCATTATACGGACTTAAAGCGAAAAATAGAATGTCTGGGAATCAGTTAAATGATAAAATGAGAAACATTGTGAGACAGCATGTCATAATTTAAAATTATATTTGGCTGACTATATGGCACTAGATCCACCAACATTTTAAAAATAATGTGGATTATGGAATTTAAATGTTTTCCTTGATAGGCAATTGCATTAGTACCTACAACTAAATTAAAATACCTAGTCTCATGTAACTGAATTCATAAGTTGTATTTAAGTACGTACTAAATGATACATTTGCTGTCCTTTGGTATGTAGTAACATAAAGTAAATAAATACTAAATATGCATTTAATCTATACAAAATAGTTAATCAATTAATTTCGGTACTAGTCCTCAGAACAGATTGAAAAATTTGAATACCACTTTGTTTAAAATTCTACCAAAGCCCAATATTTGGGTATTCATAAAAATTTTAACTACTAAATATTTTGTTTATTAATGAAAAATATTTGTATTGCTGTAATAAATTTAATTTCCTAAAAAGAATTAATAAAGTTCAAGCTCTCATTTATCATATAGACTTTCAGTGCCTAGATTTGTATTATTTATTTGTTGTTTTTAATTTATATTCAATATTTCAATCACTTGTCTATAGATCCGACCATGGTGGGTATCATAATACACGCCCAACTATGGTCAGAAAGATAAAGAACACCCGACCAGAAAAAAAGACCGACATACTATTTGCATGATGTGTGGGCCACTGTTGTAGGTGATAAGTTAGGAAAATGTAGAAGGGAATTTAATGTTTTATGTATGTAACGATTAATCATTGCTAATATAAAAGTATTCTGAGCAGAATTCGGTTATATGTTATAATAGCCTGTTTGGTGGTCGGTCCAACAATTTTTTCCACAGAGTACTAGCAAAACTATAATTGTCTATATATAGCTCAAATACACTAAAATATACAACATAATTATAATATTGTAATAAATTATTATTTATCTCTAGGTATTTAGTTTTGTTAATTAATTGTTAAATTAAGAAATTGATTGAGACTGCACCTTTTCGCCACCAATTTTTTTTCTTTTTATCAAGAATGCTTAATTTATATATTTCAAACATAGTTCTAATTGTATTAGTCCTATAATATTTATTTAATTCGTAAAAATATGAATAATAGATTTATACAGTCTGAACTATTTTTTATAAAAATATACCTAATGAAATTTGTGTTTGAGAAAAAATTTACTGTGAACCAGAATTAAGGCTATAAGTATAAGTACCTATCTACACTAGAGTGCTACTAAATCGACTCACTCACAAAAAGGCATATATTTTTTAAAATGGCTAAACCAATTTTCACAATATAAATATTTTTTGGAGGCTTAATGGTTTTACTTTACACCATTATCTTAAAAATGTCTTCAGAATTTTTAAATTTATTTTGTAAAAATTGATTGGTTAAGCCATTTTATAAAAATATGCTCTTTTGTAGGTGATTTGATTTAGTTACACACTAGTGTATATTATACATTATAAATTATAATAACAATTCAAATATTTCATTGTTTAAATTTCAGGGTACTAGTGCTGACCAAGATACTCGATTCAGTGATAAAGAAAAAAAACTATTGAAACAAATGAAATTTAGTGAATCTTTAAATGCAAAGGTATCTCATTTAAAATAATTTATTTGTTCTCTTATGTATACACGTGAATAGAGAAGACATAAAAATACAGCTGGATATTGTATTTTTGTTAGTTTTTTAAAACAAAAAATTGTTTTGATTTCCATTCAACCTTTTGTCTCTATTATTTCATTTACACATGATACTCTCATATGTCAAATTTTTAATTAAATTATATGCATATAATTTAACAGGTTGATATGAATAAAGTAAAACTGGATACTATTAAACCTTGGATCGGTAAAAGAATCACAGAGCTGTTAGGTATGGAAGATGATGTTGTAGAAGAGTTTGTAAACAACCAATTAGAAGCAGATACTGTATGTTTATTTATAATATATTGAATAAATAAATAAATAAATAAAAATACACATTGTTAAATAAATACTTTTTTAGTGCCCTGATCCAAGAAAAATGCAAATTAATCTTACGGGTTTTTTGAATGGCAAAAACGCTCGAGTGTTTATGACAGACTTATGGGAATTACTTATATCAGCACAAGAATCTCCATCTGGTATTCCTCCTAAATTTATTGAGCAAAAGAAAGAAGAACTAAAAAAGAAAATGGTAAACTATGCATTTATATTGTGAAAAAATTTTCATATTACCTATATTAAGTTTATTTTTACAAATCTGTTATAGAAATGTCTATAATATTTTATTAATGATATTCAATGCATTCAAATGTTATGTGTTATTTTATATTAAAAAAATAAAGTCTAAAAACGCTATTTGTAACATTTTAAGTGGACAAATGTTTAATACACAACACATAATCAATAAACGCAAAACGCAATAATTAAAATATCAATAAATGGTAATTATTGTTAAACAAATAAATTGTATTATTATAATTGTAAATAGAAATTGAAAATTAAGATAATGTTTTAATTTGGTTTTTCGAACGTGACAATATTTTATTGCTATACAAATAAAATGTATTAATTTTATATAATATTATAAGATGGGTACTATTTTTTTTTGCCACAATTAGGACGGAAATTCCTATGAATACATGTAGTAGTTAATCACATAATATATAAAAGTTTGATTTATTTTTAATATTGTTATTATTTGTTATTAATATGGTTTGGGACTTTATAGCATTTATTGCCATCAAAATAAGCAGCAAAAAAGCACTTAAGAATATTTAAATAAAAAAACAAGACAAAAATTATGAACAAGTTTTAACTTCTGATAAATTTTTTGAAAAATAAATTAAAATTTTTAAACAATTAGGTAAATATAATCTACAACTTTTTCAACGATATACCTTTTCACAACAATTTTTAAAAATAAATAAAAACGGTTGCTTATGATAACTTTATTTTTAGTTTTATAATCTGTTTTAACCTAAAGAACCATTTTTTTCTCATGATCTCAAATATTAATAAGAATAGCAAAATCTTTTGCTTAACTTAAAATCTAAAACAGAAATTAACCAAAATATTTAGTTTTTTTTTATCTATGATACGTATTAATTAAACAAAAATATAATCAGAAAAACTAAAAAAAGTATTTTCAATTTTGATATTTGTTTCCACAGTACTGCTAGATTTTATGTTGAGCCAAAAAAATAAGCAGCTTAAAGCCCCAAATTCTAGTTATTAATATTTCTATAGTATTGAGCCCAATTGCTTAGTTGTTCACTAAAAGTTTAGTTTGAGGTATTGACATCATTAAATTATTCTAAGTGTTATATAATATTCTAAAAATGGTGTATACACACATGTTAAAAAATTAAATTTAAAAAAGTGAAAACATTAAGTAAAACTGAAGATGTAAAAAAAAAAAATATTTAAAAACAAAACATAAAAAATAAAATAAAATATTATAAATAATTCATTATTCTAATATTTAAGTGCTTTATTGTTGGCCTTATAGGAAGATCAAGAACGCGTTGGGGATATGATTAAGAAGTTTGAAAAGGATAAAGAAGATAGAGAAAAGGAGAGGAAAAAAGAACGAGAAAGGTAAATTTACAAAGAAAAATAATATTTTTTATTTATTAATTTGAAACCTTCAATGCAATAATAGACTAATCCTTTTACATTCTCCATTATTAAGTCATTTGTCATTAGCTCCATTCTTGCTCCCAACAATATTTTTAACTATATTGTAAAATAACAGTTTATGTGCTGTCATTTAGTGAATATTAAGTGAAAAATGAGGTTTAAATTAAATTAAGTTTGACAAATTTGTGGTTTAGTCCATTAATGTACTGAAAGCCTCGTTTATGGTATGTACTCAGTTTTATACATTTTTCAACCTTTTTATTTTGTTTTATAAAAGTTTGTTATAATTTGAGTTTTTTGTGTATTCCAAAAGTTTTCAACACTTTGGTTTATACCATGTTATATACTAAAATATCCAACTTCTTGATGCATTATTTACAAAAACAATATTTTTTATGTATATTAAATTTGTCTTTTTTATTGTTTTCTTATAAATCAAATTATGTTTTTATTTCTGTTGTTTAAAATACCTTTTTAAATAATATCACATATTATAAATCCTTAAGTTTCCTCATTGTTTATTTAGAATATTTAATTTAACATAAAACACAATTAATAATTAGAATTATACAATTGGTCTCCTGATATTATCCTGAATATTTCATTTCTTAGTTTAGAAAGAGGATATTGTTGATTGAGTTAATATGGTTATACATAATTCATTAGAATACTAAACATAGGTTTTAAAAAAGTGTATTTATATTTTAATATATACATCTATTAAATATATACTTATTATTTTAGAAGGAAAAGTCGTAGTAGATCACACACTCGAGATCGCCGTAGTAGATCTAGAGATCGCCATCGTGATAAAAGAGATAAGGAGAGGGAAAGAGAGAAGTATAAAGATAAAGATAAAGATAAAGAACATGATTCAGATAAAGTGCGAGAAAAATATGCTAAAAGAGAGTAAGTATTCTTTTTATGTTTTGATTATAGATTCGAATAAAAGTAATAAATATTGGATTTTTTTTTTTTTATTTCAAAAAGATTTGTATGTTATTTGCAACAAAGATACATAGATAATATCATCATTAACCATATTTTTTTACTTCTCTTTATTATTTTATTTTCTCCAATGTGTCATGCTATCAACTGTGAAATACAACTTTTAATAATCAAAATATGTTAAATTATTAAGGTGGTTGAAAGTGGGTTGTATTTTTATGCATTTAGATCAATACGCGGAAAAATAAACAACATACTTCTAGAAGTCCGATTTTAATTTTGAAAACCTTAAAATTCATTAGATTCATGTTTTGTAGGAAATTAATTTTTTAGTAATACTAATAAAAAATAATCTTTGAGATATGGTGAAATACATTTAGTATTATAAAACAACAAATCTTATAAAAATCTTGCTCAAATCTAAATGCACCATTTTTGAAAGGAATTATTAAATATTGTCAAGATCTTTCTTTTGGAAGGTCATTTTAATTTTCCAATCAGTTTTCATAATATCTGGAAAAAACCAGGATAAAAGTTTAGAAAAAGGGGAAATTTACAAAAAAAAATGCTTTTTATTATTTTCAATTTTGTTATTTGTTGTAATTCAGTTAAAAATATTTGTAGAGACTTAAAATTTAGACATAAAATTTGCCTTTTCTAGACATGGTAAAAATGTTTTCAAAAAAGTCATTTTTGAATTATTTATAGGCATTTAATTTCGGGAGTTCTATTAGTAATTTTTTTTCGATAGATATTTTGTGATAAAATTGTTTAACTTATCAAAAATGAGTATAATGTATTATTCTTATTTTATTTATTTTTTTAATAATAGTTATAATCAAATTTTGATGAAAATATTAAATATTATAGCCTTTCAAAAATGTATAACCGAACTTCGCTCCAAATCGTTTTTCGTTAGCAATGGTTTATTGTTGGTTACAGATATAAATTAAATAACTTTATATACCTCAGCTTCTCACCAAAAGTAGTTTGTTGGGAATTTTTCCGAGCTGAAGACTATTTTTCACAGGGCTATGATAAAAACAAGCAGTTTTAATTTGAAGGAAATAAAAAATTATAATAATTATTTAAATAATTAATCTAGTTTAAAACCAAAAGTAAATTTTGATAAAAATGCCATTTATTATCTGTTGCTATGATGAAAATTCAGTGAGTGGTGGTGAACAGATTATGTCACACTTATACTGATGATCATTTATGACTAACAGAGATAACTGTTGGGGGTGGCAAGATTAAAAATTGCCTAAATACTACATCTTATAAATCAACCACCTTTAATATATTAATTTATTATGTACAGTTCTCGATCTAAGTCTAAAGGAAAACTTGTCAGTAATGGACATAGTTCTCCAGCCAAAAAAGATAAAAGTCAAAGTCGTTCTCCAAAAAAGGATGCTGTTTTAAATGAAGAAAAATCTAATTCAAATACCTCGTAAGTATTTAATTTGGTTAATCCTGATTATTATCATACTTGATTCTAATGATTAATAAACATGTTATATTCTGAATCTAAAAGTTTCAGAAGCAAAATTAATACACTTTTATTCTTTTAAATTAAAACCATTATTTTTAGTAAACAATTTATGAAGAAAAAAAATACAGTAAATGTAAGAGCTAAACATAGAGGCATAGAGTTGACATCATTCACATCAATACTATTTTAAATATTAAAATTGTATAACAACATATTGTTTTTACTATTATTATTATCATTGATTACTTAATTTAATAAGTTAAATAATGTGAAAAATTCTATGTTTAATTAATCTAATATCCAGTTAAATCACTTACATACTCTTAACATTGTGTATATTAACTTAAATTGCAGAAATATATATTTTTGAATTATTTAATTTTAGTGTTTCTCCAGTTGTGGAATCTAATAATAAATCTAAACCTAAAGACCGGTCATCATCTAGAGATTCTACAAAACGTAGAGAAAGAAAACGTCGTCATTCTTCTTCATCAAGTCATAGTTCAACTTCATCAAATTCTTCTCCCAGTCCTGGTATTTATTAACTTTTTTTTAATTGATAAAATCCAATTGAATTATTCTATATTTTTTTAAAATAAATTAGATCGTAAAAAAGATAATTTTGAAATACAAAAAAAGGAAAATAGTATCCAAAAAAAAAGACAATATCGAACAAACAAAGATGATTCTTCAGCTACTGAATCTGACAAAGATAAATCTACAGACAGAAGGGTAATATTTTTATAATAAGATAACCATATTAAAAATAAAATATTTCTTCAACTATAGTAATTGAAATAAAAAAAATATATATATATTTTATTTTTATTTTTTAAATTATCTAAGGATCGCCGTGATCGTTCTAATTCTCGTTCAAGACGTCCTAGGCGGGGTTTCAGTCGTAGTCGCTATCGTGAAAAGAGTCGTGATCGATATTATAGAGATAGAGATATAGAACGACAAAGGGAAAGGGATCGTATTCGCCGTGATCGTGAACGTAGAGATAGAGATAGAGAAAGAGCAATCCGAGAAAGAGAACGTGAACGTGAAAAACGTGCACAAAGAGAAAGAAAAGATAAATCATCACCTCGAAGAAGGTAATTTATTGCAATAATTACAATTAGTTTATATTAATGAATATTTACCATTATTAAAAATTTCTACTCTCAGTACTTAATTTTTGATTTCTTATATTTTATGTACAGGAAAACACGGAGTCTAGAAAGAAAATCCCGGTCTGGTAGCAGACGTTCTAGATCTCGTTCAAAATCTAAAGTATGTAAATTTTTAATGTATATTTTTTTCATTATTTGTACAATTACTAAAATACATTGTAAAAAGTTAAGTATTTTTGATACTTGTCTATACATTATCTCCATTTTTTCATTCCTTTTAAAAGAGTTGGAAACAGTTAATCCTAACTTTCTCTAGTTTTTTAAAATATGCAAATTATTTCTATTTTTTAAATCACTTTTCCAAATTATTATCTAATACTTAAAATTTTGAAAACCTCTTTGTTTTCTTTTTTATGTGTATGGTAAGTTTACTTTTTTTTATAATAATATCTTCAAAAAAGAAAATATTTTCCTGCAAAATAGAAAAGAAATATATGAATTAAATTCATCTTTTTAAACAGAAATTAGAGTACAGGAATTATTTTCCTCCAACATTTATTGGTCTAAATGTACGAAAAAATTAATATCTTTCAGCTGCCTTCAGTGAATTATTGAAATGTAATTATTTTTGTTATTTCAAAATTTTATTTTATTTTTTTGTGATATTAAAGCAGTAAAACTTCCTAATAGCCAATGTTTTTTAAAAAAACTGGGATATTTTCATTGATTTTCAATAAGAAAACCTCCAAAAGTGAAACCTGAAACATACTCCTGCTTGTACAACAATATCAAAGTCTTAAGTACTAATATTTCATGCATTTAATTATATGATGGTTTTTAACACAATGATTCGCTATAAAAATTAAATGGTTGTCACTTAGTGAAAAAATTTCAATTTTTACCTTCCGTTGAAACAATGAAAACTTAGGAGTTTGTGTATTAGCAGAATAGGAAAAACACAGATTACAGATTTTGTTTTTAACAAAGAAGACATTTTTAAAATGTGGATTAAAAATGGAAATGGTAAGTGCACATGAACATGTGAAGGCACTGTAATTGATAACAAAGTTTTGGTATGGTTTGGCAAACAAATTTGCTTTTTTAGGATCAGCCATACCGGAAAATGCTGAACTGGAGTTTATGAATTTAACCCAGTGCATCCATATTTTTCCTTTTACACAATTACCCTTTATTAATTTCAAAAAATTACCCCTTCTGAATACCAGACACCTCTAATAGTGAACAAAATTTTGTTGTCTGAGTGTGACCACTATTCAGAAGTTTCATTGTACATCACTAGAGCACGGATGTTGTAGTAGTAACAAGTAGTAAAATTGATTGCAGTATTGCTCTAAAAAAATACTGAAAATTGCATTAAAAAATAAAAATTATTTTACAAAAATGGAAATAGTTTAATCAATTTTTTTGTAAATATAACAAGAACAGTCCTTGATTGCTCAAAATTCTCGGAGTGACTGAAGAACAGATTTTAACAGTCAAACAGTCACATTTTACAAATTATTTTTGTATTTTATCGAATACCTACACCTACCAACTTGGAATTATCAAAATAAAAAATATACCATTATTCGATTTTATGGCTGGTAATATCATAGTATAATCTTATCTATATGATTGTCAAGTGTTGACTATTAAGAAAATAGTTGTATAAATGAGTAAATTCAACAAAATCGAAAAAATTCCAAAACGTACTTAAAACTTTTACATTTGAATTTGTATTTTTGTGAAACATTTAAAACTTAGCAATATATGCAAATGCAACAATATCTGTGCTCTATACATCATATTATATTTTCCTTTTAATACAATCTATTTTACATTTACTAAATTTATAATTATTTGTTTACTATTTAGAAGAGACCAAGTAGAACATCACATAGCAAAGAACGTATTGTTAAGGATTTGAATACAGGTTCTCCAATAAAAAAAGATAACATGTCTAAATCAAAGGTAGAAAATGTATATGTTATTAAATATTTTCTGAGTTTTGAACTACTTTTACTAATGCTCCAATTTAACTTGATTAATTTCTTATTTTTTAAAATATCATTTAATAGATATCTCAAGAAAGTTTATCCAGAACCCCTTCACCTTTTAAGAAAACTGATGACAAGCCAGAACGAAAATCTATAAAAGAAAGATTGTAAGTAGTTTTGGAGGTTTTTATTTTAGATAACTATTAATTTTTTTGGAATAATTTACTACTTTATTTAAGGGGCGTTAGAGATGAACAAACCACTAAAACTTCTCAGTCTCAAAGATCAAGAGGACGGTCACCATCTTCAGAAAAGAAAAATAATACAGACAAAAAGTATATATATTTAAATATTTTTTATTTTTAATAACTTATTTAAGATTATTCTTATTTATTTAAAATTTAAATGTATATTTTAGGAATATATCTAGTTCAAGACGTAAATCACCATCTCCTGTCTTAAAGAAGAAAGAGGAAGTAAGCATTTATACAATAATACATATTTTTATTAAGTTATTGAATTCATAAGTACTTGTATGAGGTAAAAATCCTATGTATCTAATTTGATAATAATCATGATTTATGTATCATATTTCTACTTGTATAGTTTCTTTTTGTAAATGTTACTAGCATTTTCCATCTGTTTGCACTCTTGTGTTCATTTTTGTCTATTGTCACCTGCACTCATTAGTGCAGTAGATAACACTAAGTTAGAATTAATTCTAGTTTTCCTATTAACATTCTTGTCGTTAACCCCTACATTTTGTAGTAGAGCCCATACCTTACTACTAAAATGTGTAAAATCAGTTTTATCAATTAAGTTAATCCATTTCTCATTTCAAATTAAAACCAGGTACATAGTTCTTTTTAACTTAGGAATGAATTTTTTATGGTGATATTAATGACTAATGTATAAAAAAAAAAAAAAAAAGAGATCAGTTATTAGAGCAAGGCAGGATCCACTGAATATTGTCTTCAAAGCATTTAGTGAAAGCATGCTAATTAGCCTTCTGAAAGTTCCACTTAAGTTTTGGTACTGGCTTATTAAATGGACATCAAATCTTCTAAGAGTAGAAAGTTTGTTAATACATTTTTGGTTATCACAAAAGGGGAGCCTCTACCCTTATCTCAAGACACGAATCAGGTCATGGATTGTAACACGTTTTCAATATGCATAGTGGAATGTCTCTTTGTTTCGCATAGTGCATTAGTACTAGTTTTTCATTTGTATCCAATTCATTATAGCTCCACATCGTGTAATAACTGTTAAACTCACCAAATATACATAGGTTACCTTTTAAGTCTTACAAAAAAAAAATTATCACATAACATTAATTATTAAAAATGGTTTCATTGTTTTTTTTATAATTATCTCCATTAATAACTATACACTTTCATGCTTTTGAACCAATTCTCAAAGCACTTTTTCCACTCTAATTCAGTTCCAAAACATATATTTTGAATGCATTGACCACTTTAGTTGTCAGGAAATGTTGACCACACAATTTTTTTTGGTGTGCGGGAATTAAAAGAAGTCTTAGAAGTTTTAGTTGGCAAAATATGCCGCTGTTTTAGCATGTGAAAGCATACTTTCCCATGGTTTTTTTCCCTTATTTTTTTGAAGAATTTTGGTAAACAAATGGAGTACCATTCAGAATTGACCTTCCTAATTGCCATATGTCCAGTTATGCTGATAAAACAAGTGACTATTTGTTTCAAAGAGCTTTGTGTGCGAACAGCTTAAGTTGAATTTGACTCACCTTGAATGACCCATATTATCGATTGTTGTTTACTTTTCAGATCATACACATAAATCCATAATTCATCACAATCTTATAAACATCTTGAAGTACCATGACTGTATTTTTTCAACATTTCTGTGCACCAATTTACACAAACCTTTTTTTGAGCTAGTGTCAAATTGTATGGGATCTAATAAAAACAAATCTTTTTAACAACCAAATGTGCATGCAATATTGAATATACACTAGTTTAAATCATACTTAAAGATATCTCAATTTCACAATAAGTCACATGATGGTTGGTTATGTCATACATTGCGATAAAAAATAAATTGGTTTTACAATAATGTTTATTTTTTTTCTGTGGACAATTTTTCTTACAATTTCAAGTATATCACTTTTTCTGAAAGGAAATCTGATTGGGATGGTACTTTAGGGAGGTCATTTTTTGATGTTCCCAGCTGTTTTCATAATTAATGAAAAAAATTGGAATATGTATTTTGTTTTAATTTAGTTTAAAATATTTGTAGAGACTTAAGGTTTTTACAGAAAACTTATGTTTATTTTTTGTAGACATGATAATAATGATTTAATTTGATTTTATATGGATAAAATAATTTTAACTGAATGAAAATATTTAAATAAAATTTAAGGAAAAGTTGAGGTGATTGGTGTAGTGATTTTAGATTCGAGTGGAGCGAAGAAGCTTATGGTTTTACAAAGATTTTTTTTTTTATCTGTGCAAAATTTGTCTAAAAGAAAATCGGACTGGAGAGGTATTTCAGGGAGGTCATTTTTCAATTTTTTCTCAATAACTAGAAAAAACTGTACATTAAACAAATATTAGAGAAAATAAATAATGCCTATTTAATTATTTTACTGTTATATGACATTTATATTATTGAAAAAGCATCACTATCTACTAAACTCCGCTCAAAATAATTTTTTTTCGTTAGCAATGGTTTATCGTTGCTTACAGGTACACATTAAATTATTTTAAACAGTAGCTGTACCCATTCTCATCCAAGGACACCTTTTTTTTTAATTGAGTCTACATTTTGATTAAAAATCTGTATTAACATATTTCACTTATAATAATTATTTGTAAGTTATTTATTGTTGTATACAGATATAAAATAAATAACTGTATAAGAATATAGTTATTGACCAGATAAAGTCTTGCCAACTTCCCATTTATAACATTGAACAACAATAAAAATCAATAAAATCAGCTCTTTTTGTTAATTTAAATTTAATGATTTATTTCAATTGTTTTTTAGGATAAATTAAAAAAATCTAATAAAAAACATGAAAATTCTGTATCTGATGCTGAAAAACCTAAATTGAAGAAAAAAGAAGAATCAAGTTCGTCTGACGAATCTGTAAAAAAGACCAAAAAGAAAGTTAAACGAGATTCAAGCTCTGATGATGAAAAAGTTAAAGCTAAAAAAAGAAAACTGAAGGATTCTACTTCATCTGAGGATGATGAATCTAAAAAGAAAAAGAAACGTAAAAAGAGATCATCCAGTTCAAGTTCAGATGTATGAACTATCTTCAAGTTATTTAATATAAACAATTTTAATAATTATCTTACTTATATAGGAAAGTGATGGAGATGATAGAAAGAAAAAAAAGGACAAAAAACATAAAAAACACAAGAAGCATAAGAAGCATAAAAAACATAAGAAACGCAAGGCTGAAGAAAGTGTAAGTATATTATAAATTTATTATTAAGTGTGCGATTTTAATTTTAAATTATTTTATTATTAACACTAGGGTTCTGATATAAAGTCAGGAGATGAATCAGAACAACGTCTAAGGGAGAAAGCACTGCGTTCTATGAAAAAGAAAAATCAAGCAAAACACGATGGAACTCCCAATAGTAATAGCAGTGATTAACAGAAAGGTTAGTTTAACTGAGAAAAAACCTTGAAACATTTTTGACTTAGTATAGATTTCAATAATTATCTTTAAGTTATTACTCTTCTTGCATGTTTAATAAATACAAATTCAAAATTTGGGTCTTATTTTGTAGAAAATAAACAATATTGGGAAATTAAAAAAATAAAATAAATTTAATTCTGTATATTTATAATAGATTTGTGCTCTCAATGTTTTTATTATTATTATTATAATTATTATTATTATTATTATTATTACTACCTTTTAAATATGATTCATTAAAAATATAACAAATTAATTTTATTCTAGCAATTTTGACAATTTCATTTGAAAATATTTATTTCATGTATTCTGTGAAATAAAAGACTGAACAGTTCTCTCAACTTGTATTTATGTTTTATTATTATTATCATTATTAATTAATTAGTCTGAATAAACTATTAATTATAGGTAAGAAATTATTTTTTATGTCACATTGACCGTTGTAATTCTAGCAACGAGAATTTGACAGGTTAGCTTTCTATGCAGTCATCTGGCTGCCGACTTGTTGGCAGAGTTACATGCATCGTATTCCTAGCACAACTACTGTTTGATCGCTTTTCAATTTATTCTCATTCAATCAACATTTTTAATCAGCAACTACAATAGGTACTTCTATCAACTTTTATGCCATCTACATAATACCTTTCAACACATCTGCAATCAACATATTCCTACCAACCCATCTGCAATCAACATAACTCCTACCAACCCATCTACAATCAACATTATTCCTATCACCGATACACCTGCAATCAACATAACTTCTATCAACACTCCTGCACTACAATCAACACTCCTGAGCTACAATCAATATCTCTGTCATCAACAAATGTTCAATATTTACTCATATCAAATGATTGTTGAACATCCGTAAATCATTGAAAAGTGGCATTTAATTTAATGTACAATCGCCAACATTACTTCTCAGGATTGATATAAATATCTTGGTCTTAAAGAATCACACTGTGGTATGCATTTTATCAAGACCTTTAATAATTATTTCTTAAACCAAAATATATATATATATATATATATATTTTTTTTTTTCTTATTTAGGATTATTACAAGAATCTAATTTGAGTTGGCTGTTTGAAAATATGTGACTAGACATAATCGCTGATTGAAAATCTGCTGTTGATCTAAGTTTTTGGCTTATGAAAAATTTATACATTAATTATTTTAAAATAATCTAATATATTTGTCTAAAATATTTTATTTTGTGAAAATCTATTTAAAACATATATTTTGTTTCAGGTAGATTAATTTGTTCAGAAGAATTTGAAGAAATTAGCATCAATTATCCGAGATAATATTAAGTTATCTTTTATTTTTAAAGATTTTTGTATATTTTAAATTGTTAATTTACATTAATGTAAGTTTCCATTTTAAACACTTCTATTTGAATATATCTTTATTCATTTTTAAATTATACAATTTATTTAAAAACATATTGTCACAAAATTATATTATATCACATTCTAAAAGACAAACAACCTTATATTTTGATAATTTCATTGACGAAACTTAAACATAAATGTTTTCAATACTACTGTGTGTAAAGTGAACATTTTGTACATCTTTTATAAATTTTAGTTGATCATAATCAATTGTACAAATTACAGATTATTAACAATAGAGTTCTATAATAAATACTCGGATCAAATATTTATTTTTATATTTCCCTTAATGTACTTTTTTAAGTCAAACACTATTGTAGTGTGTTTTAGTTAACTATTACAAATATAAAAGATCTATTTTCTTAATTCTTGAAAAAAAAAAAAATGCAATTTTCTAGTTTTCTAATTAATACTCTGTTTTGGTAATTTAAATAACCTGAATCTACAAAGAAAAAATTGTGTTACAATTATAGTTTTCTAACGTTTATTATACTTGTCATGGCTTCTTAAAACTTTAAATGCTCAGAGAATTTGTCTGAAATTTAGGAATGTTTCACTCTTCAACCTCTATTTAAAAAATATTTAACTTCAAAATTTGAATATCATAATAATTACTTGATCTAATATTATTAGTTTCATGTATATAATTTGAAGTTAAACAATTTGAATAATGCTATAAATATTTGTAGGTAATAATTACACTAATTAAACTAATATAAAAAAATAAGATTTACTTTTTTTAATAAAAAAATTTGATACACAATTGAAGTGGATACTATGTATAGTTAAATGTTAATAACACATAATAAAAACAACTTTAAATACTTAAAAATTGTTTACTTTATTTATCATTTAATTTCAGTCGTGGAAAATGATAACAAAAATAAATTTAAATAGATTTAAAGACAAATTTAAATAGATTTAAAGACAAATTTAAATAATAATATAATGGAAGGGTTTAAACAATTACATTTTTTTAAAAAAATATAGTTTTTCATTTTCTATGGCCTTCAAAAAATATTACAAAAAGTACAATTTCAATAACTATTATTATTAATATAAAAATGTATACTCAAAAAACATAGAAGCAAAAGTCTGACATTATGTTATAATATAACATTATATTTTGGTTTAATAAAGAGTAAAACACAATTACTATTAATTGTTAATTATGTAATCCATTAGATCATAAAATAACAAGAATAAATGTTTATTAAAATAACAATGTAAATAAAAATTTGTGTCTTGATTAAATTAAATAAATATATCAAAAAGCAGACTTTTAAGTAGTAAAATCTGTAATCCAATAGTTCAACTAAGTCTTAAAATTTTTAAAAATAATTAATGTAAGTTTTTAGAAAAAAAAATTTGAAATTGTATGTTAAAACTATAGTATCACAAGGACATCAAAAGTAAACAATACAGTTCTTAATTTTAATTTTTAATTTGTAAATTGTCTTCTAGTGAATGCATAATGTCATTTTCTGATTCATTAATATTTTCATTGATAGAACAAAGTAGCTTTTTAGCCAATTGATTAATATCTTCATCAACACTATTACAATATGTGTTCAGTAATTCAATAAAAGTAGAACTTTTGTATAAAACAAGTTGTTTCTGACTAAATTCACCTACAGAAAAAAATTTGTATTTATTCAACCATTTTCTATGTTAAAAATGCAACATGTGTATAACTAAATATTTAAATATAATTTGTGTATAATATTAATTGGTATAAAGAAACTCAATAAATTTAAAAAAATAAAAAATTTTGTTTACTTATTTTTAAAGCAGTTTTTAAACCAATTAAATAATTATTTGAATAATATAACCAATAATATTTCCAAAACACATTTAGATGATTTTTCAAAAAAAAAAAATTGTAGCCATCGTTACCATTTTATTTTATTTTCATGTGTGAGAAATATGTTCTATTATTAGAATTAAAAAGTTTATATACTACCATTTATGCTATACTTTACCTTTTTTTATAATACATCCAATTACATCTAAACTTTTTGTGACTATTGGATTAAATGAAGTATGGTCTAAAACTGCAATAGTAGTTTTGACTAATTTGTCTTTATCATTTTCTTCCATACACTCAAAATTTGTAACATACAAAAGATTTCTGAAAAATTAAATATATAGAAATTAAGTAATTTGTAAATAAACAACTTTTTTAAAACTCACTTAAACAAACAAAGTATAGAAACTTCCATAAGTGAATTCTTATTCTTAACTGCTTTTTCTAATGCATTTATAAACCATGGCATATGTTTTATGATAGTTTTTGCTGGATTATTAGTTGTATTATTTGATTCATATTCTATTTTTTTGTATAAATAAGTAATATTTTAATTAAAACTGAAAATAAAATATAAACTTACTAAATCGGCTAAAATTTCCCAAAGATCTTACTGATGACAATTTAATATATAAATTATTGGAATGTATTTTTAAAAGAAGCCATTCTACTAGATATAAAACTTCTAGTTGTTTATTATTGTCCATAGAACCATCTTAAAAAAAAATTATGATTTTATTTAATATACATTTTTATATTGCAAAATATAATAGATAATAGAGAATTATAAAAGCAGTAGATCAAGTACAAATTATATAAATGTGAATAATAATCCTACTATTACAAAGGAAAAGAGTTGATGGATAACTGTTGTAAATGGGTAATTTAATTTGTATTTGTATATTATGATAAATCATTGCTAATCTCATTGAAATTTGATTAAAAAAATTATTACAACTTTAAATGCTGAAAAAATTAACTAAAAATAACCAAATTGTTTATTATAGCAGGTTATTTTGTACCACTTTCTACTTGATACTTGGTGAACATTTCAAAGGTCTCTATGATTATTTTAAACTGAATTAAAAAAAAAAACAAAATCTAAAATTCTAAAATCTATATTTATAACCATTCATTCATAAAAAATTATAATAACTTATATTTCTCCCACCTCTATTATTAAGAAAACTACAATCAAACCTATCTTAACGAACTAAATAATAAGGTTCCAGTAAAATAATAGGCATTCTAATGTATTTCAACCTGTCCATAACAGACACGGACAATACAATTTTTCCCCAATATCTTGTTAACAGACAACTATCTTAGTTCAAAATCAAGTATATTGCAAACATGTACATATATGCCTTGAAATAGTATTGACAGTCTAATTCGAATACCAATTATGACAGATTACATGTTTGATATTAAGAATAAAGTTAATTGCAGGGATAGAAATAACTAGAAATACGTTTTAAATGTAAAAAGTATTCAGTGCTTATTCAGTATCTCTTTGTTATTATAGTGTTGATTATTTTTCTCTATTCATTGAATTTTTTTTTTGGAATGCTATGTCCCGTATATATTACAGATACTTTTATAAGAAATATCAAAAAACATCCTCAATACATCAATTAGACAAAATTGTCAACATAAAACTACTCCAGATGTTGATATCTGTAGTAAAATTAGTAGCTATTGGAAGAAAATTTGTTTACAGACAGAATCTAAAATAAAAATAACAAAATGCATGCATGCATGCATACATATACAACTATAAATTTAACAAGGATACAGTCAAATACAAATATAGTTTAATACACAGGTGGAATTTGAATTTTATTTATATTTGATTTTTAAATTTTCAATTTAGTGTTAATAATATATTGTTTAAATGCTGGACATTTTATATTTAATAAGTAAATACCATTAGGGCTATGCATAAAATTATTTATAATCATTTATAATGAATCAACAGTCAAATCATACCATCATTGGAAAGTAAAATTATAATATCACAAATTTTTTTTACAATAAGTTTGGCATCTTCTTCATGATTTTCTTCATATTTATCTAATATTTTTGCTAACATTATATGCTTTCCTTTTAATATCCAATTATAAATACCTAAAAATTATTTTCATTTACTGTAATTTTTTTAATTTGCATATAAATTAGTATTATTTATAAAGTAATTGAAAGTATTTACTATAGATTTTAGACACTTGTTTAATAAATTTGACACAGATAGAAACAATTTCAATATGCATATAATATTTCTCCAATAAACAATCAATAAAAGAACATTTTTCATAATCTGTTATTTTACTATTATTTAAAGATTTTCTTACAATATTTATCATAACTGATACCAAATTCATATAAGATCTATTATTATTATCATTATTATTATTATGTTCCATATATTTAATTGCAAAGAAATTTAAATCATTAATCATATTATCTGGAAACTGAGAAAAAATAATTACAAAAAAAAATAATAAGGTTTAATATTATTTAAGTTAACCTTGTAATTATAGTTATCCAGATGAGTCAAATTTAATAACAAACCAATAAGAACAGGTTGAAGATTTCTGTCACTATTTGTTTTTAAAATTTCCATTGTAATTGAGAGACATCCTTCTTTTAATGCGTGCTTAGTATTTTCTTCTAAAAATCATTAATACATTAATAATATTATAAAAAAAAAAAACAGTAGAAACAATTTTTTTTAATTCAAGCTTAAAATTTCAAAAATTAGAAAGAATTTATTTTAACTTCGAAAATAACAATCCAATTAACTTAAAACGGAATTGATTTAGTAACATATTTAGAATTTTAAGTAATATGAGAATGCATATTTTTTTGATATAAGGCTTCGTTTTTAAACAGTATCTTTTGTATCTACAGAGTGTCCTACAGTAATATCCGAATGCTAATAACTGTCCATATTCATCATTTTTAATCAGATTTTGTGTCAGGGGGCACAAATACAGAGAAAATTGAATTTTTTTTTCATTCCTTAATCACTGAAAAAAAATAACTTGTCTCACTTTTTAAAATTTTCAAAATAGCCAATTTTTGGTAAAATTGTAAAAAAACATTTAAATATACCATCCTTACATATTCGATCAATGTTTCTTAGTAAAAGCAGTTTAAATTTCTAGAAAATTGATGTGAAAACAATTAAAAGTTAAAATGGCTATTACTATGAAACTATTGATCAAACAGATACATTAAATTGTTAAGAATAATATATTGACACAAAACTCGATTTCAAAAAAAATATGAACATTACCAGTTATTATTGTTATTAGCATTTAGATAATACATAAGGACACCTGTATACTTCATAAATGATGTTATTTAAATATTTATAATATGGATTTAATATGATTAAGCACGGTCATAAATATAAATAAATATGTAATAGTAATTGATTTGTAAGAACTATACAACTTAAATGAATAATATTTACCATGATAATAACAAAGATTTCCAATAGCACGACATGCCTGAAGTAAACATTCTTGAGAAAATTTATCTTTAATCTTAAAACTTGTAAATGATTTTAATATGCTTATGGTTAATTCTGTTATTTGTAAACCAAAATAATGTCTAGCCAAGTCATCTGAGCATAATGAGGCAACTACATTACATCCAGCTGCTAAAACTTGACTACTGTAAATAGTGGATAACAAGGGTAAACATGTTACTAATTTTTCATAATCATCTTTTGATAAACCTAAAAAATATTATAATCATATTATATTCTTAAAAAAAAAAAAAACACTGGATCATCTTAATATATAAAATTATATATGAAGTTATTTTATAAAATAAGTTTCAGTTAATGTGTATACAGTGTAATTATTATACAATATTTCACTAGAATATTAACATCATTTTTTTAAAAGATTGGGAATATCAAAATATATATGATGTGGCAATTTTCAACAATTTAATGCTTATAGTGAATGTATGAACTATAAAACTTACATTTTCAAAGTATTAATTGTATACATTAAAACTGATTTAAAATTATAATTATAACATACATGAATTTAATTTCTTGATGTCCATAATAAGACCGACGGTAGCTTATGGGTGTGAGGTATAACCCACTACTCTAAAATTAGAAAAAAGGTTACTAGTTTTTAAAAATAATACTTCTGAAGATATGTGGCTCAGTGTTTGATATTGAGTTAAACATATAGCACAGAAAGAAAAATATTGAACTAAGGAAGATCACTTAAGTTCCATTATTAATAAGTTACAAGAAAAATGGCAAAGACACAAATAGTTTGGTCATGCTATGTGTAAAGTCGAAAATAAGTATAAAAGTATAAGAGTAGAAATTAAATGGCAAACAACAGGGAAAAGCCTAAGCGAAGATTCAGTAAGTTAAACACTTATAAACCTATTTTTGGTTGAAATGGAATTTAATGTCTGCCACTAATTATTTTTAACTATATTTATTATTTAATATTTTTTGTTATTGGAGAATCGCATAAAATAATAAATTTAATTGTAGTTATAAATGTACTATGATACTGTTTTTGCTCTTTTGACAGTCGTGTTTATATAGACATGGTTTAACTGGTTGATAAAATTACAACTAATTAGGTTTTAAATAGAAAATAGAAATTAGTGGTAAGCCAATATAACTTTTATGTTTCAAATCCAATATCTTATATGAAAATCTGTGAGTTGATATTGAAATGAACAGACATATTGGTCAAAAATCTAATTTTAGTGTCACAGGTGATCTACTTAAAGTTATATTAAATATATAAATATAAATATTATATTTAATATAGATATACATATAATTTATTGAAAAACCCACTTGTTGATAAATATGATTAAATACTAAATATGAAATACAATTCATTGAATATACATATATTACACAGTTATACTCCCATTCCACTGGTTCTCCATTGATTGTAGGTGGGCACAATTACTACTCGTTAATCATTATTAAGTCAGTAATTTAAATTATGGATTATGTCTACAGGAGCCATGGGTTTTTGACTTATATTGACAACACAATGATATTTTAGAAAAACAATTTGTATTGTTAAAAAAAGAGATGGAAAAACCCTTTTGCCCGTATTAAAGAAGTTTAGCTAAGGTTCACTATCCACAATGATAAATGGAAAAAAGGTCATTCAAATTTGAATCAACATAAATTCATCCATAAAACAGTATACTTTATAAATCCACAAACTGGAGCTCATATTCAGAACATAGAATGTGATCTCAAGAAAAACTGTTATATAAGGCAATGAAATTTTCTCATTGCTTTAAAAACAATTGTCGAATCCAGACAATTTATCTGGAGGGAAGGCATATTACTAAAAATTAAAGTAATGACCTTTTTTCCCTACCCTACCCTAACCTAACCACCCACTTAATCAAAATTGTTTTATTATTTAATTAGTCATTAATTTATTTATTCACATTTACCAGGGGGGGCTGTTCCTCCTGTTGTAAGTAGTTTTTGGTAGATTAACTATGACACTAGTGGACTATACATATTCATTGTGAAAATTAATGTAAATCGCTTAAGACACTATTACTCTAATTTTTTCATATTACAAAGACATAATACAAATTCTTCTCTTAAAATATTGTGTTTTAAATATATATAAAAAAAAAAATTAACAAGATTATCTACAATATCAGCCATCCAGATGCCCATTTACAAAATGCCGTAACTATATAATCAAATTACATACAATAAATGAGGTAGTTTTAGAAAATAATTAGAAAGTAGGCTTTAATATGTAAACGATTTATTCATATAAAAATCGAAGTTTTTTTTATAAATATTAGTGATGCTACAGAATACAGTTGTACACAATATATCAAAAATATTTAAAATAAAATAGGTATACATTGTATTATGCAAATAAACTTAATTATTTTGAATCTACAATTGATTAAATTAATGTATGTATAAGAAATAATACAGATAGGATCAAAAATAAAAAAATAATATTATATACAGTAAAATATTTGTTCCTTAGTTATAAGGTATAACTGATTATAATTAATTTGTATTAATACTTAAGTAAGTATTTGACTTTTTTATAGTAGATATTTCAAATTTCAATTTGTGTGATAGGTACTTACATTCTGGATCAAGTTTAGATAATTCATTTAATAAATTGACTGTAGTATTTTCACCTATTTCATCTAATTGTCCATTTTTTATATATGACTCAAAAAGGATAATCTTTTCCATACTAATGATCTAAACAAATAACAGTTTATTATTGAATAATTGTTATTAGTAATTTTTAATTTTATAATGCCTGTTAATTAATGTTTAGGAAATAAACTTGATTTTACGATAACTTTAAAGTACCCAGCACTATGTATTTAAATAACTTTAAATTGTAATATTATCAGAATATAAGTAGTATCATAAGTGCAGATAGATACGTATTATAACAAATTAATTGTTAAGTTACGTTTTAGTAGTAAGTTAAGTAACTTAAAATTTTAAAAAACTAAGCAAATTAATTTCAATTACTAATAATTTATTGTGAAAATTTGTTCAATGTCAAGTATATTATTCTTTAGAGTAATCTCAAAAGAAAAGTATGAATTAAAAAATAATTTTCCTATTCTTATTTTAAATAGAATGTTTATATGTATTTTTTTTATTAAGTATTACCTACCTATTAAATTATCTTTAAGGCGTTAAAAGATACAATTAATTAATAAGCTATAAAACCAAATTACTAAAATAAAATAAACTTACTTTCGTCTTTTAGTATAATATATAGGTATACCTACCTAGTTTAATATAATACTAATATATTAATAAATGTTATTTTAAATTTATCTATGTAGTATGTACCTAAACTTAAATAAAAAAATGGAACCTACATTATCTATGGTAAAAAAAACATTGAACTACGTCAAGGTTTATAGATAATAACTACAGTTAATAATCATGGACCACAGATATATAAAAATACAATAATAGTTGTGTTATATATTTGTGCTATAGATATAATAAGGACGGGGGTGATTTCATAGATAATGAGTACTTGTTCGAAATTGAAAAAAAATAGTGACAAACTGATATAACCACGATTAAAGATATATCTGTGATCCGTGCTAACTATAAACATATATATTAACAATTATGATTACCAAGATAGTAACATTTTATCTATTCTGTGATAGTACTATCCAACGAAGTATTGTTTAGCTAACAGTAAGACTGTGGTTTGGTTTTAGAGTCAATAGATTGCACTTGTTGCGATTTTTTCTTTCCGGGAGAATAATATTCTTAATAATAACTATAATTAGTATAGTTGAAGTTGTAAATTAAATCATTTTTTCTAATATAAATTGTAAATTGTGTGTGTTCCCATACATACGCAAATAAAAACATAAATTATTATAAAATCGCACCGTTCAGAATATTAAATCATTCATGTAATAATTAAAAATATATATTATTTGGTCGGGCGCTAATGCTATAGTAATCTGTAGGTATTTATCAGTCGTGCCTGCCAACAATACTTTCGCTGAGGCGATGTGAGTTTTCGTTTAGCACTCTTCTAGATATAGGCACAAACAGTATTTGGGATTTGGGGAGGGGGTACTGAAGTCTGGGATTTTAGAATTTATAGAAATAATAACTACTTAAAAACTGTTCTCGCTTTGTACTTTCTTAAATATAAACACATTTACAGTTACAGACAACATTTGGTTGCCTATTTAAAAATCCTTAGAAAGTTTAAACCATATTTTATAACTGTAACTATACGTTACACTACTTGGTGGCGTTAGTGTCACTTAAAATTTAGATTCCGGAAATATATGGTCTCTAACAATTCGGTTTGTACTTTGTGTGTTTATTTTTTCCGGATTTCTACAGTCCGGGATTATACGGTGGGTTTATAAATTTTTTCCGGTAGAATACGGTCCGTGACTACAAGGTTAGTTACTTTCAAACTTTAAATAACTCAAAAATCAACGATCACGACATGGAACCTGTTATTATGTAATATGAAAATAGGCCGTTTGGCGCGCGACGATCGAAGCTTACTTTTCGTCTCTCCGTTTATTTTTCATAGTATCTAGATTCTAGCTATAATCATGATTTTTTGTAGTTCAGGTAGATAATAATGTTTACTTGTTTATTATTAATTTATCTTTAGAAGATAAGACCGTGATTATAATACTACACAGTACACGAACACGTAGAAAATGAATTTTGAATTATTGTACGAGTGTGTTATTTGTTTCTAATAAAAATGTTTAGAATTGAATCATATATAACGTCAATTATACTAAGTTATGTTGAAAAATATGTAAAGAATTTAAGACGTCAAGATGCTCAAGTATTAAAATTATACGAATTATTATAATTATATGAATTATTAATTAAGAATGGTTAATGTAATAACTTTTTGAAATATGTAATATACTTTTAGGTGTCATTATGGGACGGAGAAGGTTTATTTCAAAATCTTGAGTTAGATTTAGATGTTTTAGAAAAAGAATTAAATTTACCATTTATTGTATTGAGTGGTCATATAAATCAATTACGAATTCGAGTTCCATGGACAAAACTCGGATCAGAAGCTGTTAAAATTACAATTGACACAATAGGTACGAATTGTTTTATTTAAATGTCTACCTTACGGAATATAACCAAACTAATTTTTTTTTAAATCCATGACTAATTCATAAATTTAATTTTACCATTGTTGATATGTTGTATATTGTGTATGTATTTAGAATGTGTTTTAAAATTAAAGACTCCTCAACAGAAGAAAGCAAAAAAGAATGATAAAAGGCAAGTTGGCTTTTACTTGTTAATTTTTATTATAGCTTTAATAATATAAATTATGATCAATTTTAATGATTGTTTAAAATTAAACTTTATTGTGCTAATTATCTTGTATAGAATAATAAATCATAATATTATAATATAAGTAAATTTAATCAAATTAAATAGTTAAGATAATATTTAAACTTATAAGTATAGGTACTTGGTTGAAGAATATATTTGTTTTCAAGCTCAATCTACTTAGGTAGTTATTTCAGGGTAACATTAACAATCTAAAAATAATTTACTTGTTAACATCCATTAACATACATTTTTATAATAATATTTTATTTCACAGTAGATAGTTTTTTGAATACTTTAAAATTAGTTGTTTAGATTATGCTAGAGTATTTACACAGTGTTTTCTTTTTCATATAGTCATTACAGTTTTGTTTATCTACTTTTTTTTTTTTACATCGTTATTTATGATTAATTAAAAAAAATGGATTTATTTACAAATAAAGCTGCTAAATATAGAAGACAATATTAATACTTCTTGAATTTTTTAAACTTTGCGATATTTAATTCAAAAATAATAATTATAACAATTTAATTATACCTAAATAAATTTTTTTTTAATTAGCGCGTTTACTGAGTTCCGATACCAACAGGCATCATTAGGGACGCATCGAATGCTATTTGGATTCATGAATTTGAAGTTTATGGTTCATTATTTTGTGTGCAAGGCTAAAAGCTATTTAATTGTTAGTTAGTGTGATTAAATAGCCATTTCATAATATGTATTCTTATATCATTCACAAGTACTGAGACTGTGTTTTTCCTTTTATCTAATATATATGAACACACTGAAAAAAGAAACATAAAAATTCGTATGAGTGTACATTTAAACTTAACTGTACAAAGTTATAATTTTTATTATTAATGTGAGTTGACAAAGAATCATGGATTATACATTTATTTTATGTCATTTTTGTTGGTTAAGCAGTCACCAGTTGTTTTTACTTTTTTACTATTGAGTCAATGTGTTGACCAGTGTTGAAATCAGTAAAAATATACACCCAATTATATACAAAGAATAATAAATTATTTAACTGATTTTGTTGTTTGGTTTAGTGTTGAAATAAAATTGTGCATAGAGTACAGCAGAAATGAGAATACTTAGATGGATGGTTGGAGTAACGAGAGAAGATATGATGAGCATTATGACAGTACATAAGAGATAGCTTATGTATGTTTTCAATAGCAAACAAAATGAGAAAAATAAACTGATATGGTTTGGGCATGTTATAGGTAGAGAAAAATCTGAAGCAGTAAGAATTGTAATGAAAATAACTATAATGGGAAAGAGGGGTAGAAGAAAACTAAATAAAAGATAGTTGAATACAATTGAGAACGATATGGATGGATGTGAGGTGGAAGATTGGGTCTAGTGAAAATTTAGACAAAAAGTGGCCGATCCTTTATATATATAGTTTAGATGAAGGCAAAGGAGAGAAGAAAAAAAATAAAAAATAAATAATTTACAGTTACAGGACAAGTACTGATTATGACGAGTTACCGCCTCCATCATATGTCCAGAGTTTAATCAATAAAATTATTGGGAATCTATCAGTAACATGCAATAATATTATATTAAAATATATTGAAGATGATATTGTACTTTCTATGAATATAAAATCAATCACATTAGATTCATGTAATGAAAACTGGATACCTGATATTATTGGTTAGTATAATTTGTAGCTCAATTATTCCAGTAGTTTGTAAAAAAATTCAATCTGGTTGAATTTTTCTTATCATGTATATCTAAAGTAAAAACAAAAAACAAAAAAATATTATCATTTGATTTACAAGTGCATGTCTAATAATAATAAATATATTTAATACATTAAAAGAAATTTAATAAATTTAACTAAATTTAAAAAAAAATTGATGCTTTAATAAGAGTATTAAAATACTTGTTTATTTTTTTTTAGAGTTAACACCATCTCAATTGATTTTAAGAAAAATTATATATTTTTCTGATGTGACGATTTGCTTGGACAGAAGAAATTCTTCAGGATGCATTGAAACCTATTTGGAACCATTATTATACAAATGTTCATTATCCATTCGTTTATGTCGCAAATTTCGATCTCCTCATTCTGCTCGACCATATGTGACCCAAATGGATATGTTCTGTTCAAAAATCCCTTTCATTCTCACTGAACCTCAGCTACCAATGTTTTTGAGGTTGTTAACTATGATATTAGAACTTAATCCAACTGATCCCCCTGAAATAAATAACCCTATTGATGAAGAACACAACAGAAGCTCCAGTAGCTGTAGTTCAAGTAAATCAAGTTTATTTTTTAATTCTTTTCCTTTTTCTTCATCCAAACTATTTGGGGTCAGCCACTCTTGTTCTTAAAAACTTGTTCCTGTAAACTTTCACTTGACACAATCTCCCATTTCACATACACCAGCTGTCCTCATATTATTTTCAATCATATTTAACTAGCTTTTTTGTGGTCTTCCTCTCCCCCTATTTTCTCCTATGTCCATTTTCATTACAATTCTTACTGCTTCTAATTCTTCTCTCCTCATGACATTTCCAAAACATCTTAGTATATTTTATATTATTTTGTCCACTATCGAAGCCAAACCTAAGCTACCTCTTATGTACTTATTCATTATACTATATTCTCTTGTTACTACATTCATCCACTAGGGCAGCATTTTCCGAACTTTAAGTTCTTGCATCCCTAAATGTAAAAAAAAAATCATCTTGCCTTCAATAAATAAATAAATTACAAATTTGTTTTATTTAAATATTCGAATATTCGAATATAAAAACAATGACTATTAATCTTAATGCGAACAATGTGGTTGTTTTTCATTTAACAAGTTGACCACCATAAGCACCTTATTTGGTACTCACATGGTTTATACCCTAGTCATTCATATTTTATATTCTGAGTGAAGTAAGAAATTTATTGGTTTAAAAATAATGTTTTTTTTTCTTATCTATAGACAATTTTTCTACCAGAAATTTTGATCCGATTTTCAAGTGTAGCACTTTTTTTGAAAAAAATGTAATTGGGTTTGTACTTTAGAGAAGTAATTTTTTATTTCCCTGAGAATTTTCATAACAAATAGGAAAATACACGTATACATGTAAAACTTTGTTGGCAACTTAAGGGTATTCATTTTTCCAAAATTCAAAAAGTGACAATGAAGAAAATTGTATGTGTAACAAAGAATCAGATGAAATATCAATTAATAGGGCTTGGATTTTAAAGCATGATAAATAATAAAATTGTTTTAAAAGAGCGAAAATGTAGCATATTTATTTTTAAAAAAAGTAAAAAAAGCATAACCAAAAATTAACATGAATTAGTTATAAAACTAAATAAAAAAATAAATTTAAATTTAAAAAAAATTAACTATTATGTATTTTGCAAAATTTGCAGTAGTGAAACTGATATTGTTTGACAGATTATTTTTTTACATAGAAAACGAACTCTACATCCACTAAAGTGATTGGTGCATACTTCATGCAAGTGGTTTCATTTAAATCAAACCCATGATAATTAATTTTGTTTGATGAAACATCACACAGTATATTATTAATGTCTAGTAATTGTTTGCAGCCTTTGTTTTTCAAAAGAACACAATTTAGTTTACCCTAAATTACAGATGTAATATTTCCTTTAGCTCCATTTAACATTTCTGCATCTAAGATAATATTTATACATTTTGTCAACAATTTGTCTAAAATCATACATATAATTTAGTAATATGATATTAAATTGTTTTAATATTTTGCTAAAAGTTACCTTTTTCCTCTAATGTTGTTAATAATATTTGGTAGAAATCCAAAGTTTGTTGAAATACACAATTTTATTGAAGAGATACATTTTGAAATAGTTGTTTCACTATATTAACACATTGAGATTCTTCTTTAAAGTCTTCAATTACGCTTTTTAATTCATTAAAATATTTGAAATAATATAGGACAGCTTTGATCCATGTACCATATCTGGTTGTTATTGATCTTGGTGGATTTGGCAACTCTGGGCATTTTTCATTAAAGATTGCTGTACGTTTGGGGCATTTTAAAAATGATTTTTTCATTCCTCTAATTAACTAATTTACATCTTGGTAGTGTGTTCGCAAACATTGTGTAATGCATGTGCCAAGCAAGTCACATGTATAAGTTTTGAATAAAACGCTTTTATACAATCACCAGCTTTTTCATATAATATTTCACAAAATTACTTTTAAGTTTCATTAGATGATTATAAATTATTGTTAATGAATTTATTGGTAATTCAAGAAAATATTTTAAAAGTGGAAAGTTGTTTTCCTTTTTTATTTGTCATATGTAGATTTTTTTAATGAAAGCATCAACTTTATCATATCATAGACTATTAGTTTCTTTACCTGTAAAGATGTGTTGAACAAATTAAGTTTTTCAAAAGTGTTACATAAATAAATTTGATTACAAAATCATGTTCCAACGAAATTATTGTTGATCTTAAAATATAAATATTTTCCTCACACTTCCCCGTTAAGTACTTGCACCTTCAAAGGAAGGTGCACCTCACAATTTGGGAATCGCTACACTAGGGCATTCTCATATCTGCTACACCCATTCTCTGTTCTATTTTCATATCTACCGCCCAAAGCTTTGAACCATACAACATAATCAATCTTATCACACCCTTATAGAACTTACCTTTAAGTTTCATTGGAATTCTCTTGTCACATAAAACACCTGAAGCTTCTCCACTTTATCCAACCATACTTAATCCTATGTTTTATATCTAAGTCAAAGCCACTGTGATTTTTTGTACAAAGGATCCTAGGTACTTAAAATTCTCAACCTCATCATTACGTCACCACTTTAATAAAATTAAATAAATTAACACTGAAGTTAGAATAAATTAAAAACATTAATTAAAACTTCAACAGTTTAAATTTTAAATTTAATTTATCTTTTAATTTGAATATTTAGTTTCAGAATCAAATACAGTTAATAATGATGGTTGGGTTAATTGGATGTGGAGTTGGGTACCAAGTGTTAATTTGACTAGTGAAATTAATGAAATTCCTCTTAGTCCTGAAACAGCTATTAGTGGTCACACCTTAAATACAGGGATATATATTGATACACTTCTGTTTATTCTTAAAGTAAGAATAATCAATAAAAACTAAATTTTCTTTATTTTGTGTATAATTATATTAATTTATATGTTTGGAATTTCATCACTAAATGTTTTAGATTAAGTCTACCAAAAAATTAAATGATTATAGGCCATTATTACAAATTACTTTAAATGGCACTGTACTTGAAATAGTATCTCATCCATCAGATTGGATAAATGTACAATTTGGTATAAGTAAAGCTAGTATTGATTCTCTGGGAGATTGTACTTGTGGTGCTCAGGACTGTTATACGGTTTGTTTAAAATAATACAATTGTTTTCGTATTGTTAATCAATTAAATAATATTTGTAAACAACATAAAATATTATAATTAATATATTTTTTTTTAGAATACTTATTTTTCATCAGGCGGATTGCAAAATACTTATCTATTAAAATCATTATTTCATGAAAATATAAATATTAATGATCTTAATGATAATATATTATTTTCATTTGATCATCACTTAAGTAAATTTAGTGGTAAGATAATACTTTTATTAATTCTATTTATTATGAATTATAATCTGTCCTATTTATAAACTAAACATTACTAAACATTACTGAAATTTGTTCTGATAATTAAAAAAAAAACTTGTTTACCAACATGTTCATTATATTAGATTCTGAGTGGAGTAAGGAATATATTGGTTTTACAATGAATTTTTTTCTTATTTGTAAATAAGTTTTCTACCAGCAATTTTGTTCCGATTTTCAATTATAATATTTTGTAAAAGGAAATCTGACTGGGGTGATACTTTAGGGAGGCAATTTTTTGATTTTCCTGCTGTTTTCATAATAAATGCAAAAACCATAAAAATAAATAGGAAAATAGGTACTATATTAAACAAATATTATCAAAGAAAATATATAATGCATATGTAATTACTTTACCATAATATGACATATTTATTGTTGACAAAGCAATACTATTAACTGAACTCTGTCCAAAATTGTATTTTGTTAGCAATAGTTAATCATGTTGCATACAGATATAAATTAAATTTCATCTCCCAACTTCTCACCTAGAACAGTGACCCACTTATTGTGCAAAGTATGTCCATATCTTTTTTAATACAGTTTTATAAAACTAAAACTAAAATATCTTCTCCTTTTTATTTATATATTTGAAAGATGACCCTACAATTAAATATTAAACTAATAATTTTCTTTACTTATAGAATGTAATACTTTATACTTGTATTTTTTTAGAAACTATTCTATTAGACAAAACTCCTGCATTTGCATTTGACTATTTATTCACTCAAGTTTCTAATTCATACCAGCATAATTGTGATGATGATACTGAAAATTATTTTTTTGTGTAAGTATAAAAGAGAAACTAATCAACACAAATAAACAATTTTTTTTTTCTTATATTACATCTTTTTTAAATTTAAAAGATCTACTCATTGAGTTTATACATTATTTAAATTTTTTATTATTAATATATATATTATATGGTATTTACTGTCACCCTAATTAATTATTACTTAAAAAGTAGATATGAGACTTGAAATTTGTATAGACAATATATACTCATTTATATAGATGTTTTCATATTTTCAAAACATTTGAATTATTTTTTTTATCTATTTATAGACATTTTAATTTTACAAGTTTTTACGTAATATTTGTTTGGTTAAAATAAAATTTGTAGTTAAAATTATTAGACTGAACAGAATTGTTTGAAAATTTGATAGAATGTTCATTTTAAGCTGTACTTAATGGTAAAAAAAAAAATTAGTTTAATGTAGTATTATTTTAGATTCTGAGTGAAGCAAAGAAGCTTATGGTTTTACAATGATGTTTATTTATTTATTTTTTTTATCTGTGAATAATTTTTCTACCAGTTATATTTCAATTTTCAAATTTAAGACTTTTTGAAAGTAATACTGACTGGGGTGGTACTTTAAGGAGGTTATTTTTTGAGTTTCTCAGGATTTTTCTCAATATGGAAAAACCATTAAAAAGCATGGGAAGAATGGGGAAATAGATGCAATATTAAATAAATATTATTAAAGAAAATGTTAGATGTATATGTAATTATTTTACCCTAATGTGACATATATTATTGACAAAGTAACACTATCATCTGAATTCCGAATAGAGTTGTTTTTTCATTAGCAATGGTTAATCATTGCTTACATATATATGTTAAATTTATATCTATATCTTACCTTGGCAACTTCCTACCTACAACAGTAGCTGCACCTGTTCCCATTATCCTAGGATTTTTTTAATTTTAAATCAACATTTTATAAAATTTTATTTATAGTTCAGTTGATCTATTATGCATAATATTTAATTTTTTTACATTATTTTTACTTTATTGTTTTATGTGTGTTGCATTTATATTTTATTTTTTTGGTCACCTTAAGTGTGTATTAATTTATTTATTATTCATGAATTTACAAAAATAGTCTTGTACCTTTTTAATCATTTGAATATCTACATAGAATACAGGATTTAATATAATTCTGGTGTATAATGAGGTATATTATATTTTGACTGCTGTGTAGTTTAACTCTTTAGAAATGTGCTTTTATTTATTACATGATTTATGTGTTCTTTAAAATAAAACTTTTGATTTAGATGACTTCGAATACTTATTGAATATGGTTGCATGATAATTGTGCTGTTAAAATTATACCTAAAATGAACATATTATACTTGTTTTATACTAATAACAATATTATTTATGTATATTAAAGGCCCGAAGAAAAATGTCTATTACGATTTGTTGCTGGACCCAGTATTTTGAATGTGTCATCAGGACTAATTCACCGAGTTGAATTTATTTACAAACTAGTACTTGGTCATGATTTTATTTTATTTACTATTCCTCCACAGCCTTCATATTCAGGTAATATAAGTTTTAAAATATTAAATTATGTTTGTGTATTTAAATAGTAGGGTTATTGTTTTATTTATTTATTTACAGTTTTCAAAATCTTAAGTAAAAATATAACAGTAGTAGGTATAAAGTGAATTATACATATGTGTTTACAGTATAATAATAATTTATATAAAATACAGAAAGTAATATGAATAATAATAATAATAATAATAATAATAATAATTAAAATGAATATAATAAAAACATACTATATCATTTGGTTATTAATTGATTAAATTGAATCACAAATTTGTTTAACATTATTAATACAAGAAAATAAATTGTATTGGCAGAATTGCCTAATGACATCAGCATATTTGCTGGTGAATTTATTGAATAATTTGTATTTATTTCTATTAATAAAGATAACTTATTGTCCCTAGTGTTTTTTGGGTCGGTTTTAAATTGTATTAATATGGTCATTGATTTTTAATTTAGTATTCTAAGAATATACCTAAATTTTTAATTAAAGATGTACGTTATATTGAATTATTTTCAAATTTGTAATTAAAACTAGAGATATTTTTTTATATAAAAAAGTAATTACAGAACATTTATTTAAATTAAGTTTTATGCTATTGTTTGAACACCAGTCGAAAAAGTAATTTAGGTTGGATTGTAAATCTAAAGTATCATTAATTACAGTAATAGTTTTATAAATGTTAGCATCATCGGCAATAAGCAATATTTTTTAATATTTTAATACAGACGAAATATCATTAAAGAATAATAAGAACAATAAAGGAGAAATATGATTGCCTTGGGGTACTCTAGAAGAGACTTTCATGGGTGTTAAAAGAAAATGTTTATATTTAATAATTTGTAGTCTATTAGATAGAAAAGATGCGAACCATGCTAAGAAGGGATCATTAAAGCTGAATATTATTTTTAGTTTGAGAATTAATAAGTAGTGATCCATTTGGTCAAATGCTTTATTAAAATCAGTGTAGATGACATATGTTTGTGCTTTTAAGGAAAAAGAATCTAAAATACTGTACCGGGATGTATATAATAGAAAAAATTGCTGTTTAATTTGTTTTAAATTTGAATTTAAGTTAGAGTATCATTGTGAAAAAAAGTTCAAAACCACTACTGTGTGTAATAACATTTATTTTACATAGATATGGAAGAAAAATATAATGCTATAATTAATTCTAATATCCAATTAATGGTTTACCAATTCACAATATTTAATCCAATGATCAAAGTATTTCCAGCTTGTCATGTACCAACTCCATCATCTCAAAGACACAAGGTATTAAATTTAAATAAAAATCCTATTAGAAATAAAAATAAAAGTATTATAATAAATCGTATATTGTAACAGAAAAATCAAAAAAGTTGCTTAAAACAATTTGATCCTATATTTGAAAATCCACCAACAGCTATTTTTGAATTAAAAGTTTTAGATGGTCGAATTGTGACTCCTAAAAAGAAACTGAGATGGTCCTTATTACCACAAGGTATAATTAAAAATATTGCTGAAGAAAAAAAAGTGCAATTAAAAACAAAGGCTATTTTAAGGGTATGTAATTTATTATTTATAAATAAAATTAAAGCGATGAATGAAAATGTATTTATTATTAGAGCTTGGATGTTAATGCTCCAATAATCCTATGCAAATGACTGAATACAAAATAATAATGTCCAGTAAATTAAAATACACATTATAATTTAAAAAGTTGGAAGGTCAACAATACATTATTTTTCTCATTTGCTTTCATCCAAATTAATAAGTAGGCCAACCTCGTCTTAAAATTCAACTTGATCTAATCTCTACATTGCTGTACTTGAGTGTCTTCATATAATTCTTAACCGTATTCAACCTTCTTTTTTTTTAGTTTTCCTCTAACTCTTTTCTTCTATGTTTATTTTCGTTAGGTACTATACTTAATGTTTCTGATTCCATTCTTCTTATGACATTTCAAAACCATTTTAATCTATTTTCTCTTATCAAACCGTGGTTAAGCCTAAACTACCTCGTATTTCCTTATTCCTTGTCCTATTTTCTTTCATCACTCGATGACAAGATATGATTATAGATGAAGTAAACTTCAATGAAGTTCAGATGAACATGTTTTTAAATAGGAACCTTAATTTGTATGAGTTTGTAAAATTAAACCTTAAATGCTTATATTACAAAAAAAAGACTACATTACACTCAACTTTTTAAGCCTCATTAAATTTCCAAACAAAAATTTTTGGCAAAACAATTTTATCCATATAAAACCTATAAATAGCTGAAAAATTTGTCAGAATGTTTTGAAAATTCACTACGTCTAGAAAATTTGATTAAAGTATTCTGTGGAAATGTCAAGTTTCTATGATTACTTTTAACCAAATTTGAACTAAAAAAAAAAATACAGTGAAACTTTTACTTTCTCTTTTTTCTCAATTATTAAGAAAACTAAAGAAAAAATCAAAAATCACTCTTATGCACCAAGATCCACTATTCTACAAATTCTCTTGTTATTTTTTAATTGGAGCAAGATTTTTGGTTGGAAATATGTCATTGATGATTAATATAAAATAAATACTAAGAAAAGATATAGTCAGGAGTATTATAATAACTACTTATGTGTATTCAATATCTAAAACAAATTTTTTCAACATTTTGTATAGGCTAGTTAAGTTATAAATATAAAATACTGTTTCATATGATTTTGTATTTTGCAATTTATTAATTATTTTCTAGGCAAAAGATTTTTTAGTGAATATTGAATTTTCTTATTCAACACATAAATTATTAAAAATCAATAATATAGGATTTAATACTACACATGATTGTATTATAAATTATAACTCAGATTCTATATTGGACATAGGTAAATATATAATTTTTTTTATTATACTTAATTAAAATTTATTTTTAACATTCGTATGTATTTGTTTTAGATTTTATTAGTTTTTCAACATCAAAAGAAAATTTTCTATTAATGTATTATATTATTCAATCAATTATTATGTCTAACCATCGAAGACTCTTACATATCAATAATTATATTTTTAAATCATCATTATTAGATGATGCCCCAGGTAATTAATTATTAATTCAATTTTAATTTAAGATTTAAAAGTTAAGTACTAAAATTAAAATTGTATCATATTAGATTATATAATCTCTACATATGAACAAACTTATTTTATTTGTTATTAAAACTTATTAGAACTTAATTAATAAACAAATAGTTTTATTATACAACCTGTAATATTATTGTATCATTAAAATTTTACTATTACAGGTTCCATTGTTTTGATATTTAATTTGGAAGGAGTTAAAATATACCATAAATTAGAAAATCAATTAGCATGCATTAAAATAATATGTAACAATATTAATGCTAAAATGGTAACGCTAAATAAATTGAATGATAATATTTCAAGTGCTATATTATTTTCGACTACAGAATTTATTAAAAATTCTGTGCCATTCCTTCATAGTAAGTGATGTAATCAACTATAATTTATGGAAAATTGTATAAGCTTATTAAAGTATTTTTAAATTTTAAAAATTAAATAATAATTTTCAGTTTAAAATAAAATTTGTAAGATAAGTTTAAGTACTTTAATAAAGCAAATTGTAAACCTTAAAACTATTGAAAAATATATATTTTATATAATTGTTTAAACAAGTAGTATTTTAATTACATCATTAACATGAATTTTAGTTATACTTCAATTACCATCTGAAATAGTTGCTAATGAAATGCCGTTAATATATTTCAAAATTGGTGAGTTAGATATGAACTTTGATCCAATATTATTTGATTGGTTAGTTTACATACCTAATATAAATAAACAGAAAGAAGGGAAAAAGAAAATTTCAACAGCATCTGATTTAGCATTTTTCAGGTAATATAGTTTATATAGTTTAAAAATAATAATGTCTAAAATGTCAAATATTTTCAGTGCTCCAAGTCGCAAAATTTCTGAAACCAGTATTAACAGTGATCTGAAAAAAAAACAGCATAAGCCATCTATTCATAGTAGTGTTTCAGAAAACGTTTCCTTTCACTCTGCTAAATTTTTACATTTAAAAAATGAAGTAATTTAGTAATTAAATATCCACTATACAGGGTGATTTTTTTTATCATGAACCAGCAATTGTCACAAAGGATTTTAAGTGAATTTGACTTCTGTTTTTTTTTTTTTTTATTAATATGGAATCGTTTAAGCTTTATTGTAAAATCATTTTTAATTTTTTACTTCATGTATTTTAAATAAGTGATATTTTTGATTTTCAATTACATACCTTCCCCCTTTTTGAACACAGATTTGAATAGAGACTAATATCAGACTTACTGTTATAACTCATAAACGTCAAATCTGATATTAGTGTTATGTATATCAAAATTTCTAGAAAAATATTCTCTATTCAAATCTGTGTTCAAAAAAGGGGAAGGTATGTAATTGAAAATCAAAAATATCACTTATTTAAAATACATGAAGTAAAAAAATAAAAATGATTTTACAATAAAGCTTAAATGATTCCATATTAATAAAAAAAAACAGAAATCAAATAAAAAAAATCACTCTGTATACTACTACTTCTACTACTACTACTATTCTACTACTTATAAAGTATATAATTTGAATGTAATTTACTTTAATATCATTGATTAAATTAAACTATTTTTGTATTTAACAAAACTTCTCTAAAATAATTAATATATTTTAATATATATTTCATTTTTACTTTGGAAATATGTTTTTAAACCTTTCCAAAAAATATAATTTTATTTATATTAATAATAAATGATTATTCCTAAGCATATATAAAATTAAAATAGTGTTACTCTTGTTGATATATTTCGTACATAATTTATAACTTTTTTTGTTTTATCGTTTATAGTCTAAAGAAATGAAAATTGTTCGTTTATTCAACAAATGGAAATCATCTATTGTTTTTGTTGATACATCACGAATTGCTTTATATTTTCCTAGCAAATCATTATCAATGTTGAAAAAATCACCAAGTAAATCTTTAGATCTCAGTGAACTACTTGAGTATTCCACAAATAATGGAAATGGATTAGTCGTATTAAGAATATCAAATATTTCCTTAAAATGTATTATTCCAAAAAATCAAATGGAGCAATATTTAAGTACTACCCCTGTTAGATTTCCTAACACTTTATGGTCTCCTGGTAAGATTTTAAATCAGTATTCAAATCGTATATTATTTTATTAATTTTGTGTGTACCTAATTAAAATTATTAACAATGTATGAATTATATTTAATTCATAAGGAAATACTTATGTTGATAGGATTATTTCAGTTTTTTTTGAACATAATTTTAAAATTAAACTTGTGTTACCCTTTCAGTGAAAACTAATTTTAAGTTGATTTTCTTTATTATAAATGCCTTATGTATGCAAAGATTTAATATAAATTCAATTTTCTCATTCTTCTTTTATTAGTTCCTATCCGTTTTGAATGTTGGAAATCACATTGAATATTGCTTCTCTTTCTAACGATGAATGAAATAATTAATTTGTTGTTGTGCTAAACCTGTCACAGATATTTTTAAATAATATCCTTAAGGATATATTTCATCTATCAATATTTCTCTTGCTTTCTATTTCCCTTGAAGTATAAATTGTAGAAATCAATATCTTTGGTTATTCCTCATTATGTGGCCCAGGTATTCTAATTTACATGGTATAAAGTCCTCGTTAATTTCTTTTTCTTTTACATTCTTTGTAGTACACAAATGTTAGTTAATCAATCTGTTCAAAAAATATTTAGGATTCGACGGTACAGCCACATTTCCAATGCCTCAATTATTAATTTCTTAATGTTTCAGTTAATGTCCATGTTTCGGCTCCATATAATAAAATAGGGAAGATGTAACATCTAAATATTCTAATTTTAGTGTCCAATAAAAAATCATGGCATTTAAATATCTTAACATTTTTTACAAATGTACCTCTGGCCATCTCAATCCGCCATTTATCCATCCCATTTTTTCCATTCCATGTTTCCAGTCCTCATTTACCCATGTATCGAGATAGCTATAATTTTGAACCTTTTCTATTTACTTTCCCTTCAAAAATAGCTGTTTTTTCAAAATTATCATTTATTTGGTTTTGTTTATATTAAGAAACAAACCAAAACTTTCCCTTAAGTCTGCTATTCTATTTACAATTTTTTGGAAGCTTGGCATATTATTTCTGAATACAACTGCATCATCAGCGTATCTTATATTATTTAATACATTCACCATTTACTTTTATGCTCGCGTTAACTTCATCCAAAGCTTCTCGAAGTAAGAATTCCGAGTATAAATTAAATATAAGTGGTGAGAGGATGCAACCCTGTCTCACTCCTCTTTTTATTGGGATATCGTTTGACATTTCTGTCTAATTTCTCATTAACAATACTTTAAAAATGCTACCTTTTGTTATTCCTGTTTAAGATAATTATTATTTTTTTGAATTTTCAATAGCTAATCATATTTTATTTAGAACTCAGGTATGTAATTGAAGGAGAGTATTGGTAGTTTTTTTAATTTTTATTTCAGTCAACTTAAATTTAAAAAATTCTAAAATGAGTTATAAACATTTAAATAACCATTTTCATACATCTTCATTTCAAACCATAATATAAATTATTTTTAGAACTAATAATTATAATTATGAAAATTACAGTCAAGTAAATTATTTCTGGAAAAAAAAAAAAATGTAATATTAGTTGCATTTTTTCAGATGGTCTGTATTTTCCATGGGAACTTAACTTTCATAAACTAGAATGTTATACAATTCATAGTTCTTATGATATCACATACCAAAGATCATATACACATAAAGTACAACTTCTTTATCCATTTAGTGCTCAGTGTACATTAGCTATTACATCTCAATTACATAATAGTAATCCTCTATCATTGAAAAGCTTAGCTGCTTGTATACATTGTGATTCTGATCCAATTTCTATTTGCATATCTGAGCAACAAGTAAGTATCCATTTACATTTATTATTTAATCATTTATTTAAATGTGTAATACCCCATCAGATAGATAGGTACCATCATTTTATTATATTACATTAAGGGATTCATTAAGAAAATTATCACATTTATTTATTTTTGAAAATATATAATGTATCTATTTAAAAATCTATATCTTTATATTGATATAAAGCTTATTTTATTATTCATTTATAGGTAAAGCTTGTTGCTAATTTATTAAAAAAACAAATTGAAGTGTATAAAGTCATATTTTCAAACATTGAATATGGAACATTTTTTAACTGTTCAGTGGCACATGAAATGTCATCAATTCCTGAAGATGAACCTATAGAAACCAAAATTTGTGTACTTGGTAACATCTTTAATTTTTTGATCACATATTTATTTAATTTTAAATATTATGATTTATAAATATAGATATTAAAAAACCTGAAGAAAATGTCAAATTATCTGGTTGGTTTCAATGGACTTTAGCTCGCTTTTCATTAATTATCAAAAATAATCCAGAATACAGTTCATTAGAAAATGTTAAACTTGTATTAGACTTAGAGGACGTAATAAGTTCTTTAGACTTTGGAGTATCATACCACAAGTTAAAATTAAAGATTTCTTCAGCTTCCATAAAACATTTTATCAAGTATACTAAAATACATTTTGTATTGCTATGATGATTTATTAAATAATAGTTAATAAAATAATACATGATTCATGATATTCATTTAGAAATATAAAAGAAGAACAGTGGAAGCATGGACCATACTTAGGACTAATACTTAAAGGTTATGATCCTTTAAATAGCTCAGATAAAACATCAAAAACCGATGGGTTTTTAAATTTTACATTAACTCGAGCATTCAAAAGTTCTTTTCAAAACTCTAAATTAAATAAAAATAACACTCCTTTACATATGGTAATATATTTATATTGCATATTATTTAGAATATTTATCTAATATTTGTTATTAAAGTTATCACCATGTTTTTTTTTTTTTTTTGTATGTATCTTAAATAATTATTATATTATTCTAAAATTGTTAAGTTATAAAGAAGAACATTTAACACGTATTTCTGCTGTGTATCATATTTCAGTAGCATCTACCGCGGTGCTTACACAATCTTTGAAATAAAATCGATTTATATTGAATTTAGACTTATAATTATATAATATTCATTAAAGCCCTATATCGATGGGTAAAATATGTCTATTTTTATATTATATATGAGATTCCAGTCTAATAATAAAATAACATGATAAAAGTAGATAATTAGGGAATATTATTAAGGGCTGTTCTATCCAACGTAAAAAATGCGTTAATCTGATTCTTAAACTGAGGTTATGGTTGATAACCAACTAAAAATAGTCGATTATCCTATAAACTCAGTTTAAAAATTATTGTTTACATTTTTGAGAACGGGCCTAAATCGTACGCAAATAGAAAACAAATGGTTATTTTTAGAAACGGTTTTCCAAATATATTTAACAATGTTTGTAGACATCGGTGACATAAAATTAAAGTACTGATTCTAACGATGACTGAAATATAAGCTCATTAAAATCAGTATATTAGGTGACACCAATTAGCGTCGATCGTATGTAGTTAGTGACGCTATTATCGTCAATTAGTGTTGTACGCAGCAAACGTGTTAAGTTAATTTATAAAAAAAAATTACTTTTAAAATTCAGAAAAACTAAAAAATGTAAAATAATATATTATATAACGTGTCCTAAAGCATTATCCAAATGCTAATAACTCTGTCAATATTTATTTTATGTGAACAATTTTTTTCAATCGGATTTTATGTCAGGGGACACAAATATATAGACAATTTTATTTATTTTTTTTTTTCTGTGGACAATATATCTACCAGAGAACCTGCTCCGATTTTTATGTGTATCACTTTTTCTAAAAGGAAATCGGTGTGGGGAGGTACTTTAAGGAGGTCATTTTTTGATTTTCTCAAGAGTTTTCTCATGAAATACGAAAGACCGAAAAAAAAAAACTGGAAAATGTACGAAATATATTTGTATAATAATACGATTTTTTTTCAGTGGATAACTTTTCTATCAGCAATTTCGCTCCAACTTATAATGATAACAATTTTTCTACAAGGAAATTCCACTAGGGAAGTACTTTAGAGAAGTAATTTTTCGATTTTCCATAGAGTTCTTATCGGTACAACATAAAACAAATATTAAAGAAAATAATTTAAATCTTATTTAATAATTTTACTATAATATGGTATACCATATAATATTGTTAAAAAAACATCTCTATTAACTAAACTCTGCTCAACAATTTTTTCTTAAGTAATGGTTTTTTATAGCTATGCATTAAATTACCTATAACAGTGGCTGCACCTGTCCCCATTATCCTATTACGTCTTTTCAAAACAAAATAATTATTTTGAAAATTTTAAAAATTGTTAAAAAAAGAACTTTTTTTCAGTAATTTGGGATGAAAATAAAAAATATTTTTTCTCTACATTTGTGTCCTGACACAAAACCTGATTGGAAAATAAAATATTGATAGAGTTATTAGCACTCGGATAATACTGTAGAACACTGTATACAAAATAGTATTTTATTAGAATATTTTTGGTAAAAATTTGCTATTTTTTTACTTGCTAATAAAAATATGCAAAAACATGTAAACTAAAATAATTAAACTAAAGTTACTATAATAATAACTTATAGTTTTGTTTAACTTTCCTCCATGTATAACTGTAGTTTAACTATTATATTTTTACATATTAAGTAGAAACATAATTTGTTTATATTGTCATTCAACTATTTTTGTATTAGGTTAGTGATGAAATGCTCAAATTAAACCAAAAATTAATGGATGAATATATAATGGAAATTGTAATCAAAGTGCAACCAATTGATATTGTTATTTCTCCTTTTAATCTTCATAAATTCTTATCTATAATTGATCCTCTTCTAGAAATATTTATAAATTCTAAATATTTACTAAATTCTTCATCAAATTCTCATAATTTATTAGAACCAAGTAAAGAAATACTAGGTTCAACATTACCATTATTTTATTTGGATATTGCATTATTAAGGATTTTTATACCACTATCTTTACAAGACAATACTATTGAAGATCAAGACACTGTTATAGTTCAAGTAATTCTAACCATAATAAATTGTATTCTTTGATACTATGTATGTATAATTTATTTATTAGGTCAATTCATTAAAAATAAATCAAAATCCTGAAAATCCTATTACTCGAACACCACTCAGAAAAGATTTGTACATTGAAGCTGAAAAACGAGGGTTATTGTCCATTCCAGGATCAATAGTTGAAGATCGCCAGTATCAAATTATTGTAAACGGATTTTCAATAAAAACTGGATTTTGGATTGATCTAAAACAAGTATTGGAATGTTATCAAGTATCATCAACTTTAGATACAGATCATCAACCAAATGCTGCATTGTTATGGAATGAAGGCAAAAGACCTAGGGCAATGGGAAATTCTAATTTGGATGAAATTAATACATCAACATTGTTTAATAAAGTAACTTTTCACTCAGTTTTTGCTCCAGCTATTATTTTTGAACCAGAAAATACATTAGTATGCGGCAGTTGGATAGAAGTTAGTATTTTTAAATTAAATTTTTTTGAAATAAATAATTAGCATTATTTTCTTACGCGTTTAGGTGAATATATCAAATGAAATAATAATAACATTATCTATAGGACAACTTAACTTGTTGAACATATTAGCTTCTCAAAGCAATGAATATATATTAAGTCATTTAAAAACAAATTGCACCAATTTAAATGAAAAAATGCAATCTAAATCATCACCAGAGTCATTAACTCTTGATAGTGGTGTTAATTCTACTGAAGATAATGTTAAATTGTTTGATCAAGAAACTAGTTCAATATCATTAGTTGGAAATAAAATAAACTCTCAATCAAATATAGCTCTTTTCTTAAAAAAGTTAGTGTTTATGTAATATTAATATTTTATTATTAATTAAACATAAAATAAAATAATTTTGCTGTATATCTTAGAGATACTACTACTACAGTAAATCAAATTCCAATTGATGTAATTATCACTGGAAAACAAATCAATTTGAATATTTTTAATTGTATAGTTAAAAATGAAATCAAGATATGTGAACCACTGTTATATGCTGTTATTCATCAACCTCATGTATTTTTTTCTCTTTCTAGTACTTCCGATTCATGTCAAGTACGAATTAAAAAATATTGTATTTAAATTACCTGTTAACCTGTTAAAATATATAATTATTTTTATATAATATTTTAGGTAATATTCTTTGATCTGACAATATCATTAGCTCCAAAAAATAAAATATATGAAATTGAGGTCCCTGAATCTAAAATGTATTCAGTTCCATTATTTGAAACAAAATCGAATACAAATGATGAAATTCCTTTAGCATTTTTTACATTGAAAATTTCTCGCCCTATTTCAATTGGTCAATACAAAGTATATAGTAATCATTATTTTACTTTATTATTTAATTTATCATAAATATTAAGTTTTTTTTTTTTTAGGTTGAGCTAATTCTAGGAAGAGCTATTTCATTAGTGTTAAATAAACAAAAGATTGATCACTTTAATAATTTTTTTGATCTTGTAAGGAAAATATTTCATAAAGTTTCTTTGTCTTATGAGGAGACTCATACTGATTCAAAGTAAGTTGATCATTTCTATTATATGTGCATATAATGTACCTATGGAACTGACCTATTAAAAAAAAATTATAATAATAATAATTTAGTGTAAATGTAAATAAACATTTGAAAAGACGTGAATACTTTACACAATAGTAGGTCTTTGTTGTAGGAGAATAGTTAAAAAGGTAGGAAATAGAAAAGAATTTGATTTATATCCAAATGCAATTAAAATATGACCCTTTAAGTACCAACTTGATTAAATTTCATTTCAGAAAAAGTGCTACACTTAACACATCAGAGCAAGATTTCTAATAAAAAAGTTACTCACAATATAAAAATAATAAAAAATAAACATCATTGTAAAACCAATACATTTCTCATTACCCTTGAAATCTAAAATGTTTTTACATACTACATACTTGTTTATGTTGTGGATTTTCTGGTTTAAACTACCTTTTATTTTTAAACTGTTTAAATTAAATTAATTTAAATTTAGCATTAATAAGTAACAATATTTGACTAGACAAGTATCCAAAATAAAGAGTATATTACATTAATAATAATTGATAAAAATGAAGCATTTTTAATGGAAAGGATAAAATAGAATTTATTAGTATATTTTACATTTCAATGTTTGTGATATAGTTTTAACCAATTGTTTGATTATACATGGATGTATAGAGTTAATAAATTAAATTAAAACTAAAAACCCTGTATAGTATGCAGTGAAACTTCTGAATAGCGGACACTATTGGTCACCAAAACGTTGTCTGCTATTTGGAGGTGTCATATATTCAGAGGGGGTAAATTTTTGAAATTCATAAGTAGGTAAATGTGTAAAAAGAAAAAATATGCGCTAGGTTAAATTAAATTATAATGTTATTATTTAATGTTTTAATGATATAATAATGTATGTAGACATTACAAAAAATTAGTCAGTTTGGTTTATTTATAATTATGTTGTCTTGATATAATTTCTTTTAGTAAGTTTATTTGCCAAAGTTATAGTAGAAAATAAAATATTACTGCTTTCTATCTCTATTAGTGTATTAATATTAATATAAGTATATAATTTACACATTATTTTTTATTGTACTTTTAGACTTCATGAAATTGAAATTCTAAAACCGTCTTTTAAAATTGAATCGATCGTATCTCCAAATATGTCTGATGAATTTGATAAGTATAATTATGAAAATTCAACCATTGAATCGGCTAAACATACTAGTATTATTAAAGAAACATTTGATGAAAACATTATTGAAATACCTGCACAATTGATTAATGAACACTTTTGGTACTCAAAACCAATGGTTATAAATTTAACAACTCAACAAATATTTGTTCAGCTTTATACTGAAAATAATGGTATAGCTTAGACATTTTTAGATTTTCAATAAGTAAAATTTTAATACATAATATTTTTTATTTTTAGAGAATATTGTATTCAGCATTGAAAGTATAGTTTCTAAATTGAACTGTTTGTGGAAAAAACCATCAGAACGTATGAATGGTGAAATAACATTGAATAGCGCAACAATATCAATTGGAAATAATTACTCAAAATATAATACAAATGAATTAATTTTACACCCATGGACAATGACTCTTGAAATTGTTTTATCGTCAGACCCATGGGTTCCAGAATATTTTCGGCCAACAAAACAACTGAAAATACTTACAGATTATGTAGCATTTCATATATCTCCCTCTCATTATAATACATTGAAACTTGTTTGGAATGAATACAAGTTTTTAATTGAATATAATAAAAATATAGCAAAAAAAACAAGTTGTAGTATGTTTATTGATAATATTATTTATTAAATGTTATAATTTGTTATATTTTAGAAATTAACATTTTTAATATAATATTTATTTTAGATTCTGAATCTGATGAACAATTTTATCAAGATGATCTTAGAGCTGGGGCTTTTCAATTTCTTGAAACTAATAGTTCTGATTTACCTCTACCTTATCAAATTTTTTTTTCGGAATGTTTACCTAACAATATACCAAAAATTACATGGCGTTATCCCCAACCTAGAACATTGACAAAGATTGAAGTACAACCAATTCCGATGGAAGTATGTGTACTTAATTTTTATATAATTATTATACTTTCTAATTTTATTTTTTACTTAAAATATTATTAAGGTGGATATAGACATTGAGTTGCATTTACAATGGTATGATGAAATACAAAATTGTTTTAGAGTTCATACTAGTTTCATTTTTCCAAAATATGAACCTTTGTTACTACGTCTAGAATCATGGCAAGCAGTTTCAAATACTTGGCGCATAATTATGGATAATGCTAGTATAATGAATTGTCCACTGCAAATAAAGTACTTTATATCACAATTATGAGTCTAGTAGTTTTTGGTAATAATTAATATATTTTTTACATGTATTTAGGAGTTTGGTTGGTTGTCTTAGAGTTGATTCATATTTTTCACCAAGCTTAGTACCGCAGTTACAGTTTTCATTATCAGCATCGTCTATTAAAGTAATAATATCATTATTAAATTAACATGAATTTTGATTATTAAATACTTTTAATAGGTGAACATTTCATATGATATTAAAAAAAAAACATACTTAGAACGATATGATTGCATTTCTGATGTTCCACCAAAACATAAACTAGTTATTTTGATTTTGGATCAAATAAATATTGGTTTCAAACTTCAAGACGGTATTTATTAATTTATTATGGTTGTTAATTCTATTTTTGTATATATATAAACAATAATAATAATATAACTGATATTAGCTCTAAAAATAATAGAATATTGAACAATGCTTAGTAAGTAATGATATCAAGAAATAAATAAAAGTGGTTGTAAGTAGATAAAAGACAAAAAACTATTAAAAACTGTTTTGTTAGTTGGACAATTTATGTTCTTTGTTCATATAAAGGAGAGGGAGATTGAGGTTTACAAATAAGTAGTCGAGAAAAAAGAAAACCAAGCATGTTACTAATGTAAGATACATTAACTTTGATTATACAAGTGATAAATACTCAATAAGATAATCATTGCATCATAAAATATTGACTTTTTTCAGAATATTTAAGAAATAAGCAGCTTTAAAATGTTATATTATCATTTAGTTTTGTCGCCTTTATTTTTAGAGATAAAATAACTACTTCATAATTTTGATTTTAAATTAGCAATGTATATTTAACATTCCATAAATATTAGTGATGTACACTTTGGAATAGATTATACTATCAATAGTTTTTGATAGTTTGGATGAACTATTTATTATTTATTTCTATGACCGAATACTTACATTCAAAAAAACTTTGGAATACTTAAAAAAACTATTTGAATAGTTTTTTTTTCAGTATCAGTATTTTAGTATTTCCAAAAAAATAAACATTTTGAATGTACGTTAAGATTGATAGGTACTAGGTACAAAACATGATAAATCTTCCACTACCATCAGTCTTACGAAAGAAAGGTTACTGTTTTACGCACACTAACAAAGTTCCACACTACCACCATCAAATCCCCTCGTGTGTTGCTAGCTTATGTGTACTGGGTTGAAGCGAGAACTAAATGAAGAGCGGTGTGGGAGAATGCACGTCACTGACTTACTTTTGTTAAAATGCATTACCTTTCTTTCGTGAGACAGAGTGTATTTTTGATTTAACTAAATTTACAAATGAGTCTATGAATACTACTGCGGTGCACCCTGCTTCCATACAACTTATGCATAATGCTATTTTCATATTAAAACTTAATGACTTAATAACTAACCTAAAAAAAACTAGTCTAACAGTTTTTTCCATAAATTAATAAAAAGTGTTAGAGACTATTCAAAGAAAAACTATTTATTTGTAAACTTTTTGAATAGTTTGACTGCGATCAATTATAAAATAGTTTGATAAATAATGAATATATATTGGTGTTTACTTTTTCAATTTAGTTGAATTCAAATACCGAGAGCTGCAATACTACTCAAATAATGTTCCACTACTCTCCCCCTACTCAAACTTAAAAATGAATTTTCTCATTAACAAGTAGATGGAAATTAAAAGTATTAACACTAAAATGAAATTAAACTTAAACTTTAATTTTTTATGGAATTTGTAATATATGTTACTATTTTAAAATCAAAATCAAGTGTTTCTCCTTAAAAATAAGAGTGACAAATAATAACTGTTATGTAATATTATAGTGCTGCTTGTTTATTACATTGTCAAAAATAAAAATAAAAAATGTAATACTTTCTGAGATAGTGGGTGTTTTATTAAAGATTGATCATTCTGTATGATATTATTATTCTAATGGTATTAATAGATAGAAAAGAAACAGAAAAAAGAGGAAAAAAATATGAAGAGCGAGAATAAGTGTAGCTACCACTAATAGTGGATAAAGGTAAAGAGGATAAATAATAATAATGTTATTATATTATTAATACTATTAAAAATTGTAGCATAATAACCAAAATTAAATGCACTCATTTCTCAAAGCTGAGTAGTTAAAAAGTTGAAAAAAAAAAAATTAAAATATTAAGTTAAATAACTAATTTTAACTTAACTTGTTATCACCAAATTATTTAAAAATTATTTGTATAAAATCTGTTAAGCTTTTTATGTGAATATAAATAGTTAATAATTAATTTGATTAAATATTAGGAGAAATAAACACATCAACTCAAGCACATATCAAAATTGAACTCTTAAACTATGGTACATTAACACAAATTCCTATTATAAAAACATTTTTTTTATGTACAACTCGCCATACAACAAAGCCAAGTAATTATTTTATACATTTTAATAAATCATAGTTGATTCCTTTAAATTTGTTTTAATATCATAAAATAATTGTATTCAAATAGTACCTGATATTCAGTACAACATCCAAACTGGAGCTATAGCATGTCAATTTGGTCCGAGTATCATTAATTCTTTGACAGCAGCAATACAGCTGTGGACAAATGAATCTTATTTTATATCAACACCATATATTATTTGTAATGATACCAATTTTCAAATAGTGTAAGTTAATTTGTATAAATTACTTCTACTGTTAAATGAAGTTTATTCAATTTATGAGGCCACAATGCATATATTGTCACTTAATGGCTGTATTCAAACTGTAGACTTTAAATTATATACCTGCAACACATCCAGCACTCACTAGTTACTATATTTACGTTCTATTTAAATTATAAATACATTTACAATTATTGTTGCAGATTTGGTCAATCAAATACTAATGAAGTTATTACACTTGATAGTTTACAATCTTATCAATACACGTGGCGTGTACCCACTGAACATCCTTGCATAAGATTAAGTGTTGGAAATATTAATAAGTAATACATATTAATATAAAGTTAAATGTAACTATGTTCTAATATCTTATAAATATTTAGTTTGTCTTGGAGTAATGATATAAATTTATGTCCTGAAGCTTTAATGTCTCTAACAGTAAAAAATCATAAAGGGGAGACTCATATTTTAATATTGTCTATTACAAATATGTCATCATCAATTATAAAAGTATGTCCTATAGTCTCTCTATATTAAATTACATTTTATTTAAATAGTTGTATTATATATTAGGTCGTTGTATCCAGTCAGTTAAGTATTTTAAACAAAACAGATTATTTTTTGGATGCTCGATTCACCAAAATCAAACAGATTGAAGAGCAAAAGAATAGTGATCAAAATTTAGTTTTGCAATCTTTGCAAACTTTAACTATTCCTCCTGAAAGTATTTCACCATCAATAATGTTATATAATGGACTTAAAGTTACACTAAAGTTACGCTTTCACACTCCCAATCATGATGGTCCCTGGTCTGGATCTATTCCTTTGCAGGCTGTAGAATTTGTCAATGGATATCAAAATTCTTGGCTTGTCAAAAGTTAGTTGTTTTTATTTGTAATATATTTCACATGATTTAAATGATATATTAATTTATCATTATTAATTTATAATTAGTTCCAAAGAAAGATAATATGAAGAAATATCGCAGTATCTGGTGTCGCTTAATTGTAGAAAATATTAACAAAATACCACGTCTGTTGGTATGTAGTAATATTATTAACATTTATTTTGTGCTACAATTTTTTTTTTTAAATTTAGATTTTGTTAATGCCAATGTATGTCATTCGTTCATATTTACCTTATGAAACTTTGTTGAACTTTGAATTAGTGGATAATAAATTAGAATATAACACTATTATACAAACTAAATCTTCCATTGCCGTAAATGATGTACAACATATTGATTTGCCTGGTACCATGAAAGATATTTATAATTTAACAATGAAATTGAAGTTAGTCAATTAATATACCTATTATATAAATTTAGCTAAAGTAATATTTATATTATAAATTTAAAAACATTATATTAATTTTAGTGAAAAATCTTCAGTATCTATTCCACCAGTATCTATAACATATTATATGGATATTGAAAAACCTGATTCAAATAATGACATCTATTTTACTATTGAAGATCTTCTAAATGGAAAATTTTCAAATATGGATTCTGATCTACAGTGGCCATTTATTGGTAATCATTATGCAAGCATAAAATGGAAACAATGTGATTTACCAGATACTCAAACTACTGTTAAAGTAAAATTTATAGTAATTATATTTTGCATTTTAATGTTTAAATAAAAGCTTTATATAGTTTTATATAGAGTCCAGAATTGAACTTACATGGTTACAAATATACAAGATTTATCAAAGCTTATATTACAGTATAATGTTTCATGAAATACTTAGGTGGCCCTCACACTGGAACAAAAGGCAACTAGCAATAAGCAAAAATATTTCCATTAGATTATTCTCGTACAATATGATCTCGTAGATATTAATGAATATTCTCACATCAAAGCAATATGATATTGCTAGTGGCGAACTTCTTGGCATTACGACTGGTCAATATTTATTGCCAGTATTGAACATTATTTTAATAAATAATAATAACATAGTACATGTTCGGGATAATTTTGATTTATTGTTCTTATCAGATGATGACATAATTTCTACTATGTTGCTAGTTGTCTATTGTCTATTGCTTCAGTGTGAGAGCCGCCTAATTTGTTCAAAAACTGACTTTGGTAAAAAGTTTTTAGTATCATATGTTTTAAAATGTTACATTATCCTTATTTGTACCATCCTTATTTATAAGGTCAAATAACTGCCCACTTTTGATTTTTAAATAGCAACTTTTATATTATAAATAAAAGGAATATTAGTTTAAATACATTTTTGTGTTGACATTATTATTTTTACCTACTCATTGGCAAGATATTTTACTTTTAAGTTTGAGTAGAGGTAAAATAGTGAAGCACTATTCAAACACTATGGGTATCAATTTCACTCAAATGATATTCCATTAAAAAGTAGGTAAATAGTCGTTTCACCCCCAAAAGTAAGGATAATGTAACATTTTAGAAATATATGATTCTAAAAAGTTTTTACATTAGTCATTTTTAAAAAATTAATATTTCATAGAAAATTTAATAAATCTTGTACAAACAAAACTTATTGTGTATTTACTGATAATAAATTAAGAAAAAGGTAAAAAATGTGTCTTTAAACTGTAAATTTATATAAATTTATATTATGTACAAAAATATGTGAATAATTTTATAATTTATGTTTTATTATACAATAATTGTAATATAGGTGCAACATTATGGCCATCTTGATCACAATAATGGTTTAAGCCGTGTTATTATTGTTCAACCCTGGGCATTAATAGTCAATACATCTGGTCAAATAATTACATTATGCAATTCTACTGAAACACTCTGCACTTTGGAAAATTTTGGTGTTGTAGCACCTCCCATTATTGAAGTATGTTTCTGTTTATAAGGTATTTTCTACTTAAATAAAATCTTAAGCATATATTGATAGTTTAATTCAGAAACATCAATATAAATTCCATTTATTATTTTTGTTGCATTTTGTTGTAAGTTGCCTCCTAAATATTTTGTGCCGTTTTTTTTTTATAAAACTAAAAATTTAATATCTTTCTCTCGTCTCTTCTAAGTTTTATGTTTTTTTTTTACTGTATAAATATATTGCTTTTATTTATTTTTTTTAATTTAATAGAATACATTTTATATTGATGTAAATATAAATTTTACTTCTCATCGATCACAACCACTTCAATTTTCTAATAGTCAGTCATTCTATATGCCTCAAGTCAATGGATTAATTCCTTTAAGAGGTCATACATCTGTTGTCATAAACTGTAAAAAAAATGTAAGATCATTATTGTCTAATTACCTACTTATATACTTATTGAAATATTTTAATGCCTAAGAAATTTAATTTAGATTGGTTATTTAAACATTTTTTCTTCGGATCATAATAATATGAGAATCGTGCATATTCAAAGTTTATATATTGCCTCAAATAATAGTTCAATCGACTTAAAAGTATTAGCAGTATGTGCTGTACCATCTAATGGCGTTTTGGATATTCCAGAAAACATTGATGAATACTCTGTTGATTTGCCTAAAAACTTTAATGAACTGTAAGTTTTTAACTTGACATTACTAATTACATTATTTAACTTGCTAATGAGTTAATTTAAAATTTAGTATCATAATTTCTAAATACATTGATGTAGAAATATTACTGAGTAAATAATTTAGCAAGACATTGAAATAGTATGTTATATCATAACAAGAGATTATAAACATTAAAAAAGTGGTGAAAGGTTAATATTTTAAAATATTTTATACTATGAAAGAACTATCATTTAACTCCTTTAGAATTGTACTAAATTCTAAATAATATTAATACTATAATATAAATCACTGTTAGGCGGTAGACAGAAAAATAGAATAGACACTGAGCGTATCTCTGAGAGATGAGAATGAATGAGTGACAGGAGAAGATAGGACAAGAAATGAATACATAAATAGCACTTAAAAGAATACATAAATGTGGTTTGATAGTAGACAAAATGAGAGAAAATAAACTAAGACTGTTTAGACATGCCATGAGCGAAGAGGAATCAGAAACACTAATAATTGTAATAAAAATAAATGTAAGAGGAAAGAGGAAGATCAAAAGAGCAGTGGTTAGATGCGATTGAGAATACGAGGACGCCGGGTGCATGAGAGAAAGATTAGGGAAACGAGTTAATTGAAATTTTAGAATGAGGGTAAATAACCCCAAATAGTTGGGATGAAGGCAAAGGAGGAGAAGAAGAAAAAGATCTTCTCCTCAAGTTCACCACAAATAATAAAGGAATGATCATTTTATCTAGATATTCTTAGCTTTAAATTGTTGGTATTATCTTAGAGAAAAAACTGAGGAATACAATAATTTAAAATGTATTATCATCTATTAAATAATTTTGTATTGCTATACAGGTTGCTCTAATTATGTTGTTTGAGAGTAAGAGTATAAAATATCCATAACTGTAGTATACAATTTGAAATACCTGTATAATTAATTAATTTACTGAGTTATTTTAATATCAAATGAAATAAATGTGTTTTTCTTTTCTTATGAACATAAATAATAATATAATTATGATTTAAAATCAGTCTAATTTTAAAGAATCAGAAAACTCTAAATAAAATTATAAATTATATTATTTTTGAAAAAATGTACATACTTTTTTATAACTCATTATTTCAATTATATAAATTACATAGTTTTTAATGTATTTTAGGGGTAAACCATTGACATTATGGACATTGATTGGAAGAGAAACTGTAACAAATGATGAATTAGTTCAATACTTAATATTAATATCTCAAAATAATATTAGTTGTCCTATTAAATTAACTGATCTAAAGAATGAAGAGCGCCCATTGCCTGTTTTATTTTCAAGTTGTGATGTAAATCCATTAATCTGTGTTACATTACAAGAATTGGATAACCAATATTTTTTCACTGTATACAATCAGCCATATCCACAAGTCATTCTTTACAATTATTGTCCAGTATCATTGACTATTGCTTTAACTAAAAAATCCAAGTCAAAATATAAGTCTAAAGAACCAATACCGTTTTCATTTGATTGGAATTGGACATACAGGATAACCTCTGGAAATTATTCTTACCTATCTTTTCCATACTCTGTATCATCCAAACAATTTCCTGGAGTATTAATAGGACTAGATAAAAAACCTTTTAAAGGTAATTTTTATTAATCATTTTGAGGTCCTAATATTTTTTAACTAACGTAAATATAATTTTTTAGGTTGGTTTGCAAACATAGAGTTGAGCGTTTGTGAAAGTAGATTAGTGTCAGTACCTGGTCAGATGAATGATATAAAAGTATCAATAACAAAAAGAGCATTTACCTTAGATGTAATTTTTAAACCGGCTGCACAATTTGAATTTTCAGCTAATGAAGTACGATTAAGATTGGCTAATTGTAAACAATTTAAAGGTAATTTATTAATCAAAAAAATGTACACATTAAATTTTTAAATTATATTAAATATTATCTAAAGACTATTTTATTTATACTAAATTTTTTCTAACTATTCTAGATACTACTTTGTCATCAAATAATGAATTATTGAATAATGTGAGAAACGAGTATATTCGTACTCCTACAAATTCTATACAAAATATAATTTCAACAAAAATTTATAGTAATTATTTTTATTGTTACAATTGTGTTTTTCTGTTTAAATTTAATTTTAATGTGCAAATTATTGTTGAAATTTTGTAGGGCTTTGGCCATCAATAAAATGTCATATTCATACATTTATATTTACATTATTTGTTGATGACATTGGATTCAATTCAAAGGCTGTAATTTCAATGACATTGGATAATATAGCAGCAACTTTAGATGAGAATCAGGTAAATATTTTTTGAAAATGTCTTGTCACATTTTGTTTTATAATAATGGGATACATTTAATTAATTTTAGATTCTGAGCGATTCTAGTCTGTGGACACGTTTTATCCTAGTAAACTTGCTCCAATTTTTACATGTAGCAACTTTTCTAAAGTTCAAGTTGTCTATATTGTACATTAGGTTATTTTAATTTTCTACGCTATTTTTAAATAAAAGTACTCAAGTGGGTATAAAACATAGAAAAAGGTACAATTTCATGATTTAATTATTTTATAAAAACACGGACATTTTCTTCCAGAAAAAATGAATTAATCGAAAAATAACAAGATACCTTTTTTGTCGCCTTTTTGGTTTACTTTCTTACTGTATCATTGCTCAAAACTTTGAACTTTTAAGGGATTTTAATTTTTAGTAATTTTTTTGCTGCAATTCGGTTATAAAAATACATGTAGAGACTTGAATAATTGAAACTTGGCAATAATAATTGTATTGGACTTACCTAGACGTGGTAAAATTTCCAAAATTGTTGGCGGACTTTTTTTTTTTTAATAAGTGTTTTGAAATCAAATTTTAAATAAAAATCGTAAAAAAAATATGGTACTTCAAATTATGTATTACTGAACGGCGCTCGGAATTTTGTCAGGCAATGGTTTATCATTGCTTACAGATATAAATTAAATAATCTTATGAATTCTTTTTCAACTTCTCACCTACAATAGTGGCCGCTCCTATCCCCAGTAAAAAAAAAATATTATTTAAATTTTTATATGATAATTATTTATTTTCACGCGATAAAGAAGTATGGCGTTTAGAATTGCATAATTTCCTAACTACATGACAGGTACATTTATTTGTTTTACATTTTGTCTTACAGTGACATCTTAGATAACCTTATGTGCCCATAAGACTATAACAGACTACAGCTTTTCGAAATGTTATCTCTTTTCCTCCTATGATTCAAGAAGAGTTTTGAGATCTAACAAAATTTCTTTGCATGTCATAAGTTGAAATTTCGTGTACTTGTGTTTTAGAAAACCATTTTCGGTGCCTTATTCAAATATAAATACATCACAAAACCCTACGTTAGTAAGCCGCACTAAGCTTATTAATATTCCCACTATAATACTATCTATCATCATTAAGATAACTAAATTTTTCACTGACTGTAAAAATTGTCGATAATCAACCAAACAAATAATAAATAAAAATATAAACTGGTTTGTTAGGTAACTAATGTCATTTACTAGAAAATAACATTATTTTGCTTTATTACATCATTTACTGTACCATATACAAGTAAAACATTAATTTTAATAGTTCATCACAAACATTTATTTTATTTTTATATACCTATTTATTGTTCATTATACTACAAGTATTTTGAATATTAAAATAATGATGATAATAATAATGAAATAAATTTTACCATTCTAATGTTTAATTAAAATATTAAGCCCCTTCAAAATTAAATTAAATTGGTAAATTTAGTTATCTAAAAGCCTTTGTGCCGAAAATTATGTTTTAGTTATTATATTATGTATATATCATGATTATTTGTGTTAGTTATTTTTTTTATAAATTACTAAAATATTTTTTTAAAATATAACATTCAAATAATTAAATTTATTTTAGGATGCTTCAAAAGAAGAAATGAATCTCATTATTTCAATAAATAACATTCAAATTGATAATAATGCATTTATTGATGGACATTATGATTTTCCTGTGGTACTAGTTAGACAAAAAAACCATTTTGAAGATGTTTATTATGATACTAGTTTCTTGAAACCATTGACAAATATAATAAATGATTTAAGACTATTAGATTCCGCTTTTATTTTAAAATTCACTTTAGATAAAGCCTATCATTCAACACCAGGTATTTATGATTTATTTAATATTATTATATGTAGGTACCTATTAATTTGCAAAAAAAAATTATTAAGACACTTTTCTGTTTTTTTTTTTTTTTTCAGTAATTTTGGATCTAGAAATAACTTTACTTACATTTGAAGCATTTATTGAAGATCGCTATTGTTATTACATGTTAGAAATATTGAAAAATTTTAAATCAACAGTATCTTCTACCAAAGAACATCTTAACATTGATGGATTTATTCCACTAAATTACTTAGTGTTAGCACATTCCCAAGAATATCGAAATCCTTTAGTATTTAGAACATTTACAATAAAACCATTTAAAGTGATGATAAGTCTACATACATCAACAACATTTTATGTGGCTCTCGATCGATCACCTTTAGATTTTACTGAGTTTTCAAAAACAAATCTAATAGCTTCGTCTTATCAACTTGGTCGTAGTTTATCATTGCATTATTTTTTAAATGCAATATATGGAACTGGGTGGGCATTAGGTTCATTAGAATTCTGGGGCTCTCCTGGAGGTCTAGCTAGATCTGTTGGAACTGGCTTGTATGATTTTGTAACTTTATCTGCTCAAGGCATGGCAGAAGGACCAAAAGAATTTTTTGTTGGTGTTTTAAGTGGATCTGCATCACTAGTTAAGCATGTTACAACTGGAGCATTATCATCAGTAACAAAATTTGCATCTAGTTGGTCAAGAACATTTAATCGATTAACTCTTGAAGCTGAAGATTTGGAACAAATTGAAGAAATTAGACGTTTACGACCACAAAATTTGTCACAAGGAATTATACAAGGCCTTAGTGAATTTGGGATTAGTTTATTGGGAGCAGTTGGTGGTTTAGTTAATCATCCAATTCAATATGCAATTCAAGAGGGTCGAGAAAGAAAACGAGGATTTGTCAATACTGTGGCTATAGGATTAGTTGAAGCTATTACCAAACCAATCAGCGGAGCTGCGGAATTAGTAGCAATGACGGGTGAAGGATTTTTAGCAGGTGTGGGTTGGATTAAAACACCACAGGTAAATAATATGTAAACATACTATTTGTATTATATTCTATTGTAAAGGTCATTTTTTTTTTATTTGTTACACACAGTGTTTAAATTAATTTTTACAGTAAATGTATGAGATTACAGGCAGGTTTAGCATACTAGTGTATAAAATTAAATTAATCATTATTTAATTACAAATATTTTTTTTTTTTGTTTTTGTTTAGTTACGCTCAAGTCTCAGCAATAGTGAAATAGGATTTGGTACATCTGAACTTCGATATTCCTGGTTAATATTAAATAAACATTTGAGTCCAATAGAGCAAGTATTATTAACTTGTGATGCATCAATGGATAATTTTGACCATGAACAGAAGTTTTTAGAATTAACGTTGGTTTTAACAGATAGATTTTTATATTTAATTAAAAATCCAAATTCTATGTTACCCAATGTACTACACTTTCCAATAACTCAAATCGTCACACCAAGTCAACGACACCAGGATCCTTCATTAATTACAATAACTATTCGTATGTCAGCACAGGTACCTAATAAATGGGGGTAACATATACTTTAAAATAAAATTATTCTATTTATTTTTAATTAATGCATGTTTAATAACCAACAGAATGATACAACATATGCTCGAGTAGCTGACTATGTGCGTAAATCACAAAGTTTTTTAAATATGGAATCAAAAACTATATCAGATCAAACACATAAATTATTGGTCAGCCCACAGTTGAGAAATCATATTTTAAATTCAATTGAATTTCTCAAACGACATATTCAAAATAAAGGATATGCAGTAATATAAGTATTTGTCTGAACAGCTTTAATGTTTTGTATAATATCAATTTTTAAAAACCTGTGATAAAATAATCAGTATAATTTATAATTTATAAACAAATATTATTATAAACATAATTATTTAGTTATAATTGGATTATTTATTTAATAATTATATTAAAAGCAATGTCTTAAATATAAATAATGAATTCATAAATGTTTATAAATTATTAGCTTATATAATTAACCAATCATAGTTAAAATGCTAAATATTATGTTAGCAAAGTAGTAATGAATCTATAATTATACAAATTGCTGCAAAATTATCCAAACAAATAATATACCTACAACAGACTTTGGTGCTCAGATACATTGACATACTATAACATAAATTCACATTTGTACTATTTTAAAATCTGAATGTATTGGTTTAGAAAGATCTTTTTTTTTTTTTTTCTGGGAAATTTTTCACTAATTTAAAAGCACTTTTTCTAAAAGGAAATCTGAAAAAGTACTTAAGAGAGGTCATTTTTTGAGATTCATCCCTATTATCCTAGGACAGCTTTTCAAAGAAAGAAAGTTAAAAAAATGTAATTATTTGAAATGGAATACTTTTTATAGGATATTTGAGCTTAATGTCTTTTACAGATATTTTCAATATCCGGCCATATGTAGGATATTGCTACTCTCATTTCCTTTTCTATATTTGTCGGTCTTTCTTGTTTCTTTGTCTTGATATTCATCAATCCTGAAAACTCAAGCTCACACAAGTAATATGTTTAAAATTGTAATAGAATTGTAATTGAAAAAGAAATTGTTTTAAATTCGATCTGTTGTATTTTGTGGATTTTTTTTCATCGATTTTAAAATTTTGGCGGAACACCAAGTACACGGAAAACTGGTTAAGAACCACTACCTTTATTAAATATTATATTATATCTATCTATGTAATAATTGCACAAACCTTATGACAAGTCTATTTTTTTATATGGACACGCAGATATAGATAATAATATTATCTACATCTGTGAAGCAACTTGTTATCAATATTTGTAGAAATCACATTTTTTATCAGTATTTATAAAATACTGGATTAGAGCACTATAGAAGCTATAATAGAATACAGTGTACCTAAAAATTGGATTAATCCACCTTGACATGAAGATTAGAGATATCTGTCATATATCTCTAATCTTTATGAACTATAATTATAGTTCATGATAATGGCTACCCTTATCAGGTGTTAGTCGAGTCGCAAAAAAATAGACTAGTCACCGCGGTTAAAGGTAAATAAGAATATGGATTTGTAACTGTGTTGGTATCTATTATGTGGTTAAAGGAGTTGTACGTGGTTTTGATAATGTTTCTTCATTAAAACATAAAAGCATAAACAATTTAATTAAAAATCACGTCAATTTGTCATTTTGAAAATATTAAATAATTACAAAAATTAATTTTCATATAGTATAATAATTATATTTTAACATCTGATTTCAATTAGGAATGTGTGCCCTATTTCGTTAAGAAATTAATTAATTTTTATCTTTTCTATCTGAGTAGATAAAAAAAATGATTTGATTTAAAATCATTTACAGGTAAATAAAAAAAAAACAATTTCGGAAATAACATATTCTACTTGTAGTTTGATAACAAACAGAAAGTGAATGTGACCACAGTGGCTTTAGTGAGAGCAGTGAATATGTTTATGTTATATTAAATAATAATACAAATATTTTTCTTAAATTATCGTTACAGGATACCATATTATTACTTAAATGACTACTCGACGAAGACGAGGCAATTCTGATTCAGACCAATCTCATTTTAGTTATTCAATTCAAGAGTCAACTGTGGCAGATTTTGCAAACAAATCTGAAGAAGAAATACATAAAATAATGCCACGAGATCGTACTGCTGAATTCAATAGTGCAGTTCGATCCTTGCAAGGTCGACAAATAGCAAGAGCAGTTCAAGTTAAAGATGTTAAAAAAGTAAAAGCTCTCCAAAGCTATGGAGAGTTTATGATGATTGCCAAAAGTGTTGGTTTAAATATAAGTTATACTTATGCAAAATTAGAAAAATTGACTTTACGTAAGTTTTTAAATATACCTTATAAATGTATTTTAGCACCATAATTTTAGTTTTAAACATTACAATTTGATTAGTACCTATTTTAGTATAAAGAATATTTACGTAAATTAAATTGATTTTTTTTTTTGGTTTGTATTTATTCATAAAGGTTAACCAAAACTCTAACACCAATTTTAAAACTACTTTATGAAATTTGGCTATAAAATTAACCCAATATAAACTCATTCAAATTTTGTTCATAACATACTTTCCTTCTGTATTTGGATTTTTATTTCAAACAATATCTTAATTCTTTTATTTGTCTATACTTATTATTAAATTTCTCGAGTGATGTACCGATAGCATAAAAAAAAAAAAAAATTATTAATTCAAAAACTCGGCACAAGATACTATAATATATTCTTAATGTATTACAATTTGAATCTAATTTTCAGTTGCCAAACGAAAATCATTATTCAATGATAGACCACAAGAAATTCAAGAATTGACATACATAATTAAAGAGGATTTGAATAGCTTAAATCAACAAATTGCAAAATTACAAGAAGTTGCCAAATTACAAAAAGCTGCTCAGAATAATATTGGACGGAAACATTTACTATCACACGAATCTAGTGTTGTATTATCATTACAATCCAAGTTGGCAAATATATCAAATGAATTTAAACAAGTTCTTGAAATAAGAACCAAAGTAAGTTTTTATTAAATCTTCTAATGATTGTTAGTCTTAATTATCCTTAAATAGTATATATAATTTTAGTATTGATGGTTAGCACCAACACACTAAAAAATAATAAAATATTGTGTTTAGAACTTAAAACATGCCAAATCAAGAAGAGATCAGTTCTCTCAAGGGAGTAGTTTGTCTGCATTATCTGAATCATCATCACTAGTGCCTAGACAAAATTCTGTTCTAATGTCAAGTAATCAATGTGCTATCAATATGGATAATAATGAACATCAAGATCATGGACAACAGATCACCAAACAAACACAAGCAATGGCTATTTATGATAATACGGTATAAAATAGTTCTGAATGTGCATTCAACAATAAAAAATAAATGAATATGAAGGAAAAACTTAGCCTAGAGTATTATTATTGGTTAAGTGTATTTACGACCAATGATATAATACCTCAGGTTAAGTGTATTCTTTATTTTATTATATTATTGAATATTAAGCTCCTAAAAAATTTTTTATTTTTTTTAAATTCAATTTAACCATTGATAACAAAAAAAGTCAGAAGTGTACTGTATTTTAGAAATGTATGCAGCATATTATTTTATGGAATGAATAATTTAGTACTAGATCCAAATTATTATTTTTAATCTACTTTTTAGTAAGTTAGTGTCCAACAATAATAAAATACACTCAATAAAATAAAATTAACTAGAATAAATATTTATGATTATTATTAATCTTTCATTAATTAATAATTATCTTAAATGTACAACATTTTTTAGGACCAATATTTATACAGTAGAGCAGAAACCATGCAAAATATTGAATCAACTATTGTAGAATTGGGTGGAATATTTCAACAACTTGCCCATATGGTTAAAGAACAAGAAGAAATGGTTGAGAGGTAATTTTAATTTAGAGTTTTCTTTTTGTAAATTAAATTTTATATATTTTGGAAATCTTATTTTTAACAGAATCGATTCCAATGTCCAAGATGCGGAACTAAGTATTGAAGCAGCTCACACACAAATTTTGCGTTACTTTCAATCGGTGACTTCTAATCGTTGGCTAATGATAAAAATATTTGGTATTTTAATATTTTTTTTTATATTTTTTGTTGTATTTGTTTCATAAATTTGCATATCTATTCTGTTGGTTCATATCTAGACAAATTAGTATTAATTTATTCATTGTTATCCAATTATACAATTATACATTTTCTGTAAAAAAAAAAAAAAAAAAATATTAAATAAATACTTTACTGCATTTTATTACTTTAAATGTATTTATTATTTTTATTATAACTATTAAAAGTATATCAAATTTTTAATAAATTTTAAAAACTAATTTATTTGAAAGTTATCCAAAAAGAACTAGACAAGTTAGGCATAAGTTTTTAATTTTGAAATATTTGATAATTAATAAATATTTTTTTTAAGACTTGAAGTTTGAATTTACTTAAATTTTGGCGTTACAGATGTAGTAAACAATACAAAATTGGGACATTTAATTATACAATATCACAACTACAAACTTGACAAATTCAAATTTTAAAAACTATTCTCAATAAAGTTCAAAGATATCCAACTAATAATCTATTAATTGAACTCAAAGTACTACCTGTAAAAAATATATTTCAAAATAACTGCTATTTATATGAAAACTCATAATTTACTGCGGCCCATATCACATGGTATCAACACTAGATATGCTAAAAACAATGTTCTAATAAAAGAATTTAAAAAAAAATACTAACATATTTCGCACGATGGGTGCAGCCACTGTTGTCTGTGAGAAGTTGGGAATATAGTATATTAGGGGAAATTAATTTGTATCTGGAAGCAACAATAAACCATTGTCAACAGAAAATCCCTAGGATTTTTAAGATTACAATAGGTATCTATAACTATTAGACTACAACAAACATAGTATATTGTAGACAATATAGAATTATTAGCATAACATATAATATCAAAACTTCAAAAAGCTATAATTTTGAAATTTAGTCAGTCCGCTCAATTTTGACTTCAACATTGTTCTTAAATCAGCTATACAGGCTGTCCCACAAAGATATACCCCTTGAATATCTCCTGAGATAATAAAGATAATCAAATTCTGTTTTTTGTTTTTACATTAAAAATAGGGATGAGGACTACAAATATTATTATTAGAGTTAATTTTTAATTTCATTATTTTCGAAAAATGTTAAGATAAACATTCTGTAGAATTTATGTTTCTATAAATTTTAGTGTGAAAACCAATGTTATCTACAGAATAGCCTAACCGCGTTACGCGATAACATCGGTTTTCATATCGGATTAGAAAAATTTAAATGGCCATTACTTAGAAACTATTCATCGGATATAAATGTATGATACACCAACATTTTCAGAAAAATAAATTCTACAGAATTCCTATTTGAAAATTGTTCGAAAATAATAAAATTAAAATTAAAATATTTATATTTGTGTCCTCATCCCCAAAGTAAGACTTTTAAAGAATCTTTTATTAAATTTTCAAGCGTTTCTGTTAAGTCATACAATTTTACCACAGAGTCCCTACCGAATAAAAATTCCAAACTAAACTCACAAAATTAAAATGTCTATAAATAGCTCAAAAATGGTTTAAATTTTTGAAAATTTTACAATGTTTAGGAAAAGTATATATATTTTTTCTTTCCAAATTTCAAGTTCCTATGAATATTTTTAACTGAATTACAATAATATAACAAAATTGATAAAAATAAAGTACTATTTTGTAAATTTCCCGTTTTAGTTCCATTTTTTCTCACTTTTTCTCTTTTGTTTTAAAAATACTGATTGGAAAATTGAAAAATGACGTCTTTAAAGTACCATCCCAAAAAAAAATTAATTTTAGAAAAGGGTCTACATCGTATACATCGGAGCAAGATTTCTGGTAGATTTTTTGTTCACAGTATGAAAAAACACATCTTTGTAAAACCAATACATTCTTTGCTACACAAAAAATCTAAAATAACTGTTAGTAGATATTTTGATATAATTGATACTAAACTATGCAACTCTATACCACCTTGCATTATGAATCTCCCGATTAAATTACAGTAAACTCGCTCAAGACACTGTTTTCTGTCAGTCCTTAGACATTTCCTAGTCAATATAAGAATCGCCTATTAAGATGCTCAGTTTTTCTCTATCTAATTGGATAAGACGCTCTTTTGTTCAGCAGATTACAATACATTTTAGTAGTGTACTAATATAAAACTTGTTTTCTTGCCACTAAATGCTATATCTAAGTTACAACCCCTGGATCAGAGTATCATAAAAGTGATAAAACAAAAGTACCAAAAAAAATTATTCTAGTGATACTTAATAGACATGGAGTACTAACCAAATTTCATACAAAATAGACATGTACCTATAAATGTATTTCTTTTTTAATTAAATTCAATAGCAAAAAATATCTGTATGTAATTATAATTAATTTATAAATGTATTACTCGTTAAATTATGTTCAATAATAAAAATATAAACTCAATATTACAATCACTTAATATTTTTTTTCAATCCCCGCACAAGATGCTTTCCCGCTTAAGACGCTCTAGAGAGCTGGTCCCTTAGAGAGTGTCTTAAACGATTTTAACTGTATTTAAAAAAAAACTTTCACAGTAGCTATTAGAATCTCCAGACAAATTGACGATAGCATAGTCATTTATAATATAAATGTTAATTGTTTAAATAGGTATGAATCTTAATTTGTCTTCTGTTTATGTAGGTACTTACACTCTTTAACATTTTAATTTTACTATTAATTACTGTATATTTATGTATTTATAATGTTGTTTAGAACTCCTGAGCTCCCACACGAGTTCTCTCAGTGGGGCCCAGTGTTTAAAAAAAAAAAATAAATATATGTTGAATGGTAATTCTTAGTAGGACATTCAACCGTCCTATATTGGAGATTATTTTCATACATTTGAATGATTTGTCCTACATCCAACGAGACTTTAAACTTTATAACTTAATGTAGAATAATCCTACATTTCAAATGTTAATATATAGACTTTAACAGGTTAAAGTTTAAAGTCTATGAAAAAATACCTTTTAATAGTTCATTATTATATTTGTTAATTGTATTAAGTTATCATTTATCACTTTCATACCTAAGTAGGTACTATAGTATCAAGGACAATAAATAATTATATTTATTAAGTGTCTAAATTTGTTACAGATTTGTGAAATTTTCCAATTCTATTGACTATTATTTATATTTAAGATTAAATTAATGTGTGAAAAATCAAATGTTAATAGAATACAGGTAATATTTTATTATTTTTATTAAACATTTTAATTTATACATATATTATTATTATTACCTCTTTAATAACAATTTATATGATTTATAATAAATTGTAAGAATGTTAGCTGAATTTTCTAAATTAAAAGAAAAAATAAAGAATTGAAAAAAAGGGTATAAATAAAATGTAGACAATTTTTATTAAAAGTCATACCTATTTTACTGGCATCACATTTTTATTAAACTAAGTAGCTAACATAGATATGAAAAAGTGTTCATCAATTATTCTAAAATTGTTTAAGAATATATTATTTTGCGAATGTGATTTAAAGAATTGTGAAACATTTTTGACTAACTTTGTAACACAAATTTATCTATTAAAGAGTAATGATGAACTCAATAATACAAATAGCTGATAGTGGGGACGGGTGCAGCCACTGTTGTAAGTGGAAAGTTGGAAAGGTAGGATACATAAGGTTATTTTATTTATATCTGTAAGCAACGAGAAACTATTGCTGACGAAAGACGATTCCGAGCACAGTTCGATATTATATAATATGAAGTGTTGTAATGTTTTTTTGCGATTTTCGTTTAAATTTGATTACAAAACGCTTATTAAGAAAAAAAATTCAACAAAAATATTGTTTCTTGTTGTTGAAAAGAATAAATCACTATGTTATATCATCCCTTCAAATTTCTCTCCTTGAACAGTATTAACCATTATTTTTATACTTCTAATGGTTATATAATAAATACAATTTTGTGCAACTTTCCACACCACCTTAGCTTGACAAACGAAAATTATTTTTTTTATTTTTTTATTTTATCAACTGACCGCAATTGAATATTAATCAAATTATTAAGGTACCTAGGTACTTATTTGAAATAACAAAATCTTAAAAAAAATCGTATTTTTCCCGGTTAATCGTTTTTATTTTAAATACAGTTTCGAAAATCAAAAAATGACCTATGTTATTACCAAGTAAATAAAATTAACTTTCAGAAAAAGTGCTACACTTAAACATCAGAGCAAGTTTTCTGGGATAAAAGTGGTCAACTATATATAAAAAAAAAATTAAATATTGTAAAAAAATTAAAAAGGAAAAAAATTCGTCCAATGATTTTAGAAATTTTACTATGTCTAGGCAATTCCAATATAAATATTATCAAGTTTCAAATCTCTACGTGTATTTATTATAACCAAATTAGAGCAAAAAAAATGATCAAAAATTATAATTCCTTAAAAACACAAAAGTGGCTGAAAAATGTTGGTGATGATATCGTAAGAAAGTAAATCAAAAAGGTAGCAAAAAAGGTTTCTTGTGATTTTTGATTAAATCATTTTTTCTAGTAGAAACGTCGTCCGTGTTTTTATAAAATAATGAAATCATGAAATTGTACGTTTCCTACGTTTTTTCCCACTAGAGTGCTTTTATTTAAAAATGGCATGGAAAATCAAAATGACCTATTGTACAATATAGACAACTTGAGCTTTCAAAAAAGTTGCTACACGTAAAAATCGGAGCAAGTTTACTAGGAAAAGCGTGTCCACAGAATAGAATAAAGAACAAAGAAATATTTAGTATTGTAAAACCATTAGTTACCTCGCTATGCTCGGAATCTAAAAAATTTTCCTACATCACATATTTTGAAAGTCGGTAATCCTAATTATTAGTTACAGGTAAAAATTAAATTTTTTATGAAAATTTCAATATAATAGTATCTTAATAGGTACATAAATTATTCATTTTATTACGTGTTAGACAAGTAATATTATGTAGGTATGTATATTATATAGCCGTATAGGTATAGATAATATTACTAATATCTAATCGTAACAGTACCTATACATGACTACATCATAAAATCAATGGATACCTACCTGCATTGTATAAATGGCAATGTAGACATTGACATTTAGTGTAGAGCGTTATTGTGTAGATACTTACCATGATTTAAGAATAATATATCCAATAATATAATATAATAAATATATAATATATGTGTGTGGTGTACACATTTTATTTTATTAGGTAAAAAAAATGATTTGATATACATAGTACTTATTTATGTATACCAGATACCTACCCAATTATTATAGAGAAATAATTATAGTTGGAAGTGATTGGATCTACTAATTTTTGTTTTTATCAACATAGGTAGGTCTTTGCCAGCTACCATAGGTACTTTGTAAAAAAACAAAATAGGGAAGTGGTAATCAATCAAACTGGTAGATTTTTTTTGGTACTTGATTGATTAATTTTTTCCGTTCTCGTTATATTTTAGCAACTGTTTAATATACTTAACTACCTTTGTTTTTCTCAAAATCAAAAAAAAAAAATTAACTATTAGAATATGAATTTTAAAATATACTCAACATACAAATATTTACATGTTTAATACCTATATAAAATAATTACGGTCTATTCCCACTGGTCCAAGACAGAGGACATCTGAAATCTGAATTTAATAAAAATATTATATTATTGATTTTATATGCCAGAATTCACCCTGAGTCGAAAAAATATTGTCCTTAATAATTCTCTCTCCCGGGTTCCCGGATGAGTTTACTCCAGTAGTACTTCTCGGACATGTATCGTAGCCGTGTTCAGGATTTGTCATTCGTAAACTTTTTGTTTTCGTTATTCTTATTATTACTATCAATGCCTGTTCTGAGCCGACCCAGAAATGTCGTTTAGTGTCATAAACCCAGTCAAGACTAGTGATAATGGACCTTTATTTTTTTTTTTATTATAAATATGCGGATTGTGGGCCCTTTTAGTACAATAACGAGTAAATAACAGGTATCTACATACATTTGATCTACGATATTATTAAAAAAAAAAATTAAGATTTAGAGAAATAAATTACTAAGGGGAATCGAGAAGCAAGGAATCCCTCATCTTTCTTAAGAAAGAACTAAACATACACAGCATACATGCTAATTTAGACCAATTTTTTGTCCATTGATGTAATGAAGCGATAAGAAATGTGAAGTTTCCCCTATATGCAATTTTTTGTTTCAAAATTCAACATTTTCGTATCTAATTATTTGAAATTAAGGACTAAAATTCAAAAACGTTAAGTCTACATTTTTACATACCATTACCCTATTAGGTCTATAATGAGTATAATACATCTACACTATTGTTTATTTATAATATTTTATTTTATAGAAAAGATATTATTAGCCATAGACAAGTATTATAATACAAGCATATATTCACAATCAATTTTCGGGGGGGGAGGGGGGTTTAAATGTTTTTAATATATGAACTTGTAGTTAGTCTTGGTTATATTATAAATAAATACCTACTTCAAAAATTATGAAAGGAAGGGTTTGAAACCTCACTATTCTCAACCACGGTTTTATTAGTTTTCTATGGTCACGGGCTTCTAAGACCATACTCATGGCAGTGCGGATATACCGTGTCCAATGGCCATTGACTTAATAATAATGATTGTGGCCGTGAGCGTGATTATTATATTAGTCCACCGGGAGCACTGCTCAGAAACATTTGTGTACCTATCACTTTTACATTTTTTGTTTCTCAAACATAGTTATTATCTACAGTCGTGTTTCATATTTCATCCGTCAGTTTTTGTGTACAAAACATTCTTATCATTTCAGTTTTGTTTTAAAAGTGGCCACTGGCCAGCTTATTATGAATTATAATAAATAATTATTTATAGGAACTTATCTAATTTTATTTTTAAATTATTATAATATAATGTATATTATTGTATTATCATAAATTGCATAAATTACCATGTTGTGATCATTTAAATTTGAACTATTTTTAACGTTACCTACTAATTTGTATTTTATTTTTTCCAATTTTGCATGAATTACCAGATATACATATACAGCTATTAAGTTGTATTTTATCCTGTACTACCTAACTATTACCTATTTTAAAACAATGCGCTATTTGAAATAACTATTGTAAATAATATAAACTCACAAATAAAATGAAACTGTTCAAAGTAGAGTATTTAAGTTCTTGCACAGTAAATAAACGTCTTACAAACCCAATGATTCCATGGATTATTGCGGAAATCAAGAAAAATAATTACAAAATAAAAGTAAATATACCTTATTTATATAAATTATATAGGTAGTATGGTTATTATAAATTATTTTTACCTATTATTACAATTACATTTTAAGTCTACACATTAAAATATATATTTTCGTTTAGTGTGTTTTCTGATTAGTGACTTATTATAATATATTGTATTATAATAGTAACCTATTATAATATATAGGCACACAACTCATTACAACCCTTGATGTAATCATTTAGTAGTTAAATATTTTATTTTAGTAATTAATTGATTCGGTTGTTTTAATGACAAGGAAATATTAGTCAAAGTTATTTAGTTTCAGAGTTTCAAAGTTTCTCCTTTTTTAGTGGTAGACGATTATTATAATAATTAAAAAACCGGTTGAAATCTGATCTAGCTACTGCATTTTATTTAAAGTAAACAAAATATGAACACCTTAAAAAATACACTAACCTTATGTTTTGATGTAATGGTGTGGAACAAATGTAACCTTTCAAATTTGTCATATTTGTATTATATATTTAAAATGTCTATTAAGAGTAGTATTAATGGACTAATTTACATGACTGGGCAACAAGATGTAAGCCCAAATCAGAATTATCTAAAAATGTAAATTCACAGTAACAGGATCGAGAAAAGGGCTTAAATCTTAAATCCAGGAGTTTAAAAATTCTAAGTATGATCTAAATGTTTTTCAAATATTTAAAATGGAGTGTAGGTAAGTGTTAGATTGGGTGGGGCTAAAAACTAAAGAGGCTCATAAAAAATAATGCAATTATATACCTATCTTACAGCCAATTTGAACTACGAATATGAAAAAGTTAATTAAACGATTTAATTAAGTTAATAATCCTTTTGTGCTATATTTATTATTTAACTTATTATTACTTCATCTCCTTCACCTTCATCCTAACTATTTGGGATTGGCCACCCTCGTTTTAAATATCCAATTGACCTGATCTCCCACCTCAGATACACCTGCTGTCCTCGCAGCATTCTCAATCATATCCAACTACCTTTTTTTCAGTTTTAATTTATTATTAAAAATTATTATATAGTATTGTGAAAAAATTAATTGTATATTATTATTTAGAATTTTATTATTACTTATTTATTTCTACGTGATTAATATGATTTTTATCAACATAGCTATTATACTTTTAACATCCAATATGGCTAGCTAATGGATATATGGCTGCATTGGTTATAAAAATCAGATTTAAAAATAAAACAATGTTTATACGGTGTGTTTCAAAACAAACAGACTTTGTTTGTAATCATAATTTAATTAAGTATATAATTGTTTTAAAATATTTTCAATATACGATATAGGTAATTATTTTACAATTTCTTAATTAATTTGCTCATTGGTCAAATTGTCCATGTAATGAACATATTGCTTGTAACATACATACTAATAAATTGCACACAGTATGTTTTTCACCAAAAATGACATCGAATAAAAAAATAATAATACACACACTCAAACGTCAATTGGTATCTATTTTAGCTTGAGAATTTTATTTATATTTTAAATTAAATATTATAGAGAAATGCAGTTTAGGACTAGTGTTAAATTTTTGAATTTTTTTTATTTAGGTATTTTAAGGCTATGAATTCAAAAGTGTTTAAAGAAATTGTCACTATTTTATATTCTAAGTGAAACAAGGAATGTATTGGTTTTACAATGATATTTTATTTACTTTTTGTTTTATCTGTGAACAACTTTTCTACCAGAAATATTGTCCTCAGATTTTTAAATGTACTACCTTTTCTAAAAGAAACTTTTATTTATGCGATACTTTGAGGTGGTTACTTTTTTATTTTTCAAGCAGTTTTTAGAGTATTGAGAAAAACAGAAAAATGTATGAAATATATTTCAATTTTGTTTTTTGTTATAATTCAGTTAAAAATATTCATAAAGACTTGAAACTTGGATGAACAAATTATATTTGACTTTTCTGAATGTGATAAAATATTCAAAACATTGAGCCATTTTTGAGCTATTTATAGACATTTAAATTTTATAAAATGATTAGACCAAACAGAAATTATTGAAAATTTAACAAGATTTTTCATTATAAATCTTACGTTGTGGTAAAAAAAAAAAAAAAAATTGAGTGCAATGTATAATTTTTTTTATAAGAATTTTAGTTTCACATTTTGAGGAAAATCATACATACTGTATCCTTTAAAAACATGTATAACCGAACTCAGCTTAGAATTGTTTTTCTGTTAAAAATGATTAATTGTTGGTTACAGATGTACATTAAATTGTTGTCTATATCCTACTTTACCAACATTTCATCATTGATTTTTGTATATAATGTAATCAATTAGTATTATGTATAATAGTAGGCGATACATCACTATAATACTAACATAGTCTACAGTCATACTACTATCTAAAAATCACTATAATTTCTAAAATAATAATTTTTAAATAATTCTGATTGCACTGATTGTTTAAAAAACCTCGATCTTTAAAACATATAACTGTATTTTGAAGTTTTCTTGATATAACTTCCGAAAAAAAAAAAAAGAGAATGATAATTTTTCAAACATTTTTGAATTCAGTATTTTTAATAACATATTTTAGAAAATAAAAACAAATGAAAAACTAGTCCTGATGCTAAACTGTATTTGATCCATTATACAATTTATTACTTAATTGTGTTGTGTACTGTGTATAAAGTTACATTAAATGAATTAAACTTAAAAATTAAATATGTGAAAATCTTCAAGAACCAGCTTTATACTGCACAATCATAGTTGATATTTATTTTCATTTTTTAAATAATTTAACTTATATTATTGTTTTGATATTAAAACTGAATTTGGGTAGGTAGTAATGCAGTTTCTTTATACATAATTTAATGTTACATTACTACTAATACTACAATTTAACTATTATTTTATTGTTTACTAAATAATTTTTTATTATTGTAGTAATTGTAGTATAATTTTGTTTGAAATTACAAATTATTTTATCTTTTACAAGGTTAGAATTGGAGTGGAACATTTAAGTCTTGTTGTTTATGAAAATTGGGACTGTAATAACAAGTTGATTTTTCAACATGAACTTAAATGTATAACTAGACTAGCATTTTTAAACAATGATGTTGCTACTTTCTTCTATGCAGTTAGTGATATAGCGGACGGAAATAATGTAAATTGTCATGTTTACATTACAACTCAACCAGATGAAGTAAGAAAATAATATTTAATGTTAATTATATATGTACTGGTACTATTAGAGTTTTATCAAAGTAAATTTCCCATTCATTAAATTGTTATACAATAAAATATATCCAATATTTTAAAATAAATATTGACTTTTACAACTAAATATTTTGATACAATATTAATACTTATTTACAAACCATTTAAAGAGTTTCACCTTGTACTTACTACTTTATTAAATATAAGTTTAATTATATAAATATCATGTTTACTGTCTAAAATAAAATACTGAGTTCTGCTTTAGAGTCCAATAAAATATGTTTTAGTACAAATATTAATACACAAATAAATAATTAGCTAATTATGATTTCCTTTACAATATGTAGTTCTTTATATTTAAATGTTGATTTATTTGAATAGTTTACATTTTTATCTATAATTATTAATTACAAACACTTGTATGTAGCAAGGCTCCGTAATTAGATTCCAATATCTCCCCACCTATTTTATATTTTTATAGAAATGTTTTTTGTAAAACTATATATAATCTAATACTGTAATTAGGGCCGATATAAATATTCTCTAAAAACTTATTAAATATGTATGTAGTTTTTACCTAAAACTCAATATATGTACCATTAAAATGCTTAATGATTAATGAATTCAAAATTATTGTATATATCAATTTTACTGTAAGTCTGTACATGCTCAAAAAAATTAATATTTCAAAGATTATGTATATTTTTTTATTTTTAATATATTATATTTCTTTTTGGAATTTTTCTTTATCTGAAAAACAAACAAAAATAAATTTTAATGAAAGAAATTTGAATTCTTACTCTATTTTATCTAAAAGTTATATTATCAGCTCACTTACTGAATGCTGACAGCTAGACATACAAGAACTGATATTCTATAAATAGTAAGAATAAGGGAGAGAGAGAGATTAAGATATATTCTGAAATTCCGTAATTTTTAAGATTTTCATCAAAATTTGATCTAAATACACTCATTAAAAAAAAACTATTGCATGCTCAACTTTGTTTTTTAGACCACTTAGTACTACTTTTATTATACCTTGTGTTAAATTTTCAAGTATTTCTCTTAATTCATACAATTTTAATAACAGATACCTATTAAATAAAAATACATATAAAAACTTAAAACATTAAATACCTAAAAATATCCAAGATATTTTAAGAATTTTACTAAATTTATAAAAGTCCAATATATAAAAATTTCGTGAAAACTATAGGTTTTTACAATAATTTTTATCTGAATAACATCAAAATCTCAAATGCCATACACTTTGCTGTATTTCCTAGGATTTTTTCCCGGTTTTTTTTAATTATTAGAAAAAATTGTACAGAAAATCAATCAACAACCTTCTTGCTCACAAACTAGACAACATTTTTTTTTAGAAAATATGCCGTTCTTGAAATTTGAATAGTTTTCTGGTAGAAAAATATAATTTTAAAAGTTTTAAATAATGAAATAGTGCCGTAATTTGAAAAAATTGTGTTTTCTGTCTTTGAGGTTTTTTAAATTATTATAAAAAATACTATAGATATCAAAAAATTACTTTGTCGGTCAGCTATATAACAAAAGGAACAAAATTGATCTCTTTTCATATTTTGATTGGAGTAATATTTCTGGTAGAAAACTGTTTGTAAAAAAGATTTATAATGCTATAAGTAACCTCAGGATGCACCATAAATATTTGCATTTTACCTATAATTTTCTTTTCGGTTTTTCCTAATTGTTCAGAAAACACCTTGAAAAATCAAAAAATGACTTCTCTAATGCACCAACTAGAGAATTTCAGAAAAAGTGTTACACTTTATATATTGAAAATTTGTCTATAGACAGAAAAATAAAATACAAAAACACATATCATAGTAAAACCAATAGATCCCTCGCTATGCTCCGATTATAAAATTGGCACAAGCAACATTGAGTGGGATAGCTACGGAATAGAACTGATAGAAGGTAAATTTGTATTCGTATATATTCACTTTTCTCTGCAACCATCTACTAGGTGTATGTTGCCAAAAAAGGCTTACTAATATATTCAAGTAACAACAGAAGTGTTAGAGTCAAAATGTTGGAGTGGGTAGGTGGATAGTACAGGTACTTAATTTAGTACATCCAACATGGTACTTGGGTTAATTGTGATAAAGGCAGGGCTGCACCGCCCTCTAGAAATCTGGATGAAACAAAATTAACACATTTATTATTAGGAAGACAATATTTTTTATTTTTATTATTTTCATTTAATACTGTACACAGGTAAAGTTGTATAAATATAATTTATAGTAGATACAATACAGTGTACTATTTTATATGTCGAGGAAAATTCAATTTACTTGGTACCTAAGTAAAATCTATTTAAAATGTATGGTAATTATTCTTGTTTATTATTGTTTAAAATGATAAAAATTAAAGATTGCAAAGTTATAAAGTTATTATGGTATTTGACTGATGGTTTTACTTTTAAAATCAAAAAAATAACATTGAAAATAATAAAAGTTAAAATTATGACACTGGTTAGTTATATGAATTAACGTAATTTACTATGGCCAAGGACAAGGTGAACTGGTATTATAATATGGTAAATAACTACATGTTGTTTAAAACATATATATAGAAAAATAAAGTTTTATTATTATTCTAAAAGATAAATAATTTGAATTTACTTGAGTTATATTTATTTATAATTGTATATTATTATTTTTAAAATTAAAAATAATGATTTTCTTATTCTTATATTAAATAGTTTATACCATGATCTAAACTTAACTACCCCAGTTCTATTATTTTGTTTGCTATTTAAATTGATTTTAAATGTTGAACTATCATATTAACCATATTTATATTTTTTCATTATATGGCATGGTTCATTTTATCCTCCTTGACATTTAAGATTCTAATAACAATATATTTTTCATATATATATATATATATATATTGTGTCCCATTAAAACGTTATGATTAAAATAATTGCTTTATAGTAGTATGTACAGTTAACTACTTTAATAATTTCTGAGAATATTTAATTACTTATTATTGCTTAGTAATTATTACGATTTTACATTGTGGTTAATAACACAATTCATAACAGTGAAATGTATTAATCAATAATAAGTTACCAAAATATTGTCAAAACAAAAAAAAATCATATACATATATGTATATATATATATATAAAAAAATATATATCTTAATATGATTGTGTTTAGTTTAAATTTTATTATTTCATCATTACATTAATTTATAATAAATTTATATAGGTAGGTACCTAAAATAAATTAAACACCTGATTATTAGCCATTGATTTAATTACCTACTGGTCATAGGAGTTCAATTAAAATGCATCAAGTAACATTTATTTTTATTAAATTCATAATTTTACTTTATAGCATTTTACAAATTATTATTTTTTAAACAATATATTTACAGTATATAATCAGTAATTAGGTAAAACTTCCTACCTATTCAAAAATAAGTATTATATATAAATTCATGGTTAAATTATGATTTGTTGCTATTTAATTTAATATTTTGATAGTTCAACATAAAATATAATTAAAAATCTTAAACCACTCATTTGTTCATTAAAAATATCGTATTATGAGATATTTTTATTACATTAAAAATAAATAAAATTGATTTTTACTTAATATATATATATAAATGTACTCACTTTGACATGTTTGGTATAGACATGGATTACAATATTTTAAAATATTGAGATAGTAATTTAATTATTAGCTATGAAAATTAAATTATTTATTTTTATTAATTTATATACTCTTCAATATCTATATATTTTAATTGTGATGATTTAAATACATTTCTAAAAAAATGTACACTTGTTGTTCTTTACTGGTTTAGTTCTAATTATTATCCAACATTAAATTAGTACGATTCAGTATTAGGTAAATACAAATTGGTTTATTCAGTAAACAGTAAACTAAAAATATAGATAATATTAGTATATTATGTCATCTGTATGTATAATATATTAAATAAAAATGAAGAAATGATTTTTAGGAAAAAAATAAAAATTTAATCCGTACTAACAGAAAATGCACCCATTAAATAATTTGGAAAGAGAAGTTAAATTTATAATTATTGTTTGTATAATAGATAGTACTTATTTTGTTTTGATGTATGCTATACTGTATTTAAATGTATAGACAAATTGAACACCTTCCAACTTCTAAATATAGAATGTCTAGAAAGTATTTTGTTTTGTTCGGCAATAATTCATTTGTTTTAGTCAATAGTAGACTAAATATATTGAATTATTTTTTTTATAAATTTTTTGTAGGTAATGGAATTATTTTCCACAATGAAAGAAAATTCTCATAAATCATTACAAAGTATTGGACGATCCTTAAGTAATGCACAGACATTGACTTCATTGTGTGCTGATATATCTCCTAACTCTTCTCATTTTTTCGAGGTAATTATGAATACATTTAAAAATATTAATCCAATTACAACTAAATCTATTGAATATACTATAAAACTAATAATTGAATTGTTTTAGACAACGTTTTTCCACTCATAGTTTGAAGGTTAAATAAAAAAAATTATCAATATATTATTTTAATTTAAAATTGTTAACTTTCTTTTAAAGAAAATAATATTCATGTTAAATGTTTCAGGTTCTATATGTTAGTAAAATCAGAATGTCACAAAAAAAAGTCCCAAATTCATTCATTGACGATGCGCTAGAAAAATTTCGACTGCACGAATTAGAAAAAAGTAAAAAGTCATGTAGTACTAACACTTCAAGAAGAGGATCCCAAATAAATGTAAATTTAATATTTTTGATGTATAATATTGCAGTTTATTAGATATTCTTTTAAAAATAAAATCAATCTGTATTTTTATGTTACTTTAGTCTTCAGATCAAAACACAACCTATCTTTCAGATCAAAGACGAGGATCAATGATAATTTTATCTCCTGGGATTGAAAACCAAGGTTATTCCTCCTTTGGTACTGAAAAACAAAATAAAGATTCACAGTAAATAAAATTGTTAAATAAAATTGTTGTATTTTGATCTATGTTGAATGAAACATTTGTTTTGTTTTTTAGGATTACTAGAACTCTTTCTGGATCAATAAATATTTCTACTAAAAAGCTAGAAATTAATGTATGTATAATTTGTATTTTTAAAAGAACAAATTAATATTTGTTCTTCTTTAATTATGAAATATTTTAATATTATAAGGGACAAAATAGTAATATAACAGAAGAAATTAATCGAACAATGGTTTTTCAAATTGGCCGAAGTGACTTACGATTAATAAGTCCAGATCGTAAACAAATACTTTTACATAAACAATTAAAAGATATTATTCATTGTGTACAGGTATAACATTTTATAATATACATTTTTAAGGGCATTATTAATTAAAAATTTAATCATTTCTAGGGTGTTAGAAATCAATTACATTTTGGTTTTACTTGTAAAGATTCTTCATCAATTGAAAGTTGTATTGGATATATTTTTAAATGTGAATCAATGTCCGTTGCAAATGAATTAGTTACAGGTTTTTAATTTAGATTAATATATTTTTAGTAGATGAAGTACAATTTTTGTTTCTCTTTGTCATGATTTTTCTGAACTTTTGCATTTGTTTTATAGGAGGTTGAAGTACATATTTTTATTTCAGATGATTTATACCAACAGTGGGTGGGAAATAAAATATAGTACCCAATTTCTGATTATAGTTTTTAAGCTGTGTGAATTTATTGTCAAATTATTACATAGATCAATTTGTAGGAAGTCAATTTTCAATTTGAAGACTTCCAAATTAAAATTCTTATGAATTAACTATAGTACATCTGTATTTGTTTTAGCCATTATTTCCAAATTTTAAACTGAAAAAATAATTTCCCTAGTAATTTGACAATTTGTCTTATTTGTCAATTTGTTCATTCATATTTTCAAAATTGTTAAATGTTCGTTATAGTAAAATTACCACTGTAGAGAAATTATTGTATTTAAAGTTTTACTATAATTAATTTACTATTTTCTGGTTTTTCTATTATTAAATTGTATACAATTAATTTTCTTTGAAAATATAAGCATGTTGTATTTCATCTATTCTTAGAAATTAGATATTTACTAGTTATAGAGATTCAATAAAAGATAAAAATAAATATTAATGTATTTTAATTAAATTATTACTATAATTATTTAATCATTTAGCAATTAATCTGGCAATCAACAATACAAATGAAACTTTAAAGAAAGAAAAACAAGTTATTATATCTTGTGAACATTGTCCTATGGTGTGGTTTCACAAGTTATGCTCCGACATAGAAAGTATGTTTAGAACATTAAATATTAGCTTTAAAAGAAAATTAATATTGATATTGTCATCAGATCTAAATGAACATAAAATTCAAACTGTAATATTTAAACAGTTAGATTCATTACCAGAAGATGATCAAGAAGTTGTACTTACTAAGTTACACGGCTTAGAAACATTAAGTAAAATAAGCCTAAAAGAACAAAATGAACTACTTATAATGTTGTTAAGAACACATTGTGAAAGCAAACAAATGAGACACGTTCACGATTCAGCTGAAAATAGGTGCTTATATAAAAATAATTGTATGTGTGATTGTTTTTCTACTAACAAATTGATGTTGGTTTTTAGGCATGAATTTTTAAATCAATATCTTGGCGGGAATACAATTTTTATGAAAGCTAAACGATCTCTTACAAGTTCTTTTGATCAACTGATGAAAAGAAGAAGTTCAAAAGATGATTTAGGATTAACAGCTTCTACCAAAGAAAATTTTTTACCGAACAATATTTCATTTTCCAAAGTAATTAAGAAATAAAAAAGTTTAAAATAATTATTTCAACTTAACTTAAAATACATAATATAAATAAATATATGTTGTATTTTATTTTAGGAATCTTCTCCAAAATCTGAAATTAGTTCAAAATTATTTGTACAGCAGTCAATTTCTAATAATAAATCACAAATTAATAAACCTGAAGTTAATTTGGCTGAAACTAAATCACATAGCAGTCCAGCTTCAATGATGAATATGTTAGTTAATACTTAAATATTAATAGAAAATAAAAATAAATATTATTTCGTAATGTTTAATTATTAATTATTCCAATGTTTTAGGTTTTTAAAAGTTGGCCAATCTCCAAAATCGCCTACCATTTCAACTTCAGATAATGATTCTGATGAACAAAATGATCCGAACCCAGGAAGTTGGCGTCAAGCAATTTTTAAAAATGTAGTCACCCCTAACAAACAAACAATAAGTAATACAAATCTTAAAAAAAATAGTACTTGAATTTTTATTGGATCAAATTTTTTAGATACTCAAAATGTTAAGAAGTTAGATGCAGCAGATTTAAGAAGATTATGGAAAAAAGCAATCAATCAGCAAGTATTATTAATTCGTATGGAAAAAGAAAATGCTAAATTAAAAGGTAGTTTAAACTTAAAAAATAATTCAATTCATAATTTTAATTAACTAATAAATGTATACAAAATTTAGAAAGACAAGAAGAAGCTACTGTTAAAAGAATAAAATTAGAATATGATGATATTTGTTCATCGACTCGAGAATATTTAGGTGTTTGGGAATCCATTATCAATAAAGAGAATCGTAAATTTGATGTGAAAATGTTACGTCAAGCTATAAGGCAAGGTATGATGGCAGATGACAATTCTTATAAAAATAAAATGAAGAATAATTTGTATATTTATTTATGTAATATAAGGTGTTCCAAGAAGTAGAAGAGGAGATGTTTGGATATTTTTTGCTGAACTGTATTGTAATACAACCGCTCCTTCTCCAATTGATTTCGAGAAGTTTCCAAATTTTAATGTTCCTTATGAACAGTTGTTAAAACAGTTAACTAAACATCAACATGCTATTCTTATTGATTTGGGTTTGTAAATGAATATTTTTTACTTCTCTAAAATATAAGGTTATTTACTTATTTTTATAGATTACAATATATATAAATATTTAATTACATTTTAAATTAAATATAAAAAAGTACACATTTTTCATATTAAATCTCAAATATGAATAAAGAAAAATTTAAAATTATGCTTTTGAATTAAGATTGATGGCAAACAATTCTATTGTCTTAAGTAGCATAACATTTAGAATTTTTGTACTTGAAAATTATTGTTTTAATAAAAAATCGTTAAATGGTTTAAATTAAATGGAATTTTACAAACCTCTGTTTTTTATATAATTTATATGAATTATCAAATTTTGCAACTTTAAAGTCCCAAAATTAATAATAAGTCCTAAATAAATAATATCTTAAGCGGACATGATACTGACATATAATATGTTTTTTCAGTTTTAAAAATGTATGACATAGGTACCAAATTTTTGTTTAGCAGCGACGACATTTTTATATTATTTTTAATATTTTAGTGTATTGATTTATTACCAAACTTGAATAAAAGAAAGTTATCTATATAATTTAGCTCTATTTTCTCATTATTTTTATATTGAATATTAAATTGTGATATTTCACATACTCAGAAAAATAGCACCAACGTTACATACATTTTGTTCTTTTATTTAATAGGTCAAATTTTCCTAATATTAAAACTGTTAACAATAATAGTGTCTTTGCTAAATTCAAATTTTCTATATTGTATGTTTGTAAAACTGAGATGACACTTGTGAATATCACATACTCTTAACTGCTTTGTAGTCAGATAATCTATTTAATTAGAACTTTTTATTATAGAATATTTTTAAAACATAAAATTTGTAGACTGTATTTAAATACAAATTACATTTTTAGAAAATAGAGAAACTCTTATATATAATCTTTTATGATTTATATTTTTTATAATTATACATTAGGTATACAATGTACTTGTTTTTGTACTATTACTAGTATTTATTAAAAAAAGAAAATACATTTTTTTTATTGATCCTTACATTCATAATAATTAAATTTATTATTATGTTTTTAAGTACATATTGTATTTGAATGATAATACTTATTGTTCAATTGAATTATTGAGTATGTAATTTGTTTTGTCAAAATCATAGGAAGAACATTTCCAAACCATACATATTTTATGTCACCTTTTGGTCCTGGACAATTAGCTTTGTATAATTTGCTTAAAGCATATTCTTTATTGGATCCAGAAGTTGGCTATTGTCAAGGGCTATGTTTTGTTGCTGGTGTTTTGCTATTACATGTAAATGATTGTATTAATTATATGATGAGTAATCATAATATAATATAAATGGTTTATTTTATAGATGTCTGAAGAACAAGCATATATGATGCTAAAGCATTTAATGTTTAGACGTTCATTAAGAAAACAGTATCTTCCCGATATGGCAGCCTTGCAAGTTCAACTGTACCAATTATCTCGACTTCTTCATGATCATCACCCTGACTTGTATGCTCATTTTGACAATTGTGATATTCCACCAACTTTATATGCTGCCCCTTGGTTCTTAACAATATTTGCTTCTCAATTTCCATTAGGATTTGTTGCCCGTATATTTGGTATAATAATATTTTTTTAATTTTGTAATTGTTTACTTAATTAATATAGTTATATATTATCTATAGATATACTTTTTTTTGAAAGTATCGATGTTTTGTTTCGTGTAATATTATCATTATTAACATATCATAAGGATAATCTACTTGCTTGTGATGGAATGGAACAAATAATGAATTATATAAAAAGTGATTTCCATATAGTAAATAAAGAAATCATCGAAAAAATTATTAAACAGGTGTGTTAAATAATTATAATATTTACTGAGCTAGTTGAATTTATAATTTTTTATTAGGTATTCACAACTGATATATCTAAACAACTAATGGAATATGGAGTTGAGTATCACGTTTTACAAGAAGAATTATCTACACCTAGTCCAGAATTAAAAAAAATTAAGCATTTGGAAGAAATTAATAAAGCATTAACGCAACAAAATAAAATTCTTCATGAACAACTAGAGGTAATATATTTGGCTATTTAATTAATTTAAATACCTTCTCAACTGTTTATATATAATTATTTAAATATATATTGTAGTAATATATGTTAATATCATAGGAATTAGGCTATAAGTTTGTTAGTGGTAACTGAAAAGTTTTAGTCTTCTTATGGCCAGCTTACCGACAATACGTGTGTGTGTACTACTCTATGTACCATTGCTGTTTTCGTTATATTTAATTATGAGTATTGTACCTAATTTATAATATTGTAATTGCCAACTGGCTAGTGTGTACATTTTTCCATAATACAATTATTAGTCATGTTATTGGTTAGTTAACTCGTAATTATTTTGTTCGAGTACATAGTGTTCAACATTACTATCCTCATCCATCAACTAATGTTTAATAATTCCATTGTCCTCTTACAATATATATATATTAAAATATTGTTTATAGGATAGATTAGATTAGTGGTTTTTAACCTTTTTCGTTCCTCTACTGAGATAACTGACTGCTAACACCTCCCACAGCAAACTATAGGCTTGTTATTTCCTAATTAGTCTTTTGCTTTTGCCTAATGTTGATATTATTTGAATCTTTTATTTCTTTTTATATTTGTATTTTTTTATTATAGTAATCTTGACCAACCCTGAATCACAACCCTAAATTTGGCCCTGTCCACAACTACTCTGATTTCACAATAATATGTATCACTAGGCCACTGGTGCTTTTTTATTTTTCCATCATTCTGAATTTAAAAGCTCACTATCCCCCCTGAGGGACTGCATTCGCCCTGGGGAAGATTTATCTCGCACGTTAAGAACCACTGGATTAAGTAGATAAAATTTTTATGAACCAAACATTCAAATTTTTGTTGATTTAACTTACAATATGTATAATTATAAATTACAGTAAAACCTCCTTATAACGGTCTCTCTATAAGGCGGAAATCTCTTTAAAACTGAAAACAACAGTTCTTTATAACCTATATTCCATATATTTTAGTCTCACTATAACGGAAAAATCAGTTGGTCTAATGAACTCCATTATAAGGAGGCTTTACTTTATACAATTATACAAGTTTAATATACTGACTTCTAAATTGTTTTAAATTTAGATTTGTATTTACATTAAAATAATTTTGATTTTTAGATATCTATAACAAATAATGGTCGGTTGGAGATGAACAGATCTTCTAATATTTCAGCTATTAATCGCTTGGAAAGTGAAGTAAAAAGTCTGGAATTTACAGTAGCTACGTTAGGAAATTTTTTATCTGATTTAGTTTATACTCATTCAGACATAGAGATACCTACTAATGTATTAGGTTTAATTTCACAAATAAATATGTGCCAAAATCGACAAATTGACAATAAGCAAACAAATATTGACAAATTCTTTAGTAAACCCAACATAGAAATACCATATAAAGTAAAACCTATAATAGAAAAATCTTTATCAGATTCTAAAAATATGTTGAGTAAGTCAATCAAAGAAGAAGTGAATCAAGAAGATGTTAACAAAAAAAGCTATTTAAAAAACTCAAAAAGTAACTATGAATTATTTGCTACAAATAGTAATATTAATAATAATGGATTACATCCATTGGATTGTAAAGATGTCAATGTATGTTATTCAGGAGTTACACAATTACGAAAAATTAATCCCATTAGGAGTAATAGTGATAGTCATTTTATTTTACCAAATATTGTTGCAGTAGATGTAGATAGTTCACTTTGTAAACGGGATAGTAATGACAATATCCAACACAATACTTCTACCATTAATAGAAATTAAACATTTCTTGACTTATATAAACTTTTTATACTTTCTATATAACTAATTATTTATAAAATATATTGTCCATTAAAATTATTATATATTTGTATACTAATTAATTTGTGATAATTTATTGTTGTATTAGTATTTTTCTCAGCTAAATTTAAATTGTTGTTTTAAAAATGTGTGTTGTAAATAAAGTATGTTATCTATTTGATATTAAAACAATGTTTATTAAATTAGAGGAAATAAAATAAAATATGTTTTTTCTAAGTCTTTTTCTTCTTCCTTGGCATCACAACTTTTTAAAAATTTTTGGCTTTTGGCCGCTACTAACATTTCCCTTCACTCATGATAGCTCGCTTTTTCTTACTAGTTTCTTGCAGGACTTTCTTGAGTCCTACATTATCCCACATATACATAAGATCTCCTCTTTATCTCTTTCCTGTTTAATTTGGTATGACTGTTGCTCAGGTTCTCTGTCAGATCACATCACATGTCCAAACCATCAGGACCATCATAGTTCCTTTTACACAAAATTATTAATCCTTGGGATTGTTGTCAAATATCATATTTTTTTTGTTTCTTTTTTTCCTAAATAGTTTACATAAAACGGTTGTATAAAATACTATAAATGAAAATATGGGAAGCTGTAGAAACCATTGACCAAGTTAGAGGACTGGAAAAATTTTTTTAATTTTTAAGATTCTGCATGATTTATAAAATAAGTTTCTAATTTGTTTAATAACTAATAAAAATAATGTTAGGGTGTCTCAACAATTTTTAAGTTTTTAAATTAATTTAATTAATTAACATTATTAAGTAATAGTTGGGATAGAAGAAAAACAAACAAATTATTAATGCTATATAAATAATATATAAATTAACTTGAGTCTTGAACTATAATTTGTTTTTAAATAGTAAAATACAAATTATTTAAGTTTGATTTTTATTATTATGCAAGAATACAATTGTGGTCGGCTCTTGGTTCATGATACGGCGTCTTGCTGTCTTTGAACAGTTTAAACCTTATATAATATACAAATGTACAATGGATAGAGCCATTTTGCTATAAGCATTAAGCAATAAATATGTCGCAAATATATCAAGAGGGCGTCTCATTTTTACGCATGCACTAAGTGCTGTTATCAGGCTTATTGTAACCTACTTAATAAAATAAATATAATATTTTTAGATATATAGAATTTCATACAACTATGTACATATTGTACAAAGTTTAAAGATAATACAGATAATTCTATATCTATATCGAAATCAATAAACCTAGTATTTTATATACCAATATATTGAATTTTAAAATAAAAGTAGATATTAGATAATAGATACCGCCAAAAAAAAAAGAGAGAGCGCTTGCGCAGTAGTTACAGACCCTCTGATATGTTGGCTACACATTCGTTTTAAATAAGGTAGCATATCCATACGATTACGTCATGATCTAAGATTATATACTACGGCTTTAGACATTCTGTAACCCTAAATCCGTGCTGTGTACCCTGTTTTCGGAAAAAAGACGTGATCTCATCCCTAGATTATATGACATATATGATACGAATATGATTTAAGGTTTAAGATCAAAATGAAAATTTCTTCCAAATGATAATACAAATTTTAAATATATCTAAAATCGTGATCGATAGTTATACATTCGATTGTATGAAAGTAACCTAAAAAATAAGTTTACTTTTTTGAAAAGTATGTGGGGTTAACGGATATTATGTTTTGTTCTGAATTATTCTAATATTCCGCTTCACCTGTCGATTTTCATATGATAAAAGTTTTTGCTGATATAAAATTATCTTTACACATTTGGGTATATTTTTGTATCTAAAACGGAAAAAGAAGAATTTTATGTAATTAACAATTTAATATTTTTGTTGTAGTATTGATAAATGTAATTGTGGTGAGTAATTATTTATATGATTTATAAAATAGGAGTACCTATTATGTAAAACGACACATGTTTAAAAAATAAATGTATCTATTTCATAAGCTTGTTAAAATATTTACAATTATAATATCATGTAGGTAATTAAAGTTTTTTTTTTTAGAGTTTAAAATTATAAATGAGTTCAGAATTTGTTGAAGGATGGACAATTGCTCAAACATTAGGAGAAGGAACATTTGGAGAGTATGTTCAAATTACCTATAACCTACATAATTTTATATAACTATACCTACATTTTGTATTTGTGCACTAACAAAATACAGATACCAGTGTATACTAGTATTTTAAAACATTTTAAATTGAAGCTAAATCTTAATATAGGTTTTAAACAAAAGGTTATTTTTTAAGCCTTGATTCATAGTCTAGATGATTATTGATTCACTCTTTCGCATTGGACCTATCATCACTATAACTTTTTTTACATGTCCTGTGTTGTGTTCTCATATCTATTATGTTCTATATATTAGTCTTTAAATGGGTGTTTAGGAACACAGTTCCTGTTTATCTCTCCCCTGTTTATTACCTTATAGGCTTGTAGTGAAATTCACTAGTGTCTTTACTCCACATTAAATATGTGAAAATGTGCATCATACATATAAATAAGTTTTAAATTAAACTAATTAAACAGTTGGATAATATAATTAATAATAATATAATAATATAATTTTTTTCAAATTATAAATTATTATTATAGGTTTAGAATAGTAAATGTAAATTTTTTGATATTTTTTTTTTAGAGTAAAACTTTTAATAAACCAGAATAATAGTACAGTTGCTATGAAAATAATTGATCTGAAAAACTTTCCTGATGCATTAGTTATGGTTAAAAAAGAAGCTGCAATACATTGTCGATTGAAACATCCAAGTATTATTAAATATTTCGGACAACGTCACAGCAAAGATTATTACTACATATTCTTAGAATATGCATCTGGGGGTGAACTATTCGACCGAATTGGTATGTTTATTTTAATATTTATATTTTGATACATTTATACTAACAGACGTTTTTTTTTGAAAATTAGAACCTGACATTGGTATGCCGCAATCTGATGCTAAAAAATTTTTTAATGAATTGCTTGCTGGAGTTGTATGTTCCTTGTTTTTACATATTTTTCAATTGAATATATATACATACTGTTTATAATATAATGTTTTATTAGGAATATTTACATAATAATGGTATAGCTCATAGGGATTTAAAACCAGAAAATTTATTACTAGATGAACATGGAAATCTAAAAATAAGTGATTTTGGATTAGCCACTATGTTTTTATGTGGGGGAAAAGTAGGTAATATTTATTTATACCTTTTTTTTTTGTTACAAAAATCATTAAATAAAACTTTAATAATTAACAATCATTTAAATAGCGGCGTAAACTGGAAAAGAGTTGCGGAACCAGGCCTTATTTAGCTCCAGAAGTTCTTTCACGTTCTCCTTACCAAGCAGAACCTTCTGACATTTGGTCTTGTGGTATTATACTCGTTTCTATGCTTGCTGGAGGTAACTGTTTTTGAGTATTATCAACTTCTATGTACTAAGTTGTATAGTCTTCCTATAATATAGCTTAAATAATATATTAATGTTGATCTTTGGTATTCTAGATGTAGGTATATTTTTAAAAGAGACACTCTAAAGCTTTTCTATCAAAGTTATTGATATTTGATACTACATCAATAATTGCTTATGTTAATATTTTCAATCTTAACAGAATTCATACAAAAAGGATATTGATACTTATGGACCTTTATGTTATGCATAATCAGTTTTCTTTAATTTTTGAATAATATAATATATAAAGTAAGAATATTATTATATTAAATTAGATTATCAAAATTATCTAAAAATTTCCATTTAATAATATTTTTCTGTGAAAAATTTGATGAATAAAAACATAATATGTTAAACTAATTTACTTTTTGTCCCCACATTATTTTAAATTAATTGATGAATGCTATGACAAAATATGTCTGACAGCATCTATTCAGTGGTTATATTTTGTATTGCTTATCTGTCTATTATAAAATGAATAATAATCTCATTGAGAATTTATAAATAATCAATTCTACTTTGGTAGTTGTTTTATAAATAATTAGTTCATTATTGTTTTTAATTAATCAATGTACAAATATATTTAATATAATAGATACATAAAGTAAAGCTATTTAGTATTATTTTAGTAACATACATGTTAGATATGTACATATTTATATTTTATTTATATAAAATTGTAAAATAATATATACGGATCTGTGTTTATTTAGAGCTACCTTGGGAAATGCCATCTGATGACGATGAAGATTATAAATTGTGGAAAACTACTGATTATGCTAATCACTCACCATGGTGCAAATTAGATACCTTAGCTTTGTCGCTTGTGAGAAAAATATTAATTCCAATTCCATCTAAAAGATATGATATATTACAAATTCGTTCTCATCATTGGTTCAAAAAATCAAAATCATGTGGTATATTTTTATTTCATTTAATTAAATTATCAGAAAAAAATGTATTTTATGTTAAAGTACCTAGAGATTACTGAATAATTAATTACAAGGATCAGTGAACTCTTAGGTATCTCAGCTGTGTATTGAAGTAATTCATCAATTTATAATCCAAAATATCACCTATTATAATTCTGTGTTGTTCATTTAGACAGTAAGAAAATGGGTGTTTCTGTTTGGTCAGACAGAGATTTTGAGGACGCTCGTCCATGTTATTCACAACCGGCTCCTGCAGCCATTTCATATGCAGTATCTATCCCACCCAATGAATCTGAAATACATTCATTTTCCCAACCAACTCAGGTAGAACATTTGTTACTATCTTCTCAACTTCTAACGTCACAATCAATGTTAACAACATCAAATGTAATTAAAGATTTAATTATTTTACATTTTAATATGTTCGGTATAAATAACAAAAAAATATTAACAATTTTTTTAGAACTCCATACAGAAATTAGTTAAGAGAATGACAAGGTTTATAGTTTGTTTGTCACCTGAAGAAGCATTAGTTAATTTATCACAGTTTCTTGATGATTTGGGATATACATGGAAAATCAATACATCAGGTTTAGTAAGTAATTAAAAAAGTTGAAAACGTTTAGAAATAAATATATTTATTTCATTGGGTTACAGGTTACAATTACAACTACTGACCAGCACTTAGTGTTTAAATCTAATATAATTCCAATGAATCATCAAACATTGATGGACTTCAGGCTTTCAAGAGGATGTGGTTTAGAATTCAAAAGACATTTTGTTGCTATTAAAAATGCCATGTCTAAAATGATATCCAAAGGTCCATTAATGTGGCCTGTTGCTATGGCAACAAACACTGTACCATAAACAATGTTATGTAATATTGTGAAAATAACTAAGACTGATGTATCATAATCAAATATTTGTTTGAGGTATCTTCTTTTGCATAGAATTGTATAATAGGTGTACACATATAGAGAAAGAAAGAGGTTAGGTTAGTTCAGCAAATTATTTATTATTTGTTCATAACAAATATTGGATGGGATGCAAGACTTACAGAACATATAATTAATCATAAATTGATTTATAGTATAAGGAAATGACTAGATTTTATTAAATTTGTATTTATATATTAATAATACATAAGTGTACTGTTGTTTATTTTAAATACATACACATTACATTATTGCTAATAATTGGTTTTGATTATAAATACATAATATAATATATATAAACATAAGGCCTTACAGATGTGATCCTAGTGGCCTAGTAAGAATGATCCATGTTAACTAGCCTTGTCAATAGCATTAAAAATTAAACAATTTGATTAGATCTGATGGATTAGAATGTAGGTTAGGTTGTCAAATTAAATTGATATAATTTCTTAATTTTATTCCTAGAAAACTGTTGAACAATTTACTTTTGGACCAGAGATCTAATTGATTATAGTTAAATTACCTAGCGGATATATTTATCATTAATTTTAGCATATTAATAGCTAGTTATATAATTATGTATTATGTATCCTAATATAAATAATTTGAAAATTATTGTTTACTTTTTATAAATAATTTTGTTAATCTATTTTGATTAGTTTTATCAAATAAAAATACTTAAATTATATTTATAAAGTGTGGCACTGTATTAAATATGGAACAAATAAACTCTTAATATATATCTATTATAAATATAAACATTGTACATATTAATGTGGTAAAATAGTTAACAATGAACAGATCATGAATTACTAACACTATAACAAATGTTTATCACATCATTGAGTATCCGATATATGTTTATATATTAACATATTGTAAAAACAACTCTTTGGCATAGATTATTATTGTAGAAATTATCTTATAATTACCAATAACATATTACAGTTTTTTTGAGATTTCCAATTATAAAAAATTATACATTTAATTATCATATCCTATTGCATATCTCTAGTTACATAAATTAAAAATAAAACTAGCACAATTAAATCACGGGTTGAGCAAGTGTTTTTTTTTTTCATTGTTAACTAGAAACAGAGCTTTACTTTTTGGAAATATTGAACTATATACTAAACATGTATTGAGCAAAAATATAAAACTATATTTAATTAATTAACAATTGAAGATCATAGATATTTTGATACCACAATTTTATTAGGTAGATTAAACAGGTAACCGAATTGTGTGAATTAAATTAAGGATTACTCATTGTTGAATCATGCCTTGTTTTTCTCATCCCTGCATCCTCACTACCTTTAAGCATTTTCTGACTTAAATGCATGGTTCGATTAAAATCTATAGCTGTATAACCTGGCATTTCAGTAGGTGAAGTAGGTAGCGATTCACTTTTTTTTTTAGGACTGCTAGTAGCTATTTCCACTTCCGTGTAAGTAGGAATATCCTTAGGTAACTCAAAAGGATCATTTAATAAATAATCATCATCTTCATTATTGTTTATAACATTTATATATGATATTGGTGGTAAAAACACAGTATCTGGATCTAACATGAGATCTAGAGGTTGAATGTTATTATTTGACTCGCTGCTATACCTTAATCCACTAAAACTTACTTCATCATAAACTTTTTCTTCAATTGTATGTGTACTTGTATATGATTGGCCAGAGTAATTACGTACTTCAGAAGACATATCCTTGGCCATATTTGTTCCATTGCCAGTCTGAAACATAATTTTTACTTATAAAAAAATATAAAAGTAAGCAAGTTATATAATTATTCTTTTCAATAAAGAAATAAGATCTTTAAAATAAGTTGTAAATTATACTGTCCACAAATAATATAAAATACTTTAATATATAGTTCTAGACAACTCAAAATAAATACTTCAAATTAATTCACCCTTCCTTCATACACTTTAATAATCAGACAACTTATTTCTGTCTAATATGATCTGCTGCATCACCTACTAAGATAAATAGGATCCAAGGTCTTTAAAATAAGTTCCTAAGAATATACTTCGTGGTACATGAATAAATGTAACAAATTCATAACAATAGGGGAAGGTTATCCTGTCTTTAATAACATATCAGTTTAAATAATTAATAATCAATATAATTGTTAAACATACATACTTGTAATAGCACCAGGTTTGCTAAACCATATAAATTTAAATAAATAAAAAAAAATATATATATAGGTAGTATGAAGGTATTTAAAATCATGTAATATATCTAGTTGCTAAATGCTAACAAAAATTGTACCAACAGTTGTTTGTTGAGTTATGTGGATCGTAAAGTAATCGTGTTCTCTAAAAACTTATTTTTGATGTATTTAAACATAATACTAATAATGTATTTAAACTTGGAACTTAACATTAATCATAATATAAAATCATATTGGAAATATATTAAATCACTAAGGTCAAATACTATTAATTTTCCCACAGACGTTTTTCTGAATAACATAAAATCAAACTCTATTAAAGATAGTTTGCATTTATTTGCTACATATTTTTTCTCTGTTTTTGTTGGTACAAATCTGAACGCTGAATCTTTTGACTTTGAATTATCTAATGATTATAATTTAAAAAATATTGACACTTGTAATATATCTGAAAACGAAATCTTAGATGTGCTTGATTCTTGAAATAAGCACTCATGTGCAGAGACAGATGGTATGCCACCTTTGTTTTTGAAAGCTTATAAACATTCTCTTGTTAAACCTTTACACTTTTTATTTAATTGTTCACTTTATCATGGTACTTTCCTACAATTATGGAAAAATTTTTTTGTTATTCCTATTTACAAATCTGGTAGTAGAAATGATATTCAAAATTATAGACCAATAACTAAATTGTCATTAATACCAAAAATTATTGCAGTTATTATAACTAAGAAGTTAACTTTGCTAGTTTCAAATTAAATTTGTGAATCTCAACATGGATTTTTACCTTAGCACTCAATCTCAACTAACCTCGAAATATGTCAGTCTGACCTTTTAATATGGTTAACAAATAGATGCTATCTATCTAACTTTTGATAAGATAAACCATCTACTTCTTTTAAATAAACTAAAATTCTTTGAAATTTCTGATTCGTTTTGAAGGTGGATAACACCGTATTTGCACAATCAAACTCAAATTGTATAAATATCTTTTCAAACATTGAATGAGTTTCAAGCATTATCAGGTGTACCACAAGGATCTCATTTAGGACCACTACTTTTTATTATTATTTATAAATGATTTGCCTCATATTTTTGTTAATAGCGTTGAAGTTCTTTTTTATATGGACGATGCAAATTAACTCAATTTCTAACTGTAAATTTACAAAAAAACCCAAATAAATTTTTAAATTGGAGAAAGAGAAATTTTCTTCAATTAAATATTGATAAATGCAAAATTGTTTCTTTCACTCATAGTAAAAATCCTGTTACTTATAAATATTCTTTAAATAATTATAGCTTTATATAGCAATATAACTTTAAATAATTGATCTTGGCGTTCATTTCAGCTGATTTATCTTTAAGAATAAATCATGATTATATGCATAGCAAGTCTTACAACATTTCAAGTTTTATACACAGAAATACCCAAAAATTTAAAAACCCTAATACTCTGAAAATACTTTATTGCCCTCTAGTGCAATCTGTATTACAATTTGTCTCAGTAATTTAGTCTCAATCATTATTCACCTAAAATTATGATCTTGATAATATTCAGTTTAAATTGTTAAAAAGAATTGCACATATGATTAACTTAAATATAGGGAAACAAAGCCACAGGAAAAATAATCCACAACAAAATAAAACAATTTATTTATTATATTATAGTTGGTTACATTAAGTGTTATTAATTATACTATTAATTCTATAATAATAGCAATAGCATTTTATACTTTTATAATAGTAATGAATGTATTATTATTGTTTACTGATGCCTTATAGAACAATTTTTTAATATTGATTGTATAAAGTGTAACTTTTTTTATTTTTAGTTTTAACTTCAGTAACTTTTCTAGTTAGAAAATTAATGGTTGGCCGGAAAAAACAAAAAAAAAAAAATTAATAGTACAATGTATACCAACTTTTTTTTGATTTCCAATTAACCTAATCATTTCTAGAGACTCTCTCCTTCCAGACCAAAATTTAGTAAACTTGGACTCTCTCTTATTTAGACGTCAATTGATCAATATTATATTTGTATATATGATTTAATAATTATAATATTGTATATCTTGAGCTTCTAGCCTAAATTCAGTTTTTGAGTTCCTTCCTTTTTTTCTCTTAATCACATTTTTTTTGCTATCCCTTATTTTAAGTCTAAAACTGCTAATGACTCCTTTTTTTGTTAAAGCTCCGAAACTTGCTTATTTAGTCTTCATTGCTTTATATTTCTCTTGATACTTTTAGATTTAAGTCTATCATATTTAAAAAAAATTATTTTAATTTTAATTAGCTCTACATGCAAACTAGTTAAAGGTAATAACTAAAAATATAAATGTATAAATATATATACATATATATATATTTATCTGAAAGTAACTAAGTAGGTATTGTAATAAACTGTTGAATTGTTCATACCTGTAATTTTCCTTTGACAGCATTAAAAATACTTTTGGCATCTTTACTTCTAAATGCAAATATTCCTTGGCCATAAGGAGATGAGCGTCCAGCTTCAAAGCAAAACATAGATTCTTCATATCCATAACGTCGCACTGTACTCAATGGCCATATAATGGGTGGTTCTCTACTTTTATGAAGTACTAAATTACAAGTATTAATTTCCATTTGACCATGATATTTTTCATTACCAACATCATCAATATTAGTAACCTATAAATTATTAAAACTCAGTAATAATTTAGTTTTCTAAAATTTAATTGATTAATTACTTACTTTGAACACAGAAGATGGTATAGTTTTTCTGCTGCTGTAAACACAGCCCATTGTAACAATTACATGGTTTGAACGAAATAAATTTTAAAATAAATAATATTTTCCTATTTTATAATTATAAATCATACACTGTGAATATATAAATTTTTAAAAATGAAAGAACAAAATAAAATTTTCCTCGGTTTATGAAAATAAAATGAAAATGAAAAATTAACTTCAGGGTGCGCCAAGGGTTATCAGTTATCACATAAGTTTTATAACTTATCAATATAGTGGACGTTTTCATAAACCATGGATTCGGTTTAAGATAAGATCTATAACCTTAACCACGAATCACGTTTGTTGTATAGAATAATTCCAAAGTCGGGATATTTTGTGTCGGGAGCTGTGTCTGTCTGTCAATGTGTCGTTGTTTACCGCAATTTTTTACCTCTCGTTCCCCCGACGTTTATCTCCTCGGGACATAGTGTAATAATTCGGCGTTTTCGATTCGTTCGGTGAACGTGTGAAACGTGTTTGTGTCGTGCCTAGTATTTTACTTGTAACACATTATATTTATATAATTTCGCCTTCTTCTGTTTAACGCCAAAATATGGCCGACAAAGACAACGAAGAGGTGGAGTTGACGATCGCTGACGAGGCGGTGGTCACCAAGTACAAAACGGCTGGAGAAATCGCTAATCGTAAGTAGTCGCTAGTCGCTTGTGTTCTTCTGGATGTTGCCGATTTCACTTAACTTAATGTCGAATAGTAGCTTTATTAAAAATCAGTATCGTCTATCTCATGGACATATTCAATCCTCATATCCTCCGTTGGCTTTTGGCCCGACGAATAGTTATTGTTGTGTGCCAACAACGCGCCATAACATCGTTCGACATAACCTTAAAACGTGTACAAAAATGAGAATTTCCAGGTACATAGATGACCAGTGCACAGTTGGATTCAATAGAAAGAATACTTTGTACCTACAATACTATGATAGCTTGAACAACTATGTCTTCAAAATAAAGCAAATTGATCCTACAAATTTTGTATGCCCATCTTTGGAAAATTATTTTACTTGCCTGTTTCTTTGTTGATATTTCATATAGATGACAAAAAAAATTTTCATTTTTATTGCACTTTATATTTGTACGGTTACTATGATTACGTTGTATGAAATTTTCATTTACCTATCTATAGCCACTTGTTACTCTACTTTCTTTGAAATTGTATTTCTGTTGCTCAATTCAGTAGTATGATTATTTGTAGAATGTGCCGGTCTCCTCAACATTGCCTGCCTTATTCTCTCAACATTTTTTGGGATTGCTACAGTTCTTTGAGGGCCTGGTGGTTTCATCTCTATCAGTGTTTCTCTTGTCTGAAGTTAATGAACCTATTGTAGAATGATTTTTAGCAGTTAAAATGCACACATATCAAAATGTAATCTAAATCGCTGCTGCGTATTCATTATTAAATTATTCGTTTGCATGTAGGTATTGTAGGTATAATCGCTATTGATAACTTTGGTGGCATAATGTAGAAAGTTATTTGTTACCACCCAAAAGAGCGGTATTTAATATCAAATTAACCCTATCGGACTAATATCCGCACCGAATCCTTAACATACCATATTGTATTTAATTATAAAAAGTTAATATCCAAGTATGTTTATATACCCTATTAGTTAATTGCATATTTGGATTTTGCTTGTTAGTTAAGACATGTATGTTAAATAAAATAAAATATATAATAGATATTTCTGTAATATTAGCTAGGTACATGTACGGATTACATTTTTATTTTAAAGACAAATTATCATATTTTTTAGGAGTTCTTGTTGAAATTATTGAAAAGTGTATTGAAGGTGCATCAGTTCGTGATATATGTATATGGGGAGATAATTTGATACTAGAAGAGACTAGTAAAGTATTTAAAAAAGAAAAAGAAATGAAAAAAGGTATTTTATATTAATTACCTATGCAAAACATTGTTTTATGTTCTATGATTTTTATTTTTATTTTTAGGTATTGCTTTTCCAGTTTGTATCTCTGCAAACAGCTGCATTTGCCACTTTTCACCTATTATGAGTGAACCAGATCATGTAATAGCTAAGGATGACGTTTTGAAAATGTAATTTTTTTTTTAACTTTGCTTAAATCATCACAATTAACTTGTGTGAATGTATACAATTTCCAGAGATTTAGCAGTTCATATAGATGGTTTTATTTCTATCGTTGCTCATACTATTGTTGTGGGAATCAGTTCTGATAATAAAATCAATGATAAAAGAGCAGATTGTTTCTTAGCTGCTCATTTTGCATCTCAAGCAGCGTTACGACTGATGAGACCTGGAAATGATGTGGGCATATCTTATATAAAATAATGGAATAAATACAGTTTAGCACCGATGCTTGTTCTTCAATTTCTTTTTTATTTCAAAATGTGTGTGATAATCATTGAACTCAAAAATGTTCATACAATTTTAAATATTTTGTTAAAAAAAGCGGCAAAAAGCAATTTTTTTCTCTATATATAGACTGATTTTAATGTTAAAGATAATCATGTAATCAATATATATTGGAAACTTGTTTTAGAAGTTATATAGTGATTTAAAAATAAATGTATTGTCAAGGCACATAGAAGATCATTATGTATATATATGTTTCACATATGTAACCATATGTAAAACCTTGTCAGTTAACATAATAAATTATGTTTTTTGAATTTTTTTTAATTTTAACTTATAATATAAAAAAGTGCAAATATTTTTTGAAACATTTATGACAGTGCATTAAAACATACATTTAGAAGAAGAAAAATATGAGCAATGATGCTAAACTGCATTTATACCAAAATAATAATTATTGTATTGTATAATGCCATTATAATAACTTATTTATTTTTAGACTTACCAAATCACTGAAATGATTATGAAAGTTTGCAAAGAATTTGATTGCAAGCCAGTTGAGGGTATGCTTAGCCATCAATTAAAACAATTTAAATTAGATGGACCTAAATCAATTATTCAGAATCCAACCGAATCACACCGTAAAGACCATGAAAAGGCAACAATTGAAGCCAATGAAGTTTATGCCTTAGACATACTTGTTAGTACAGGAAGTGGTGCTGCTCGTGAGACAACTGCGAAAGTATCTATTTTTAAGAAAACTGATGAAGTATATCCTTTGAAACTTAGAGCGTCTAGGTAAATAACTTTGAAACTTATTTAAACCTATTGAAACTTCATTTTACAAAATACCATTTTCATTACAAAATTAGCAATTAATATAACAATATACATAGTCTTCTGCTTATATTTTTTATATAATAAACAAAATAGTTTCCCTTTCATTTGAGTTAGTATTTAACTTCAATGAATCATGTTATTGAATAAAATGGTTAACATTGTTTATAAATTTATTTGGTTATAATTTTCAGTTTTGATATTTTTATTTATCTTGTTACTTTGTCTTTGTCTATTTTGTTTGTAAATCTTAGTAACTTTTTAGAAACAATTGAGAAGAATCAAAATAATAATGAAGTTCAGGCACTGGGCAGCTTAGTGGTAGACTTAAACGAGTCATCTATGATTGATTTATGATTACTTACCAAATTTTTAGCATTATTTTCCAAATTTTTATAAAACTGGTAACGTTGTTAAAGCTGCTGGATAGCATATGTTAAAATGCTATTCTTCTAATATGGCAAAACTGTGTTCTTCGTGATAAACAAACAAAAAGCCTTTAAATTGGTTTTGATAAAACAAATATTATAAAATTTACAAATAACAATATTTTAAAAATGTCATGGGTGTTTTTGTGTAAAAATATGTTTGTTATATTATGTACTAAAAAGAAGAGAAATAGCAAATGTCAATGTGATATTTTTTTAAGTGTTGAAAACAGACATCAATTAATCTTTTGTCTTATAGGTTCTTAATATTGTTAGTACAACAAATATCTATTTCATTAAGAAGTGAATTTTTGGTGCAATTTTATTTAAAAAAACTTATTTTTTTTTTTTTTTTATAGAATATTTTACACTGAAGTTATTCAAAAACACAATATAATGCCTTTTAATTTGAGAAATTTTGAAGATGAGAAGAAAGCTAAAATGGGTGTGGTGGAATGTGTAAATCATAAACTTATAGAACCTTTTCAAGTTCTTTTTGAAAAATCTGGTAAATTGTTTAATAATTTTTACTTTAAACTAGTTGTATGCTCATTTAGTGATTGATTTTGTTTACTTTTTAAATGATAAATTATATGAAAACAAATATCCCCTATGAACCACCCTTGAAAAGCTCAATTAATGCACTTTCACATAAAGTACAAAAACTCCATTTAGAAATAAAATGTCTTAAATTTAAATATTTCTCCAGGAAGTTATCTAAGGTGACCAAAAATTTTAAGAAAATATTGAAATATTTTACTAATAGTATGAAATAATATATATTAACAATGATTGGTTCAAAATACTAACTAAGATAAACAAACAAATACATTTTTATTGTTCTAATTATGCTATTTATAATATCTTTCGTTTTAATATTTTCTTACATTTTTTTTAGGAGAAACTGTTGTTCAGTACAAATTTACAGTACTAGTGACAACTACTGGACCTGCCCGGATAACAGGATTACCGTTTGAAGAGGATATTTATGTTTCTAATTTAACTATTAAAGACCCAGAAGTCTTGGTATGTTTTAAATAAATGCATTTAATATTAAATGTTATTTTTCATAATAAACTATGTTTAGAATTTACTCAAAACATCTGTTAATCAAAGAGGTATTTTACAACCAGTGAAAAAGAAGAAGAAGAAGCCTCAAAAAAACAACGTAGCTGGTAAAATGGAGGTTGACGAACCTAAAGCAGAAAAAGAAGTGGAAAAAATGGAAGTTGATGTGTCTGCTTAATATAAGTTTTCTTTCCGTTTATAGGAATTTTGTACAAACATGTTTTAGATGGTAAATGACATTAATTGCGAACATAACAAATTGAACAGAATATTAAAAACTTCAAACGAAAAATGACTTTATGATTTCTTTAAAGACATAGTTATAAATATTTAAAAACAGTATTTTTTTATATATATATATATATACTAATTATATTATTTAAATTTGTTATTGAGTTATGAAATTTGATAACTTAAAATGCCTTTTAAATTAATATTATCCTTCATCTGTCATCTACTATATGTAATTACTTGGTTTATAAAATAAACTGTTTAATAGAATTTTAAAGTGTACAATTTTTTTTTATTGTGAAATTTTTACTAAACCGTTACAACCAGTGTATATCGTACCATTATTAAAATTATTTTGGTATTCGTTGACATTTGTATGTTAGTTTTAGTATTAGAAGCCAGGCAAAATCATTGTTTTTTGATCAATATGAATTTAAAAAAATATTGCATAACCTTTTAATACATGTACATAACATTTTCAACTTATTTTTTCAAGACTAACAAAGTATTTAAGTTATTTTTACATAATTCAATATTATTTTCAATCATTTTTTTTTTATAAGAAGTAATTATTGATAACAATATGTATGAATATTTTCATTTTTTTAATATACATATTTTTGTGGGGGTACCAAAACCCAACTGTTTACGATTGTTTTAGTATCAAAATTGTTGACTGTTAAATAAAAATAAAGATAATTACTCGTATGAGGTAAAATCTTTTTCAATAGTTTGGTACTTGTTATTATAACTTTTCAAACTTATTCCGGCAGTGAACAAACATTCGCCATCAATCCTGACAATATCAACTGTACGTAAACATGTTTGGTTTCGATACCTCTGGAATGACATGCTTAAAATTTCAAGTTGTATCATTAAATACATTATTTTCAGAGTAAATTATTTTGATATTGTATTTTAAACGTTTAAAACATGAAGTACATTTATTTCTTATTTTATTATATGCGTGTTGCTCTATATGATAATCCTTTTCTTTTTAGCTTCTAAGTGTATACTTTCATCACAATATTTCAATTATAAAAAATGTCATTACTGATTTACTAACAAATATAATTCTAATAAATATTTATAATTTGAAATATTGAAACAATATATAACTCAAATTTTATGATAAAAAAAAATATTTATAATTGCACAACACAGAAATGAAAACTAAAATATTATCTATGATAGTTTAATATGAGCACAAATACTTTATTATTTTTATATAACATATTTCTATAAATTATTAACAAAATATAAGTACACGATTATATTTACTCAATACAAATTGATAGTTTTGTTAATTTTCTTTAGGATTCAGTTGTACCTCGACCAATTGGTAAGCTTTGTTTGCTGCACAAGCACATTTGTGTGGTACATCTATGACAAATTCTCCAGCAGCATAAACGCTTTTATTCCAACGTGCCGTAGAGGTGGATTTTAGATTTTCTACAGATGGCAATGATTTGACCTAGAATAAACAATATGAATGTTTATTTGAAATAGTATGTAGAAATAAAAACTTAACTTGTTCTGGCATTTCAGACTTGGCTTTGTTAGCAATAGGCGTTAGAATTGCAATAATTAATTTTGCTAATTCACGGGAAGTTTCTCCATCTTTCCATAAGCCTAATTCAGAGGATCCAAATATTGTTGCTCCAAATAACGCTCCTTTTATAGTATAACTAAATATAACAAAGTTGTAATGCTTTGAATAATTTCAAGGCCGTTATGAATAATTTTCAAAAATATTGGTTGAGGTCATTCAAAGGCCAATTAAAACTAATTTATAATGTATATTTGTTTGATCATACCTTATGAATTTATTTAATTTACTCATTTTATGAATTTGTATAATACTTAAAATGGAACAGACAAATTTAAGTTTAACTGTAAAACCAAGTTACTGAATTTATAATACATTAAAAATTTTATTCACAAATTAAGAACATTATCAACGCGTGTTCCGCCAAAGAATTTCCGCTGGTAATAATTGATAAGAAAGCCCAGTGGTTCCCAAATTTAACAACAAAGTTGCCTATTCAACTCTTGTAATAGTACTGCTACTAGTAGTTTAATAAGTTACTCACCCAAGACCTAACAAATAATTGTTTAACCCATTTTTAAAATTTTATAGCCCAGGTTCAATTTTGGATCTATATTGTTAACTTGCTTACCTAGCTCTTGAAGTAGTTCAACTTGTCAGTTTATTGTATATCTAACTTTCGAAATTCTATTGCTATTTAAAAAAAATACTTCTGTACCTAACAATAATTTAATAAAAAATATTGTCCAAGTTCAATCTTATGTTTTCACATAGTTTTGCAACAACTATAAAATGATATTTTTATTTTATTCATAATCCCTTTTCATTATTATGTCATCATAAATTGATATTTTGATGTATTGAATACAGCCAATATAGGTAGGTACCAGATATTACGCATATGCAACTAGGGGAGTGCAAGGGGGTCTTTAGCACTTCCAAAAATACCCGATAGGCTTTTTTTTATAGTACCTATACTATAGTACTATAGTACAGTCCCTATTAAAATTATTTTGCACACACCGCGAAAAATTACTGCGCACGCCTATGATAGTATCGATTAAAAATTGTATTAATACAGGTATTTCATAATAATTAATGACCAGAATTAAATACAGATTACCAACTGACAATGCGTGTCTGTATAAAAATAAAATAAAATAGTTATGGTACATTTTTATACTGAAAATTGTAAATGAAATGTGTAGTTGCTCATTATATGTGTCGTGTGATGAGCACTGATGAGGCGTTGCATTGGCCACAGACCCTTGAAGGCACGGGTCTGTAATGTGTCCATAGCTTTAGCGCCACCCCCCCAAAAAAAAAAAAATTTAGTGGTCTAGTTGCGCCCACGGTACCTAGTACCTATACATTAAATCAATCACATTATCAATTATAGCTAGTTTATATCTATTAAACAATTGAACCATTTTGAAAGTAAATAGGTATTCAATATTAATTATTAAGCAGATAACTATATAATGCTCACCTGGGCAGAGAATATAAAAAATCAAACGTACCACCTTAAACGCCCAGAAGGAAATCACTATACTATTTGTTAGGTAATCATTCCAAACTCAACCTCAATACCAAGCTGTTCATTTACAAGCAACTTCTCACGCGCATCTGGACTTACAGCTATGGAGTGTGTTCAAATTGTCAAATTTAAACAAAATACATAGATTCCAATCAATCACCTAACGCGTAATAACTAAGGCCCACTTCTATATATCCAACCGCACGCTTTACACAGACCTGCACATCAATACTGTTTCAGAAATGTTCTCTATCATATATAAACGTTATCGTTCACAACTAGAAAATCATCCCTATCCATTAATTGCAGCACTTTACTCAGACACCATACGTGGAAATCCCCAAAGGAGGCTTGAGAGAAGTTGGTGTCGTGGTCTAAGTTCTTAAACTCTTGATCTAAAACTATAAAATACAAAAATAAACCAATATAAAGTGTAGCCACTGGGTTACTCTTATTTATCGTGTCTTTTTTTTTTTTTTACTTTAGCACATATTCGTATTGTAAAAAATTAGTTTACAGATTGTATATTTATAAAAAAAAAAAAAGTTGTTGGGCAGGAAACTTATTAAAATAGTTAAACATAAATTTAAGAAATTGAATAGGTTACATTGTATACTAATTTGGGGACCACTGGATTTTCTTATCAAATATTGCCAGCTGAACATTCTTTTTATCATCATGAACATACATACAATTTATAAATTATTAAATGATAATAATGTTTATTGGTTTTCTATTATCAATTTATTTTTATCATATATTTTATGTTTCTATTATTTTATATTTTATGTTTACATTTAATGTTATTACTTATTATTACAGAATATAGAATTTGTATTAAGATGTAATAAATAAGTCGAATATTTGAAATTTAAAAGAAATAAATTATACATTTGTAATAGAGGTACTGTGTTTATTTTGAACATTTATTAAACCTGTGGTGGATATTGAAAACTTTCAAATAAATTCGATTACATAATGCTAGCAAACAAGTTGGTAAAGGAGAGATTTTTTCAATCTTGCATAACTGGTGATCTAGATATGATAAAAACTGATTTATTTTACAATGTATCACCGTTCATACAAGACAAGGTAACAATTTTGGGATGGTTTATTTAATATTTAAATTTTTAAAACATTTTGACATCTGCTATAACTAAATTTATAAAAAAGTTTTTATTAATTTTGACAGTTAAATTTAGCGTAATTGCAGCATAAAACATAAAATAGTTATATGTTGAATTGAAAATTGTTTATTATAATTTTCTAGTATGGGAACAATGTTTTGCATTTAACATGTATGAATAATCAACCAGAAGTATTAAAGTATATATTGAAGACTGTTAAAACATATAAAAACGATATTGAAAATAAACTTGGACGCACTGCTTTAAATATTGCAGCTTCCCAAAGTGCAGTTGAATGCATTGATATTTTACTAAACAATTTACAATGTAACATAAATTCTACAGATAAAGTAAGATCAAGTTTTACCTTTAAAATAGTATATTATATGAAGCAGGTAATTGTAATCAAAAATTGAAGTGTTTAAAAGTTTAAAAATTGAATTCTGTAAACAATATTATGAAATATTAACTAAAATTTCATCTATTTTGTGATAAATAATTTCTGATTTTTTAATATATTTTTAAAATGTACCTATATAATATTAGCTTACAGACTAATTTTTGTAAACAATTATCTTTTTTTATTTAACACATTCCAATAATATCAAAATATAAATAATTTTTATTTAGAAATCTAATATAGGTTAAAAAAAATTTAATATATGTATTCTATCAAGTAAAAATGTATTATTGCAATATATTTGTTTCAGAATTTTAAGAATACACCATTACATTGGTGTGTTATGAACAAATGTGTCAAAGGAGTTGAAAAGTTATTGAAATCTGGAGCTGACTGTATGCTAGCCAATAAGTTTGGTAAAACTCCTTTGCAACTTGCTAAAACAACATGTTTAGACATTTTTTATTTAATGGACAATGTAAATATTGGTTTATTATATTTTGATATAATATTGTATAGTTTAAGATTGTATAACATCAACAAAATTGTGCATTATGTAAATTTATTAAACCATACAATATGAATATACTTATTTTTGTTTTATAAAGAGTACGTATTAAGCATTTAGTTTGTACATTTATTCAACAAAAAAATATAATACTCATCATTTATTTACATCAATGTTAAATGTGTTAGTTAAATTAATGTTTAAAAAATAATAAATTAATCATTATAAATCATTAATAAATATTACATATTTATATTTATAATAACAATAAAACATGAAATTAATTTAAATAATTTAACATTCTATTAAAATTAATGATAATTAAAATTTTATAAATACAATAATAAAAATTGTAATTGTTACATTTAATAATTGTTATTTAACTGGTAATTTTAACAGACAATCAAATGTATAGGCAGTAAGAATTTTCCAAGTACGTTTCTATTATATAGTGTATATTCAGGGAACCTGTTGTAGAATTTTGGATTTTGTCAATCAATATTGTTTATGTATTAATATAATATCTTATTTTATTAGTTACCTATAATTTATAAGTATACAAAAAAATCAGCCGCAGATTAGTATTTACCTGTTTAATTATTTTATTTTTCAGTTTGTCAAAAATAAAACAAAGGATCACACAACACTTAAAATTAATACAAATATTGAAACAAAAACAAATGTAGAACCATCTAGAATCATACTAGAAAAAATAAAAATATCTGGTAAAAAATTAAGGTTTTAGATTAAGATATTTTTGAAAATCATTTTTATAGTAAAAGAAGTTATTATAAATTCAAAGTATAATAAATGCCTAAAAATAATTATGTTGCATAATATAAAGAATGATTCACACTGAACTGACACTCGCAGACCGTACCTTGTGGACATTTCGGGGGGAGTATTTCACATAGACAGTTACATACTGACATAAAACAAATGTACAATCAACTAAGAGTAGTTTCTCCTTAACCTCATCATTTTGAAAAAACTTTTCTATATATATTTAGCCTTGATGGCAATTTTTTTAGATGATGAGGATAATGAGAAGGCAACAAACAGAAAAAATTGTGTTCGGGTGCATAACATATTAAAACTTAGGAAAATCAACAGTGAATTTTGGCCTGCGAGAGTGTTCAATATTAATTTTGCTCAAATGTATAAATTGGTAAAATTTTATGTACAGATGATCATGAATCTCCAAAACTGGATTCAAAAATATTTAAACCGTCTGCCAAGCAACAAAATATCCATAGTGAATCCCCATTTGGACCTGATTTGACATCAAGTAATTCCAATGAACCATTTTTTCTGGATATTTCCAAATTAAAAAGTAATATTTATTTAATTTGCTTTTATACTACCTATTTAAGTGTTATAATAATAATAATAACATATTACAGATGGCGATAATTCTGTTTTAAAATTATTGGAAAAATCTATTGAACCGGTAGACGAAACTTCTTTTGTATCTTCTATATTAAACAGTGGAAAGGTTATCCAATTAACTGGTATAAATTGATTTTATTGTAATTTTAAATATTTTTATAATAATATTAAAATATAAGTATTTTTTTTTAGAAGCCGGTTTACTTGCTTTAGAATATACAAAAAATGAAGTAAATAATTCTATTCCTAATCATCTTGTTAATAGCTTCTTCAGCACATCAAAACAGTATAATGAAAGTGAAAAACATTCCGAAAATAATCTTATTAAAAAAGACAATGAAATAGATTCAAAAACACACAACAAAGGATTAAAACGATTGAAAAGCCCACAACCGTGCTCTAAAAGAACAAAATATACTGAAACTTGTACTAGAAATACTGAAACTGAAAGTTTGTTAGAAC